GTACCTAATCGTGATGTGGCTAATTTTTGAATCGAGATAATCCTGATGTGGACGATTCTGTAATCCTCAAAATGATAGCATGGATTTTTGTTTAATCCAGATAATCTTAATGAGAATGACTTTGTAATCCGAAAAACCTTAATGCGGATGTTTTTATAATCCGGGAAAATCTGTTGTGGATGCATTGGTAATCAAAGGGATGTTTGAGTGAAGGAAATGTCTATATAATCCGGATGAATATTGGTTGAACTGCATTGAATCCGACGGAATCGGGTGGAATGTCGCAGGAAGTCTTTCTGTTCCGGCGTTTGTCTATGATCGGATCCGATCATTTCCTGAAAGTTCCGATCATCGATTTCGACAGGAACCGACCGGATCCTTTTCCGATGTAATCCGGACCGGAATCCGTTAGTTAGGATTCCGGAGTAATACGGATCGGTTCCGGTCGGTTTTATTGTGGCACTCGTCGGATTCCAGTGTGATCCGATACCGGATCCGATCGTTTCATGTAAGATGCGTAAGTCGGAATGAATCTCCTGGGCAGTGTTCTATGTTGCAGAATAAAGTATTGAGCAAATTGTTTAGTTCTAATTGAACTTAATTGAAAAACAGTTGATTGAATGTAAATTTTTCCGTGATATTTTTAAATGAATCATTTACCGAATAAAAAACAAAGCATGAAAAACAAAAATATGGTTCACATATAATTGACAGTGTAAAAAGAAAAGTATTCATAGAAAAATCGGTTCGGTAACATGAAGAAAATATTTATTCTAGCTATTAATTATTGAACAGTGTAATCATAGTTTATCGAGAAAAATTTTTGAGGCAATCGAGTAAGAATGAATGAATTGTTCACTAGATAAAAAAACGCATGTGATCTATGAACAATCGGTAAAAGAATCTATATTTAACAAAATGAATTGTATTGGCTAAGTAATTAGAAAAGATTTTCTCTTGAAAATAATGCTGAAGAAACAGTAATGATTAAGCAAAGTCCAATCGAACGATTATCGTTATACGTATTTCTCAGTGTTAGAGGTGTGGAGCGGTTAAATTGAACAAAATGATGATTCATGGGAGGATTTTAGTATTGTACACTTCAACAATAGATAGACAGTATACAGAGCATTTCAATACTGTATATCGTACTGCTAAACAAATATCATTAAGTGAAACAATCCACTTTTTTTATATGGCTCTCTAAGCACTGCACATATAAGGGTAAATATCATATGATATCGAATGGTTGATCGTCATTGAAATACGATGCAAATGAACACCAACATCTAGTAGTCTATAACGATGTTCCTTATGTCGTTAAGGATTCGGCATACTTAACAGTTCGATTATTTAATCTCCGCATCATTATTTTTCACTGATAAATACATACTGAAAGACAAACTCGAACTAGCTGACATTGCAAGAATTGAAATGTTAAAGTAAAGTTTGACTATTAATCTATTTTGTATCTTTGAAGAATTAATCGAAGTGATGTCCTTCATGAATGGACCCGAACGATAGAACGCAAGTGATGTGTCAGACTGAGAATAATATCATACCCCACATCTTATCCAGAAAGATTGCTTATTACAAACTTATCAAGAGGTAAATAATCTCTACGGATCAAAATACATGATGCGATGAATAAACTATGCAGGTTGATCGCAACATCAACTTGCCAGAGCAACACCTTCTTTTATAAATTATGAGAGATTATGTTGAATAGAGAAACATTCACGCGATAAAAAACTCGACTGTTGATGTGCACTGATGTATGAAGTTAGCAGACTCAATCTTTCATTAACAAGAAGGAACGATAATGTGATTTTCTCACAACATGGCTTTTTTTATAATCGCCAGAAAAAGAAATCATGTGCCCCGATGAAAAAATGTTATTTGAGTTTTTCTGATGTTAAACCAATCAACTTGTTGACTATAACCATCTAAACCTTCACAACGTCGAGCACTGAGTAAATTACATTGAATATCTGCTGAAATAATGCGTGCTATGGGAATTGAGAATTTTGTTGACCATTCAATAATAATGACACGGATATATTCAAGTCGTGGATCAAGATAATTAATGAGCTGATTAAACTAAACGATCAAATAAAAAATTTCATATGTTAATTCAAGTATATATATATACCTGCACATGAATTATTGGATGATAAGATTGTAATGTTTGAATAACCGATGTTTCATTAGAATAAATTCTCGAAACAGCTGTTTGGAAAGATACGGAATACGAATCAAAGTTACTTATTATATATAATGCCACACTGAAAGTAAATAGCATGTTGTATATTTTAATGCTCTCATAAGCATGATTTTATTACTATCACCCATTTGAAAGAACGACTACACATAGTTTATCATAAACATGTATTGTTCGTGGTCCAACTGTAGCAAGTAAATCTATGCCAGCAAATTCCAAAGGAACGTTCTTTTGTAAAGAAAAATTCACTCATTTGAATATCATCGTCAATATTTCTATGCAGAACCTAATATCTTGATTCAATGAACATTTAGAAATAATACGAATACTTTTTTTTCGTCGAAATCATTTTGTTTAGTTGCATATCGTTCATGGACTTGTTTACCACCAATTTGAATAGCAACATTAACAGTATCGGGCAATTTAGCATGTAAACATTGACCTTCCACAAGTGATGTACTAGTCTGAATTAAAAGAGTTTGAATTCACATTTTCTTCTCCAGCATCTGAACGTTCACTATTCACATTGTAGACAACCAATCAACTATCTAACATTTGATTAACATATTAGTATGTCATAGCTATTTCAGCAAGTCGATTTTGAATCAAATATGTTGCATGTTGTAGAACTAAATAAAATATAAGCATTCCTTCAACAGAATGAAAGATAACTTGGCTCATGTAAGAAAGAATGAATTTCACTTCAAAAGCATAACCATGTGAGCAATTGTTAATGACTTCGTAATCATTGTTTGTGCTAGATCAGGAATTTCTTTTGTAGTAACTTAACTCGTCGCCTAAAGTAAAAATGAGTTTATTAAATAATAAAAGTACAAGCACACATACTTCTGGTGTAATAAATTTGAACAATGCTTCCTAGAATTAAAAAAAAACCAGATCAACTAAACATTTAAAAGATAAAAACTACATACCTTGACAAGCAGCTGGTCCTGAATGATCTTTTGTTGGATCATCATAACCAGGGGTACTCATTGGAATAAACTAAAATATATTTATAATCAGTTATTTGTTTGATTTAAGGAATGAATATGTGAAATAAATAAATATTTGACCAGAGGAAAATAAATAAGTTCTTATCAAGCACGTATATATAATCATAGAGTTCTTCTAAACAAAAACAAACGTAAGAATAAAACATAGTTGATTGTATAACATACGAAATCGATCCTCTCATTTTTGTGTTTTTCTTTTTCCACCATGCAATTCATATAATTTGTTTCTAAGGATTCGAAACCGGATAGAAGTTCAATAATACCTGATTTTATCTACATATGGAAATCATGATAGAGTTGCATTTATTTGAGAGGAAAAAGAAATCACCTGTTCAAATAAAAATCAACAGTAGGCAGTGGTAGTCGAGATACTTTATTTTTATATGTACTAATTCATATTTGATTTTTAGGATTACTTCTTTGACAAGCCGTTTATGTTCTTTAGTTGCTGTTGAATGTAATGGTTGTTGTTTCAGTCCACTATTCGAATGAATATGACGTTGTAATTCAGCATCGGTTTGTTGAGAAAAAAGTCGATCTGGTAATGATTGATTACGACCCATTAAAAGGTTTATTCAACAATTTTCGTTAATTCAAGTAGTTTCATGTTTCAATTTATCAACTATTTCAAGATTATCTTTAGCATAAATATGAGATACGGATTTATCTTTGTTACGAAGAAATACTATGCGCCATTTGTTTCTGTATGATTTAGAAATTAAGCTAATGAAAGTATAACAGTGGCGCAACCATGGATATTAGACCAATGAACAAACTGCTCTGGTGTCGCAAAAAAAACAATGGATAAATAATTGCTTGACCCAACAAAGTATTGATAACGTAAAACAACTGAAACGAGGTTCTTTTAATCAGCTATGAATCAAATTCGGATGTTATGTCGGAGTCAGATCAGAGATGTCCATCGCGCTTGAGAATCTACCGTGCTGCAAAATCTTTCAAAAACACTTTACGATCAGTGCAGGATATGGCCGTAAATCCTCTCTTCATTTTCATGTAGGCCCACACCCTCTAGGATATTAATAATGGACAACTAGACATTCTTGTACAAGAAAAGACCTTCACTAATGTTCTAAATTTCGTAGATCTTGATAATATTTCTTTAAGTGACATATTACCAAGAATTCATTATACTATCAAATATTTCATTTTTGAACCAGTTTTCATGGAATGTATTCTTCTTGCCATCGTTTATCCAAATTAATGATCAGTTAATTGAAAGGTTATACATGAAATGTATATACGCAATAACATCTGAATACTATTGGATCATATGTTATGTTTTGCCCGTCGACTACTTTTTACTCACTTATATATTAATGCAGAAACTTTACTGATGCATATGCTAAGAATTTGGATTTAATCAAATAATCATTATAGAATGATTTGTCTGATAAGTGATGAAGTGAAAACGAGACGTCGCTCTTTTATCATTGATTAAATATAATTATAAACATTAACTAGAATGAATTCTTTCCTAAAGTACCATCGTTCTGGTAATAAATCTTCTCGCTACTTTTTGCATTTGATTATCTTGCAGATCTTGAACAACTTATGAATGAAACAAAATCACATGCACCTTCTCCAACCGAATTGGCAGTGTATCATCGTCACTTAGCAGTCGTGACAAAGAACTCTACATGAGAGGCAACACGACGCAGTTGCGCTAAGGTAACGCGATTAATTATTATTCAACCATTGAACAATTCGCAAGATTACTATCCTTATTTGCCTTCATTACAAATGTCTTCTTGTTCTGATTGATCGAATAAACTGATGTGCATCATAACAGTTGCGATTCGACTAATGACATTTCTGCAATACAAAGAAAAATAAATGATACCCGATTGCCTAGAAGCTCTGTGTGCAACTCATATACAGTCCACGAAAATGAAGCTTTTTGTCTTCTTGATATAATCTCACCATAAATCACCGAACGTCGATACCATCAGATGGTTTTCCATTTAATAGCATCGTTTCTACTATTTAGAAAAGAAAATGTTTCACCCATTCGGCTCAATACTCACAAGTATTCGTTGACATGCCTAGAATGAACTCATTTCTCGGAGTATACAATTCTTTTTTTTTTAATTACCCACATCAATTAGCTGCGGGTGTCAATAAAGATTTACACAAAAGGACACTTTTTTCCATGAACTTAATTAATCATTGAATATTGTCATATCGCATAGACAACAAAAAACAACACTAAAACATGTATTCGGCACATTATCAACAATAAAAAACTAACCAATCGCTCAAAGTTGTAGAAAGATAATAAAAAACTTGTTGACCTATTGATTATGCTGAACAAAATAAACATAGCTAATTTATCTTTGTCTCTATTTATAATAACTGTAGAGGCACATCTCGATGATCAATATTATCCCTGTCTAATATTAACATAGATTAATTAATTCGCACCCATCCTTAATTGCATTGCCTAACTTTATTGATCAGTAAAGTAACATATAAATTAAAGGAAACGAACTGCTAATAAAAAAAAGAATATCTTTCATTTTCTCTATGACAACTTATTATTAGTGTAGGCACGTTCAAGAGGCTATAAAAAAAAAGGAGTACCTTATCATTTCAACTGTTTGAAGACCGAAATACATAGCTAATTGAATGTACGAGTCTCTGCTATTTATAGGATTTGCGATGATTATATTAATCTTTAACCTGCTCTTTGGACTCACAGTCCAAGAAAACATCGAAGTGTGCACTATTACTAATTGATATGGTATTAAAATTACTCTACGTATCGAAAACAGTAAATTTCATTAGCAAGTATACAATCAACCCTTCTTTTCTCCAAAAATATTTTCAGTAATTACTATAGCGTTCCCTAGAAATACTCCTGAAGCACAGATAAAAATAGCTTATCTGTGGGCGTTCCCTGTGTGTCTTAACTTTTTTTAATTTAACGGGGCATGTCAAGTTGCAGACATGAAAGAACATTTAGTTTTAAGACTAGAAAAAAATGAACGATAAGTTTAGTACTTCAAAAAAGTTCTAGAAATTAAGAGTTTTTGAGACATTGTCGTTGGCATTTTTTCCGCTCCAAAGCTAAGATTTTCAAAAAAACCGGAACCATCATGCCTACCAGTCAAGCATCCTTCGTCAAAAAAAAATAATAATGAAGCTTTATGAAAAATTTCGAATAGCCAGATGAACTATCGTTGTTAATATCTTCGAGAAATGCCATACTGGTACCTCACTGGAATTATACTATAGCTTCAGCGTATTTTCCGAAATGAAAATGTTCCCGACTGATTATGAATAAGAAAATAATGTAAGTTTCAATGGCCATGAGACGAGAGCACTCATCTTACGTTAGTCCAATCATTCAGATTTTCTGCGTAATAGCATTTGCATTAATTGATGAAATACAAATATAATATACTCACCAATCGATACCATAATTGTTGATTTGATTATAATGATTCTCACCAGTATAGCCTTCAACTCGAGGGAATCTTTATCTTTATTTAATGATTATAAGATTTTATTAATATACTAAAAATATAATAAATCATGGACATGCAAAGACGTTTACAATAGACAGATATTCATTTTCCACAATTAATGCATATTTTCTTGTGATAAAAAAAAACCGAAACAAAATCCTCAACAATTCGTCTCTTCTTTTGAACGTGTGATTGGATAGATTTTACTCTACATATCCCATTCATGTTATTTATCTTGTTGTTTATGAATTTATATCGCTTTCTAATTCATTTTTATTCTAATTTATTAATAAATTCCATATATTCTCTTCTCTGAAAATTATGTTCTTGTCGTGATATCATGCGTATTTCTTCTCGCACATAGCGTAGCGCATTTTTTTCTTTTTGTTCCATAGAACATATTTACTCGTCGTACGTATTAAGACACGTACTTGTCAGTTGAAAGAGATTAGAAGAGCAAAGAATCGTGTATGCTCACATTAGGGAGGCTGTAATAATATAATGTTACTACATAGAAAATGTTTGTATTCAGAATAAAAATGAGCATTTCGCATGACCTGGAAGCAATCATAATAAAAAAGAAAGAAAACTGTTCACTGAACTAGAAGTTTTTACTAGAGTATTTGCTAGATTAATAATTAATGATTATTTCACACATAGAAAATACCTGAAAAACTTATTCTAATGAAATAATTGGTCGTCAACGTTTTTTTCTTCTTCTTCACTGCAATTATGTGAATTTCCATTTATAGTTTGGAATAAAAGCTGGTAAAGGAATTGACTAGAAAATAAACCATTCTATCGAGTTTTATCATAGACAAATGTTCAACGGCAGCAATATATGTTCTATTAGAAATGCAATTAGCATTGTGATTTTTTATTTTTCATATGGTAAAATGATATGTCATTTTAATAAATTTAAAAATCATGCTGTTTCTACGAGGACAGAAAAAGCGGAAAGCTCTGCTTTATTTGGCATTGTTCGGAAAATGATTGAAAACATGACTTCTGCTGAAAAGCCCGACATCTTATGTATTCTATTAGCGGTGAGTGTCGAATCCTAGGATGATAAAAATTTAATTCGGAAGAAATAAATATTTCCATTTATTTTTTCCTCTAATTGAATATTGTCAGTCAATGCGAATAAATAATTCCAGCACTATTTATACTCAAATGCGTGAGAGTATGCCTCGTTTTATTTAAACCATAAGAAACTCGACGCTTACTGTTTAAGAAAACAGAGAAGACCATCTGTTCATTATCGTATTCAAATAAAATCTATGAATAATGAATCATGAAACAATTAATAAAATAGTTAGTATATGTTTGGTAAAATTTTTCATTAAAATATTCAAAGACCTTGATCTATTTACATAGACATAAATGTGTGTACACTATTCAAAAAAAAAGAAAAATTCTCATTTTTCACTTCCATTGTTTTTCTTTTAATCCAAAACAATATTATCACGATTGTGTATTAGTATTAGTAGCATCTTAGACGTCGTAAAGATTTTAAAACTATATCCTCAATAAAATTTCCATAGCTTATTCGAGAATAAATCGAGACTTCAAGAACAAAAGTCTATTAAGTAACCATTGTATGTAAATAACAGCGTATGATATTTCATGAGTCAATTTACTCTTGTTATCGCGAAGTTTTATGATTATTTTTCACCTTTTCTATGAGTACTTTTTTAAGATTTTTTTGTTTGTCTTTTATGCAAAAGTGAGCAAGAGGATTCATTCGTTCTTAATTGCAGAAAAACATGTTTTCTATCATGTACTCATCTAAAATAAACATGTTACTCATAACGGTAGAACCACGTGGAAACATTTAGAGTCATCAGATTTGAGAAACTGCCATCGTCTCGTACTTTTCTTCCTTTTCTCCTTTATTTTTTACGGGACTTGAGAACTGTGCGTCCTATTCTTTTTGTCATTCCTTTCTGAGTGTTTAGCAATGCGTTAGCATTAGAACGGAGAAAGAAAAAAGACATCCAGAGTATGAGTCGACCAGGCCATGATGGGGCGAATATAACGTAACAAAAGAGTGCTGGAATATTAGTAGTAAAGAGTAAGCTTTTGTTTTCCTTGTCGTCTTCTTTTTAATAATTATTAGACGAGTAAAGTTTCGATGCAGAAAAACAAATTCTCCGCGATTCTTCGGTATATTTTATCTATTTATAAATAAGAGAAGTCGACGACATTACAAAAGCAATAAAAAAAAGAAGGGCTTCACATCTTCCGATATAACTTCTGAAATAAATTATTCTTCTGTCGCTTTTGAAAAGTGAGAAAAATTCGATCCTATATCTTGATGATATAGACTAGCGGCTCGATTTTTCCTTTCAATACTAATATCTATTGATTCCGGTAAGAAATATTGTCAATGTAGTTTTAAAAATATGTTTTTTTTTCGAACCGAATTATTCAAAACAAAATCCACATCTTTATTCTATATTTACACATGTCGCTGCCGGAAATTAAAATTAAGCTGCACAGCACATGATTAATCCTTTTCTTTTTGTCCCGAAACGAGGTCATAGAGCAATCTAGTAGCGTTATCCGGGTCTGCATTTAACGCCATCTAGGATTTATTTATTCTCTCTTAACTACTTAATTACTATAAAATATAGATTTATTTTAGGATGATTGCAGTTTTTTCCGGGGTAAGATTAAAAAATGGAGAAATTTAAAACTAAGCGACACCTATTAATGTACAGTTAAAATGTATTAGTTTAATGTTGAAAACTAACAAAAATCTAATGATTTGATTTAAAATTTCGTAAGTATGCATTAGTATACATAATGTTTGGTTGTTAAGAGAAACTGTTTTCTCTGCTTAAATTATATTTTTCGATAAAAAATACATTAGTCGTTTTTCAATCAATATTAATAGGATTTTCATCTACCTCCTAACAATTAATCGATTTATTTTTTCTTCCAATGCAATACATATACATGTTTCATTCGAATATTACTATTTCACATTTTCCTATTTTAATTTCAATATTAAGATATCGTTCTTCTTCAAAAGATAATCCGAAACATTCATTAAGTTAATCGAATAATAAGTATTGATATTTTTTCCTCCTTTTCTCCAACTAACGTAGCGTCTTCTGTTATTCATCTTGCATGTCCTCTTTATTAGTATTGGTTATTATTTTTTTTACCCTAGTTTTCAGGTATTTCTTTATTCCTTTTTTTCATTCCTCTTTCAAGTACAAACGTCATTGGGAAGAGAAGCAAAAAAAAATGAAAACATGAATCAATTCTTTTTTCGCTTTAGATTGCGTGTTTATTTTTTTATTTTTATTTTTTGTTGTGTTGTCATCTCTTGTATTCTATGCAGCATCGAACAGTGATCGTCTAGTCCAATTTATTTCTATAACGATGCACTCAACTAAATTTTCATCGTGTTCAAATACGAAATCATCATCGTCAACTCCGCCAACTGCAAATATTCAACAGTATCAGCATTGCCCGCCTATATCAACACTTCGTCGAGCTAGTCGACCAACTAACATTAATTTACCCATATTTGATCATAATCATGCGCAGCAATCCAATGATTCCGGTATATATTCAGCACCGATATATTATATAAAACAATCAAATAATCAACAACAACAACAGCAACAACATATTCATCAAGCATCTCAACCTTACACAGCTGCATTGCCGTATGCACCTCAGCAACATATTCAAGTATCTCCTCCGCATCAGAATTCTTCTCAACAGCAAAATATACATTTATATCAACAACAGCAGCAGCAACATATAGTTGATCCATACAACGATCATCAACATACACCTCATACATTTCCATTGCAAACGTCACCAAGTCATTATCATCAATATTTTTATTTTCCTCCATCAGCATTACAAGTAAGAAAATGATAAAAACCACAAGAAAATGTTTTTTATTTGAAAATAATAGATCAATGTGGCAAGTAATGGTCATCAATCGACGAATACAAGTCAACCATCAACACCAACGCATAATAATCATTTACGTTCGACACAAATTCAAATTCAAAAACAACAACAACAACAGTGGTCAAATCCAGTACTTAGTTCATTAATGGTTAAACGTATGAATGAAAATCCTACGTCAATGTCAATGGATGATGATGAAGATCCGTCTGCTTCAATTGATGCTCTCGTTGGTAAGTTTTTATTTTTTTTTCAATAGGAAAAAAGCAAAACAAATAATTAAAAATTTTTACATCATGATTAATAAAAACACTGCTGTTCTTTATTCTTCTCGGGAAAAAAGAACATTGTCGTAAATCCGCATTATCAAATCTTTTAATCCAGATCACAGTGACACTATAGCCGACATGTCATAGAGAGCTACTTCATTTATCGTACTAAAAAGTAATGACTCCAGAGTTGAACTTGCACTTGTTTCAAGTATTTCAGAGCTCTCTCAACCCTATTGAACCTACGTGCTGATTTGTAAATAAAAAATAACTGCACAATTTGCCTGCGGGCAAGAAAAAAAAACATCATTCTTAATAATAAAGTTCTATGAAACCTTTAGATCGTTTTTCATATTCATGATTATATAGCCTAGTTTGCAACGCAGCCTTATAAAATTCGCAAAATCACAGGTTTTCCCTTTTAAAATGTAAAACATCGAACTGTGATTTTATATATATATAATGCACCGATGAAAATTTTTGTTTTTGAAATCTCAGTTTAGGGGAAAAGTATTTATGCGCAGCATCTTTAAAGAATTTTCCCATACTTTCTTTTTCATATTGAGTTAACAGTGAAAAAATCTAAATATAATCTTCAGTTTTCTATATACAAGATCATCAATTTGATTTTCTTAAACTATGTTTTAGCTGATGTTGACTCGAATTCTCAAGATTCACTTGGTGATGAACAAAGTAAACCTATCAATCAATCGAAAACTTCATCAACAATGCCGCCAGGTACAATATCGCCACCATCACATTTATATATTCGTAGTAAATCCCATATACTAACAACACCACCGAATCCACTCGCATCGGACGATCATCCTGATAATCAATTAAAAATTAAAGTTGGAAATAATTATAAACAAACTTATAGTCCTATACCGAGTGCCGGCTTCGAATTAACAAGTAATATAAATAACAAACTATCGTCATCGTCGAATAAGACAGCACGTTTTACATTCGACACAAATCTTCTTGAACGAACAGAAATAAAAAATTCACATAATGGAAATTTAGTTAATGATAACGAAGAAGATAATCATGATATAATGCTGAAGCCACTTATTATAAATACTGATGTTTGTACAACAAGAATTTCATCGAACAGTTTAATTCAAGATGATAATAGTAATCAAAGTTCAACAAATAGTAGTTCTCAGCATACATCGTCTAGAATTTTCGGTCAGATGTTGAAATCTTCAGGTAACTAAAACGAAAAAGTCAATATTTGAAATATTCCTTTTTCTTATGTTTATTCAATTACTTTCTAGAACAGCAAATGTTATCTTCGCCATCACCACTTTCGAACGATATTAAACTATCATCATTAGATCATGATAGTATGCAAGCAAATATCAATGCAAACTCATCACAGCGACATAGTTGTGTACATCCAAACTGCAATAAAGTAAAAATTCTCTCCGAAGAAGTCTTTTTCATCAATAAGATTAAGTTTATTGAGAAGAAATGAACATTTTCCAGGAGCCAGTAAAGAATCGAGAAGCATATTCCCGTTATTTGAGCAATAAATACCCTCTAAAATGTGTTCATTTTCTTTAGACATTTACAAACAAAAGTGCGTTGGCAAAGCATAAACTAACGCATAGTCAAGATCGAAAACATGTTTGTTCAAAATGTAATAAAGGTTTCAAACGGCTTGATCATCTGTAAGTGAAGATCATAAAAATCAAGGGAAATAATTTTGTTTTTAAATTTCATAGGAATGGTCACATGTTAACACATCAAGAAGAAAAACCGCATAAATGTGGTATACCTAATTGTAGTCGAACATATTGTGATGCTCGTTCATTGAAACGCCATATTGAAAATACACATCAAGATATTCTCGCTGCTATACATGAAAGTGGACAGGAGGAATATAAAAAGTTCCTGCCTGATAAAGCGTTCGTCAAAACAAAAGATTTATCTTTACCAAGTGAATTTTCAATTGATTCAGTTGATAGTAGTTCACCACGATCATTGGTTGATAGTGAACCATCGTTTAATATTCGAACGTCAACTGGAACGAAATCCATGATAACTTATACGTAAGTTTGCATAGAAATTTTAATATCACGAGAAGAACTGGTTTCTCTTGCAAATATCATCATTGAGATCAAATTTTTTTTTCGTACAGATTTGATGAAGAGAAAAGTATTGAATGTCAAATTTGCAAGAAATCATTTAAAAGTGGTGCTGCACTAAATGGTCACATGCGTTTACATGGTGGATTTATTGAAGTATGCTAAGAAATATGCGTTCTTTCTTGATAATAATAGCAATCCATTTCGTTTAGAAACCAGCGCTGCTACCATCGACTAGTACTAAAGAGAAAACAAAACGTACAACAACAGCAACAACAACAAAACGAAAGCGTACTGATTCTCCATCAGCGTCGATAACCATCAAAACCGAAGCACACGATAGGTCGATGAATATATCAGCAAATAATTTTTATCAACAACAATCGTCATTTCCAGTTCAGCCATCAAGTTCAAATACGATTCAAAATCGATTTTATGACCGAACAATATCATCTCCTGGACGCCCGTCACCATCAGCATCATCATCCATGATTTCTACACCAACAACAACAATACCTCAGTATCAAATACAAAATCATATGAGAGTACAATCATCAGCAAAGCAAACTCGTAAACAAAATCAGGGACCTACGCATGTCGTTCAACCGTCTCAAATAAATCTTCAAAATGTAATTGCACCATTTGATACGATGCCAAATTCACAGTTATTTACAAATGTACGATCACCATCACAACAGTACGAAGAAAAACTACGAGAAGCATTTTCAAACGAGCATAATGCTCATTTTTCACAGGTACTATGAAGTCTGATATCACAACCGAACGATTTAGTAAAATACTTAACAAAAAAGTTATATATCTTGATTTTATTTAGTCAAATGGAATGTCTTCACATAATCCATACCTTCGACCATCACAGTATCAATCTCCGTCAACGATATCACCATTTCAAATGGCAGCATCACCATCGGTTTCAATAAATTCTATAGCACCGGCTCTTTTGCAGCGTTTTCTTATTCAAAATGGTGAACGGCGCAATGTAGACTTTTCCTCTCAACATCAACCATTTTCATCACCGGAAGAACAAATGCGTTATACACCATCACCCCGTTTTGTTCATATACCTGGTAATACTCTTGAAAGAAAAAATTAAATTTCGTATCTGTGTTTTTTAGTACCGAGCTCTATTGCTTCATTAACTATAAATACGCCGGTAACATCACCCTATTCAAATCAAACTACTAGTCACGGTTCACCAGCATCCCCAGCGCAAAAGTGCAATAAACATAATGATGTGACTACAATATTGAATAATAGTATTCAACCATCGTCAGTTGTACATTCATCTTTATCATCATTAAATGTAGTACCACCAAAACCTGTTGAGAATCCAATAAAACAACAAACAACTGTAGAAGATAATGCAAGATCATCAACAGCAGTACTTGAAATTGTTCCTGATGTTGATAGTCCAAATAAGAAAAACATGTCAGGCTTTCTTATTAGTACACCATCATCAACTGGTACAGGTCTATCGTCATCATCATCATCATCATCGACGTCGAGCAATACACATTTTCATTATGATGATATTCCTCAACCAAAAGAACAAGAACCTACGCCTAGTTCATTTCATTGGCCATCACATTTGCGGCGACAATTAAGTCTTAATCTGGCAAAACAAACATTAAATCCTCTTCCATCAACGCCATATACACCACCACCGATGTTGAGTCCATTTCGAAGAGGTCCTGGTCTTTATTATCGAGTTTTTTCTCATCCAGGAACATGTGCAGAATCACCATCGATACCGACAACACCTCTTCCGCCGAGTACACCCCTTGGTGAAGAATCAACCGTTCCAAAAATTAACATTGGCAGAGACTATCAAGCAAATATTCCCAAACTTCGAACAAACTTAGACGATGATGATACAGGTTTGTACCATAAAAATCGAAATTTAATTTTAGCATAGTGACTCGCAGTATAAACTACTATAACGGTTTCCATTTACTTCTATATATTGTATAAATACAATATTTTGACTCTGGAATCACGTGAGATGATACTTTCCTTTGAGTTCATCACAACAAAAAATTCTAATGGCTCATAGTTAATATTATTTGTTTTTATTCTAGCAACGAGCGAAGAATTATTATTTTCACCAGCACAATTATCGTGTCTTGATGAGAAATCTCTTGAAACATTTGAAGAATTAAATCGAAGAAATCCATTTTTATTTTCACCACGTGATTCACCAAAAGCGTATCCACTTGAATTAATCTACATGTTATTACATGAATATAATGGTGATTTATCACGTACATTAGCAGCTTTACTTGAAGGTACAGCCAAAGATATAAAACAATGTCGACAATTGCATTGCTATCATTTTCTTGACTGTGATACATGGACAAAAGAAGAAATTGATGCTTTTACTAAAGCTATTCAAAACTCGGAAAAAAATTTCGGACTTGTCAGTCGAGCAGTATGTTCTTTACTTTTTTTTCAAATGCAGAACACAAATATATTGATTGTTTTTTCTTCTTTTTGTTTAAAGGTTGGAACCAAAAGTGTCAAACAATGTATTGAATTTTATTATATGCCAAAAGTTAGTGTAACTGCTCGTAAAATTTTATCAACAAGAACAACTGCTGTCATAACCAGACGAAAACGATTTCAAATAAATAAAGCAAAACAACAACTACTCGATGATGAAATATCGTCGTCATCACCATTTAGTGAATTTCGAATTGTATGTTTTTGTGATATTTTTACAGAAATATAGATATTCACCGATGTATTTTTATGCACTAAGCTAGCGTTAGAGGAGTGTAATGTACTCAATGGCGTAGTCTTACGAGAAAAACGTCATACTATTTATATATTAATCTCATAGAAATTAATCTACGAGTCGTTGTTTGTTTCCTTCTAGGATGATGATGGTTCAACAATGAATAGTGATAGTTCCCCTGCAGCTCAATTTTCCTGTGATATTGATGAATGTTCACAAGTAAGACAGTAATATTCAAATAAGAGTAAGATTTTATTCTTATGTTGTTTTCTTCCAGATATTCACATCTGAACGAGCCTGTCGCGCACATCGTAAGGATCATCGTCGGACTAATAATAACATGACAACATCATGGACAGTTACAAAACGAAGTCGTAATGTTGATTGAAAAAGTGAATAAAACATTTTACTTCTTTCAAATTTTAAATGTACATATGTTTGTTTGTTTTTTCTTTTTCTTTTTCTTGTTTTGGTTACATACCCTGGTCGAACAGTACGGTCCGTTTACGACTATTTTCCGGGTGAAATTTTGCCGTAATATCTGGCGCAGTAATACGGGCCGTATGGTCATGAGAGTACGGAGCACAAACAGCCGTAAACCATGAAAATTCAGTCCCGTTTACTGTGCCAGGTATTACGGGCAAATACGACCTAGTTGCTGTCGTAAATATACCGTTTTGACATCGTTTACCGTCGATAAACAGACTGTAAACGAGTCCGTTTTGATCAACCTGGGTATACATATATTTTTTTTTCTTTCGTGTTTTCAAACCATTGAGCAGTGATTAGTTTTGATAAGCAAGAAAAAAGTATATCTGAACAAACAATATGTCTCATATTGTTAATTTAGTTTTCTTTTTGTTTATTTGTTTCGAAGAAAAAAAGAACAGAGAGAAATCTTTTCGTGTGTCTTATACATATATATTTTGCAAAGAAGAAAAAACGGTGAATCGGATCTCGGTGTGTGTTTTTTTGTGGTCTTTTAGTCAGATCGTTTATGCGAGTGTGTGTTTATTTCTTTTTTGTTTGTTCCTTGCGCTCTCTCAACTACATCTATACTGATGGATGTAGTATAACATTTGTTTATTTATTTTTTCTTGCTATACGTGAAAGAAGAACAGCGTATAGATGTGCTTTGTTTCTTTTATTGTGTTTGATTGGAAAGTTTTTATGTATAAAAAAAAAAAGAAAGAAGAAATATATAAAAACAAGTGATTATTATATATCAGTCATACTTTCAGTATAATCTGTAACATCATCCATCGGTTTATCTTTTGTTTCAGGTAACATTAATGAAAATAGAACAACTACGAAAGCTATCAATGCTGACCCATAAAATGTATAGGGTGCATAAGGTTTACTAGTTTCTGTATTGAGAATAGGTGCTACTATGGCACCAATACGGCTAAATGCAATGAAGACTGCATTAGCAGTGCTTCGAATGGATGTTGGAAATAGTTCAGGCACAAATATCCATGCTATAGCAGTCGCGCTAGATATGGTAAATTTTCCAAATTGCGCTAAACCAACACTTGCGATTGAGCTGTATTTTACAATAATTGGAATCAGGAGAAGAGAAATGATTGTTAAACTCATCGTTAAAATGAATGAGCCTTTACGACCAAGTCTACTGGAAATAAGTACAGTACTTATAAGACAACCGATGGCTTCAACAACAGCGCCAATAAATATTCCGAGATGAGGTGAAATATTGAGCATCGCTAGACTAAAACTTATCTTTATATAAATCATCAGAGTTGTAAAGCCTATCACAGCTGTTAACAGTAATTTGATTATAGTTGCTCGACGAAAAAATAATCGATAAGATTTTTGTGAATATGTGAGTTCATTTTTGTGAGATAATTTTATCGGCTGATTACGTAGTAACTCTTGATAACATGGATACCAATCTGTTTCTTTTCGTCCATTTTGAGTTGCTATTCGTCTTAAAATAGTTTCGAGTGGAATATATTGTCGTTTCGCATATGTATACAATGGTGATTCTGGCATAAAATAGAGATACGGTATTCCTAAACCAATAAACGATGTATTGGCCCATTTTAATTTTTGCCAATCTCGTGTCATAAATGCGAATAGAGCAGCAAGAATTTGACCCATTGTAGAGGCAACAAAGATCAAATTTCCAGCTAAACCTGTATGTTCTGCTGATGTTAATTCAAGAACTAGAATAAATACTAAACTATAAATAGAAAAGGCAAGACCAGATACAAATTGATTGAGCAATAAAACAATGAATCTAGCCGGAAAAAAATCGTTGTTTTTTTTCTAAGTAATTTAAAAATTATTTACTTGGTTTTTATTGTCATTGGTATCCATTGCATTATGATTAGAGTTATGAGACATGCAAAAAATAGAAGAAACGTAACAATAGAAATCATTTTCTTTCGACCATATCTATCAGCCAATGAACCGATGATGAGTAATGAAAAACCGCCACATTGTACAGCCGTAGCTAGCCAACTTCTTTTTGATTCATTTTGACAAACAAAATCAGCTTCTTCAGTAAATGTATAGCCAAAAATCGACTGGTCATATGCCCATCCATCAGGACAATTTACAAGTGAACCACTTCGATTACTTGTCACATAGCGTACACATTTTTTCCATTGTTTTCCATCGTTATTTTTTGGAATATACTGATTAATGAATATTTCATGTGTTTGATTTAATGGACTATAGTGTTTATCATCTGGCCATACATTTGTTGGTAATCGACATCGATGATCAGGCGTAGCAGCACCAAAAACATAATAAAATGAAGTAATCGAACCATTCATTGTCATTATACTCAAGAAAACATAATGCATTATTTGAAATCGACCAAAATCACCACATTTTCTTAATATATTATCAAGAGAAACACCGGCTGTGGTTAACGATGATAAGCTTGTATTGATATCGATAGGTCCAACCTAAAATCATATATATTGAAACAAACTTCAACAAAAATAATATGACTTTATTTTTCTTACATGTAAAGTATGTTTTTTTGTATCAATATGAAATGAGTCAACTTCACTTTCTCCTTGACTCATGTTGTTGTTCTTGTTGAGTTTTACTGCATAAAAATCAGAAGTATATTAACCATTAATGAATATTCATCTTTTGTGTTCGACGTAAACCCATTTACCTGAAAGCAAGAAAAAATTGTATTTTGTTACTTTTTTTTTACTCCCTAGACGTCAAACCATTCGTTTAGGACCTTGTGTTTGTTGTTTTTTAGGTAAAAAACGTCATAGATTTTGTTTTTCGGTGCTTCTACACGATACGCACACCCTCATTGTTTTACTGTATATGAGAAGTGAGAGGAAAGGAAAAAAAAGTAATTGGATAACTCTCTCTATCGATTGAAATATTCCGATCAAAGATGACGCAAGATAAAAGTTATAGAAAAAAATATAGTGATACTGCTCTAATAGAATAAAAAGAAAATCTTTCAAAGCCCAATCAATTAATTAATCAATCGAAACTATTGATATAAAAGGCATGTTGAAAAAATAGAATTTCATTCTAAAATGGATATCGTATTACTTACATCGCTTGATAATATTGATTTTCGTGAATGGTGCAAATTAACTTGTAGCACTAAAAAATGTATCGACTTTTGTCAAAACGTTGGTTTGATCGGTTTCACTCTAAATGAACCTTGTGCACAAGGTCATAATAATTGGAAACTAGGTTCTTGTGCACGAGCATCTGATGAATTTGTATGGAGATGTGGAAAATGCAAAAGCACAAGAACTATTCGACATGGCACATTTTTTTCTAATTCGAAACTTGCAATTCGTCAAGTTCTTGATCTGACATACTTCTGGGCGTAACAAATCGATTCTCATGCATTCTTAAGACGTCATTGTAAGTTTGCAAGCGAATCAACAATAGTTGATTGGAAGAATTTTTCTCGAGATTTGTGTGGCGAGCACTTTTCGAGACATCCGGTGGTCATTGGAGGACCGGGGCACATTGTTGAAATTGATGAAAGTGCGTGGACAAAAAGAAAGTACAATCGGGGGCGTCTTGTGTCTAATCAGTGGGTCTTTGTCGGTATCGATAGAGATACGCGCGAGTGTTTTGCAGTTTTAGTTGATCAACGCGATGCTGCAACACTTCTTCCAATCATCCATCAATATATTCGTGCTGGTACTACGATCTACAGTGATCAATGGGCCGCTTACAACGGAATTGCTAATGGGCCCGGTCCTGATCGATACAATCATCAAACAGTCAACCACTCCGTAAATTTCGTTGATCCAACAACTTCAACACATACTCAAAATATTGAGAATTTATGGATGTGCATGAAGAGAAAAAAGAAAAACCAAATGGGGCAGCATGTAACTCTTCTCGGAACTCATCTGACTGAGTATATGTGGCGTCAGCGTTTTGGAGATCGCCCATTTGAAAATCTCGTTCGAGCTATTCAAGAAAAATATGTTGTACAATAGATTGTCTTGTGTTCTCTTTTTTTTCTCAAATAAATTCATATATAGTCATACGACATCTTTCATAACAATATTTCAATCGATAGGGAGAGCTATCCAATTACTTTTTTTCCTTTCCTCTCACTTCTCATATACAGTAAAACGATGGGGGTGTGCGTATCGTGTAGAAGCACTAATTTCTATTTGAGATGTTTCTTCTTAGTACCATTTTGCTATCGAACAGGTGACTGCTTTGGAGTTGTGGTGTGGTTTGCTAAAAATAGACCAATGAGAATAATGGCGTTGCATTTCACTTTTTCTTGTGAAGAAAAATTGCGTAGGTAAAGAAAGGCGTTATTTTTAACCCTTTTCAGCCGGTCCCAGTAGCGACATAGTTAAAACTCTTATTCTACATATATTTTCTTATCTTGCCATAGAGATAGCAAAAAACTATTTCTTAAAATTGAACCGTACTTCTATGTTGAATAGCTGTATGTTGCCATTTGGCAACATCCATACCTCTTATTACCAGTATTCATTGAATCATCTCTTTGAGTGATCCAATTTGCAATAGATCAAATAGGAGAAATTTACCACTAGTGACCTGTGGGATTGAATGATTCAGAGTTCCAAAAGAACGTCTTTTATGATTCAGTTGTTCTTTAGGAGTATTCAAGAGGACTCAGGTAATTTTCTCAGCTGAACGTTTTTGTTTTGTTTCATGGGCTATGAGTGCGTTCTAAAATGTCTTGTAGTAATTATTGAATTATTGATTCACTATCTATCCACAGTATAGCTATACCTTTCTTAAAATATTGGCACAATGTTGCCAAATGGCAACATCCGGCCGTAAAGGGTTAACTGAAATATCAATTTTCCCTTGGAAAATAAAGAAATACCGTATAATCATAAAAATAAAATCACTTTTCACAAAAACAAAAATTTATCTTATCTGTTACGGAAAAATTCATTTTAAATGGTTTTGTTGTTTTCAAATTAAGCAGACAAACTGTTATTCTAATTTCCTACCGATATAATTACTATCAATATAGTCAAATCTGTGCACCATTTGTTTTCATTATCGAGATGGCTTCAATGATACAAAATGAAAAAACAAATCAATTGGTACTTTTTCATATTTTCGACATGATATTCTGCTTTTTGAATCGTCAGTATATGACTTTATTCAAATCAAATTAGCTAATTTTTCAATTTATTCTCCTTCGAGAATCCTGTTTTCAAGGCAGCGTAACAAGACTAAAATGTTCAGTTAAAATAATCGAGTGTATATTTATCAGATGAAAACAAAAACAGAAGTTTTTCTAGCTGACAACTATTATGGTGAAAATATCTTGACAACCGACCGCTCAGGATATTCATACCGACACCAATCATCAAAAATTTAGATCAGTGGCGGTTCTACATCTAGCTTGTCAATAATGTTTAACTTCATAATCATCGTCGAATGTTATTTTTTATTGAACAGAATAATGTATCAACACGTCATCCTCGCTACATTTTCTAGATCTGACACAATGATGTAATACCTTTCATTAAATAACGCTCAAGCAAACGAAAATTTTCAAAACGCGTTTAAATATCACAAAAACATATTCATATAGGTTCAAAGACGTTTTCTGAAAAGAAAAATAATATTTAGCGCACGAGAAATATCCTGTTTACTATGCACAAGTTTTACAATAATATTGAGTGGATTCAATAGTTGTTCGCAGAAGATGATCATATTTATATCAACTTTCTTGTTGACTGTCTGAGAGTTTCGTCGGCACACTCACATCCTCAAGATTTTGAAAAGTTTTGTCTGCTTGGGAAACGATAATGATTTAGACGTATTTCTGTTTCTATGAACACTAAGCAAATATCAAGCCGCTCCGTAATTTTATATGAGCAAATTTTAGGCAGTGGACCACTCGCATCAATAAGTGTATATATCATTCATTCATTCAATAGATGCCCTGAAGCCAACTATAAAACAAAGAAAAATCTACAGTACGTTAGACGAACATATTTCCGATGCTACTTGAACAAACAGAAGATACGAAATGATCAATGCACGTTATTCAAATATTAATAGTTATTTTACCGATGACAAATAAGAAACATTATACTATGATCGAAGTGTGATGAAAACACTTCTTCGGCAAAGCTTCTCATTGGCAGAAGCGCCATAAAATAAATAAATGAAACAGTATAAGACTTCAATGGCATTTCTACTTAAAAATAACTCCCTAATGCATACTCTTGTGTTCGCATTGTTTTCAATCAATGTTCTTGTCAGCTCTATTAGCATTCCATTCATTGATAATGCGGTACTTGTTCCAGTTTCAATTTCAACTAGTACCATCATCCAAAATCTGACATGTGACCAATGCTTGTGTAATGCGACAAGTTCGCAATTAGCTGTAAACTGTTTTCCGAACGATACATGTCAAATGTTTACCAATGTTCCTCGTACCTATACTATTGAAACGGTGGCGAATGGTCGCCTGTACTTTCCTCAACAGATATTACCCAATGCAAGTCAATGTTGTATGCCTGATCTGGATGAGGTATTGAGCAAACTTCAAAATGCTACGTCGATCTACGTTAGTATAAATAATTCTCGTTGTCTTGCATTCGATAATCAAGGACATGTGGCTTCGATCGATAGCGCGGCTAAACTTTTAAAAATTTTCAATGCTACAAATTTGGCGCTTACCCTTCAAAGTTCAAGTTTAAGTACATCCAGCCTTACTAACATGGCATATTATGATGGAAATTATTATGTCGGAACTTCTGCAAACACTATTCTTATCATCAATGGCACCAATCTAACTATCATTAATACTATCAACTCGTCGAGTCTCAGTGGACCACGTGACATGACCTTCATGGACAATGGATCTATCATGATTGCAGCATCCACTGGTAATAACAAGTTATTGATCTTCAATAGAACAAGTGTTGCACCATTAAGTTACTCATTTGCTTATCAATTACCTGTCAGCTATGCATATCCACATGGTTTCTTGCGAATAAATGATAGTTTCCTTTATGTGACATCATGGTTCAATAACACTGTCTATTCTTATAATGCACTAAATCTTTACAATATGTCATGGACTGAGACGTTCGATTTCAGCGCGATACCAGTAGCGCCACCAAGTAATGGTAACCATATTCAGATTGATGAATGTGATCGACGTTGGTTTTCCTTGGGAAACTACGGTATTAAAATATTTAATAGTTCTGGCAGTCCAATTGGAAGTTTCACTCTGGCGAATTTATCAGTTTTTGACTCATTGCTTACGGATAACTACGTCATATACTTGTCGGATACATCATCTAAAAGAATCATTCGTATTGATCCCAATATGGATTGTCAATATTAGTTGCTTCAATACAAGCATAAAAATAACTTGAATTATATGTCGAATCATATCCTTTGATATTTACTATTTCTTTCTTTTCGTCTTCTTGTATATATATATATATATATATATATATATGCGTATGTGCTTGTGAAAGAATAAAGAGAAATGCTTATGCTCTTTGTAGAAACGAACGCCATATGTTTAATTTTAGCTCAGTGAAAAAGAAGAACATAACAGATCGAATTCAAATTTAGTATTGAATGTGCCTATATGTGTAGCTACGGGCAAAATTGCGATTAGCAATGACCACCTGAGAACTATTTGGTTTGGACAGATAGTTCCTAATGAGATGATATATCAGCCGATAGTTGATGCAATATATTCTTTTTGATATTGTCAAACACTGTGCTACAAAAAAAACATGTACGAGACTATTCTGTTTAATTAAAAGAATATTCCAAAATACTAAACAGATTTTATTAATCTGCTATCTCACGCAGTCATATCATCACAAAGTAAATGGCTAACTATTTAGTATCGTAATTTTGCATAAATTTGATTGATCATTATAACAGACTACATCGAATAGTCATAGATATTCTCAACTATATGAGTTTTTTAAATTCGTAGGATTCCATTCTGCATAAATGTTTCTCTAAAGTTGAAGAGTGTGAAGAACGTTTTTCTACTCAATGCTTCAACAACATTAATGAAATTAAAAAAAAAAGAAATTGATAATGACAATGATTGGTTTCTAGAAGCCAAGATCTTGTACTAAGTCATCATGCATCTTATTTAAAGAAGAAAAGTGAATGTGACTCAAGCCATTAATTCGTATTACATTCCAATATTTAATAAGACTGTGAGTTTACGAGTATAGGATTCATTATAGGTAATTCCATGGGATTTCACCAGTCAAACCGGGTACTACCTCCAGATTTCTTGAAACGGTCAGGATTTGTTCAGTTGTTTTCGCTGATCATTGTGGTATAACATTTATTGGGGTTCAATGCCTTTTTCGTATACTTATGAAAGAAATACTTTTTATGCTATTTTGAATTTTTTGGTGATTAAAAAACCTGTAGGATTTCCAAAAATCAACAATACTACATCAATATGTTATAGAATTTAAAAACCAATTATATATTCAGATTCAGCGTGAAAATCTGCATCAGAATCCTTAGGAATCTTAAGACTTCTATATATTTTGATGCACAGTCTCAAAGACCCTCTTGTTTTCAGTGACAGCATTTTTACGAAAAGTTATTTCAAAAATGTTACTATAGAAGTTGGAATTATCCAAAAAAGCGGCGCTAGCCATTCGATAGAGCAAAACTTACTCTACAACACGCAAAGGTTGTTTTTTCCTCGTTTGATTCTGGTGAGAAAAAGTGAAAAAAAACACTTTTGCCTGGAACTTTTGATGGACTTGCTCGTTATATCTAATTACTGATGGTAATAATACCCTAGAGTTTATTGTGACTATCAAGGTATCTAGAACGTGTTGTACTGATCATTTTGGTACTAAATTATTGTATATTCGACTCTATTTTCATGAGCAACTCACTGAAATGAGATATACCTGTTTTGGCACATCGTTTCTTTAAAACAAAACGAACACAAATAGTCGCTGTCTCCAAGTTTTTCCACATTTCCATTTAAAATGTTTTCATGGTCGGTTGCTGATATAATTGGCTAATTCTTCGCCAATTTTTCTTTTCCCCTTCGGATGTGTTAGTTGTGCACCGATTTTGGAGAAGTACGTTTTGCGTTTCGACAAAACTTCATCATGGAAAGGATGCGAACACGAGATTCGCGTTCTATAATGCATATCAACAGAGAAAAGCTGCGAGTAGGAAAAGTAAAAATTACAACGAATGAATATTGGAGTTTGATAAAGACCAAGAATCTCTTTTACCTTCATTTTTAACAGAAATAACTACACATATATTCACCCATAGGTTACATATCATTCTAAATATAAACAGTTTGCCAATCTTCTTCCTCCCGAAAATTAGAGTTTGGGAAAAAACTCATTAATGTATGTTATAGAGCTGGTTTCATCTTATGAAATCATTCCTGTCATCGTTTTAAACTATTCGATTATTTTAATTAATTCTATATGTTTTCATATTCACTTTTGATTGCATACATAAAGCACATGATGAAAGATACATGGCAAGGGTATTTATGAGTTCATATATTGCCACAAATTCTAATGCTAATTTCATGATCGATACGAACGCATTATCAGTCTAATAGATGTCAATGAATAGTAAAGCGATCCCACTTTTGTTTTAAGAAAAAATGCATGTTTTTATATCTAATAATCATATGTGCCAAAACAGGTATATCTCATTTCAGTGAGTTGCTCATGAAAATAGAGTCGAATATACAATAATTTAGTACCAAAATGATCAGTACAACACGTTCTAGATACCTTGATAGTCACAATAAACTCTAGGGTATTATTACCATCAGTAATTAGATATAACGAGCAAGTCCATCAAAAGTTGCAATCAAAAATAGTGTTTTCGCTTTTCCCCATTAAAATCAAACGGGGGAAGAAAACCAGCTAGTGCATATTGTAGAGTAAGCTTTGTTCTATCGAATGGCTAGCGGCACTTTTTGGATAATTCCAACTCCTATAGTAACATTTTTGAAATAACTTTTCATAAAAATGCTCTCACTGAAAACAAGAAGGTCCTCGAGACTATGCATCAAAATATATAGAAATCTTAAGATTCCCAAGGATTCTGGTGCAGATTTTCACGCTAAATCTGAATATATAATTGGTTTTTAAATTTTATAAAATATTGACGGAGTAATGTCGATATTTCGAAATCCTACAGTTTTTTTTAAAACTTGCATGTTTGCTACTCTTTTTACTTGGTAAAAAGGTGTATGTGTGTGTATTTGTCTTGTAAACAAGCATCAAATGTTTTTATAGTCTATCACTGAATGTGCTACAATAGGAACACTTTTGATATTATATCATTTCTTTTTCCCCATAGAGCCATACGGTATCACGAATGATCTCGATCACGTCGATATGATTACTCGCATCAATAGGTTACATTCGATATTGTATAAATTATGGTGAGAATGTACATGGGGAAATTTGTTTTCATCTATAACTTCAGTCATACCCATCTCACATCATACCGAAAATTGACAGACATTTATTAGCTCTTAAATTCAAACGCGAAATAAAACTTTGCAAATTTCTCCAAAAAACTATTAAATATGGGCAAAAACAGTTATGATGATGACACGTATGACAATATATTTGAATGCATAGATGATGGATCCTCCTGGTTGTTCCACATAAAAGTTAGGCGCATTTTCAACCATAAAAGAATTTTCAAAAAAATTTTCAACAATTTTCATGAATTCTATGTAAATATTCAAAAGAAATTGATATCATAATGATTTTCAAGTAACTTTTTGCTTTTTGATTTGGATTTAATTAGTGTTTTCGGAATTTTCGATCATTTATTCGATCATCTTCAGCTTACCAATATAAAAAGACAGATTTTATAGTCTCATGAACATAAACTTGACAACATTCACAAATAACTAATTTTACAACGAAATGATGAATTCAGTATGCTACTAGCTAATGTTCAAATTTCATGAGACTATAAAATCTGTCTTTGTATATTGGTAAGCTGAAGATGATCGAATAAATGATCGAAAATTTCGAAAACACTAATTAAATCCAAATCAAAAAGCAAAAAGCAAAAAGCTACTTGAAAATCATTATGATATCAATTTATTTTGAATATTTACATAGAATTCATGAAAATTGTTGAAAATTTCTTTGAAAATTTGAACCCTTATTTAGTAGCATACTGAATTCATCATAAAAGAATTATTAAAATACCGCAACACAGTCATCTAACGAATAACTTTTCCCTTTTTTACGCACATACGAAAAAGACACACCATTGGCAGTCACGGAATCACTTTACTCTCCAATTTTTGATCGAACTTTTTTGTGAACATGCATTTTGGCACGTGACTGTTACTTATAGAAAAGCATTTTCTTTTGTGCTGAAACTTGATGAAGCAAACATAGACATACAAAACAATCTTCTATTGTTCTCTAAGGATATTTCATAGGCTGAAAAAACAGCAAGAAAAATGTCTTCAACTTATCGTGCTATCATCAATTCACGTTTAATAGGAAACCTTCATACTGTGAAAAAGATACAAGTAGCAAACCTAATTGGTTTGAGATATTAATTTCAAGAATAATTAAGATGCGCATGTCCATAGGTGTTAGCGGCGGATGTGGGTGTGGGTCTTCTTTCATTCTATACCAACACCCACACCCACACCCTCAGAATCCAGTTTTTCTCCCTTGGTATTCACTTAGTTTCATTTATTCAGACAACAAGAAATTTTTTTAAGTTTCTTTTTAAAATCTAATCATAAACGAAACAACTCTAGCAAGCTTTGCTTTTGTAGTTTTAGTGAAGAAATTCTTTTTCGACACATTTTTAAGCATAAGTGAAGGACATCTATCAAAACTAGAAATTTTCTACTGTACTGTTAAGAGAAAGATAGCTTTATTTCATAAACAAACCACGTGCGGTAATGCAGTTTACAAACAAAGCTGCACGTAGCAGTTTATCGTCCGGGCAACAAAAAGAAATTCAAAATGAGTTTCATCCGAATAATAAGAACATGAAACGAACAACTTTTCATTCTTTAGCGAAGAGAAAAATTAATTCTTTGAGATATTTTATTTGAGACCAAACGTTCGTTGGTAAATAATAGACAAATGTAAGTATATTTCAACATTGCATAGAAATAGCGATGAAATAATTCTAATTTCGATCAATTTCAACTCAAAAGTTACTAGTGCAAATCGTACGTAAAGCGCAGATGAGATAGAAATACTAAACTTACCTCTCTCGTTTAGCTTCGTTATACGCACTCAAGTGAACGGAGGATAATTCACAGAGTCTTTTATCATCATTCTCAGTAAAATAGTATATGAAATGGTTGATTGCTACAAGACTGACGTCAAGTTGATTAGGAATAATAGCAGGAAGACTAACATATATTAACTTTTACGACGCTTCCAAGCGAAACATATGCACAAAAGGGAACCAACCCAGTGAAAAAAAATAAAAGGACAAACTTTAGCTTCAACGGTAAAATAAATTCATGTACCCATCAAATTATTTGAACAGATTAGACACAAATATCTGCGAGAAAGATGGATATGATTGGGTACAGAGAAGACTTGTCATCGCGCTAGCACCCACCCCCTCAAGAAAAAGAAAAAGAAGCAGCGACACTAATTAGGCCACAAAAAGAATCTGTGCATGAATATGGATGCGTGTTAGTATTCAGTTCTATTATTCATATGTCTATATTTTCATTCACGTCCACGTATACATATCAGTATCCTCAATTGACTCGATTTAACAGTATTTTGTAATCATTTCTAGAAAGTCGTCTCATAATGGTGGATACTGCTCTAAGTGTGATACCGACTATTGTGAATCTGGGAATCAAAATTTATGATGCCTTCGAGACAAAGAAAGAAAATAGTGAAGAATGTAAACATCTCATTGTTCATATCGAGAGCATCAGGGACCAACTAGATTATTTGAAGAAAGTGACACGCGATCAGGAAAAATCCTTAGAACAAGAACTGTGTACATTGAAGGATCGGTTGAAAGAATGCGAAAAATTTATCGACCAATTTGGCAAAAAATGGCTGCTCACCAAGCTAGTATTCAACCAAGGTCAAAATGATGAATTAAAAACTTTGAATGTACACCTCGATTCATGTCAGAAGCAGCTTCACTATAAGATGACCCTCATCTTCGAAGATTACCGTCAAAAAGATACGCAGAAGATAATCAATACACAACATATGCAAAGCGCTGCGATACAAGAAATTCACCATGATGTGAAACGATTGCTAGCAGATCAAGTATGTAATACGCAAATTGATAATTGAGAAAAAACTAAAATACTTTTCAGTTTATTCCTTACGATAGTAACACGTGAAGCATGATAGATTAGTTCCACTCTTTAAGGAGACACTGAGACCAATTCATCATTGTAACCCTCGAAAGCTTTGACGATTCTATGTCTGCCATAGATTGTGTGAAAGGATGGAACAAGTCGTTCACTATGTACTTCAGCATTCATTATTGATTTTGTTTCCTAGTTATTCTTCACAAAAATCGAATTTCTCAACCAATTTTTCTTTCGAAATGTTTTTCAAAAGTGAAACATAAAAGGACTATGCGCTGAGTCTGTTGCAACTCGGAATCGTTACCATCCTAATTCTATCATTGATGCATATACAATTCTGTTGAGAACCGCCCATGTGATTCGAACTAGGAAATAACCGGCTGTTGACCGTTTGGGACCTTAGTACATTATGTTTTAGTGTAACCAAATAGCTGAACATTTTTTAAGTCTGTTAAAACCAACAGAATTTCGATGAATTCAGTGTGAACCAATTATTTTTGATGCGCCTGAGCCACCTGTACCAGTCAGAGAGCCCGAATCGGCCCCAGTGCTGAGAGTGATGTCACCGATATCTCAGTCGAGTTCGAAGATGAGAGGGGTCCGTCAAGAAATGGCTGAGTTATCGAAAAAACTGTCATCATTGACCACACCATCCCTGACGGGGGAGGGTGGTACAGGAATTTTTCAAAAAAGTTGTTTTTCTCTGAATTATCCAAAACATATATAAATCGAGTCAGTGTTTGAAGTACACATAACAATCGAATGCAAATCAGATGTTTCCGCATTTATGTATGAATGAAACCGGATTACATGGACACTACACCGTCGGTATACCGATTGTATTGAGAAGAAACGCGCGACATGGACTCTCTTTTTCTCTTGAGGAAAGGACAGAATAGGGTGTAGGTGTGGGTTTTTGTATAGATTGAAAGAAGACCCACACCCATATTTTGTTCATCTCAAAAGGTAGTCGCTGCTCTAGAAACAGTTTCAAGTCAAATGCTCTGTATTTTTTCTATCCAATAAGTCGAAATAATATTTCAGATGACCATCTTTCCAAAATTTTATTCACTTTATGCCTTGTCTTGTGAAAATATTCGCTGTTCTCGAACAAATCAACTTTTATGAAAAGCTACTGTTGAGTAATGCTGAGAAATATAGTATGCAGGTGAACGCAAGCTGACCAATCACACACCCACACTATATCCAAGGGGAGAGTAACTGGTTTCTTTGTTTCAGGTGATCTCCGACGATTTCTGTGATTTCAGGAGATTTCAGGTGATTTCAGATGATTCCCTTGATTTCACTGATTTCAAGTGACTTCAGGTGATTTCATTGATTTCCGCTATTGAAATCAGTTGCTTCCCCTTTGATCAGATCGAACCGGTAAGAAATGCTACAGCAGGACATTGTGTTGGGGTCATGCAGTGACCATCTCTCCTGAGAGTATCGTATTAGATGAAAGGATACTTGAGGATTCAAGAGATTTAGATATAAATTGTGTAATATCGAATAATCGAAGCATATCAGGGAAGTATCATGTGGACAGTTACAGGAAAGGTTGAAGGTGACAGAGTGACAGCAATATTTCGCACATTTCGCTTTATCTGAAGAAGGAGAAGAAAGATCCAAGTAAAATTTATGGACAGCAATGAACTCAAACACTCATTAATAATAGAAATGGATCCAGTCTGAAAATGGCACGAAGTGAAAAGTGTAGTATAGGCATTCTATAATACCGTCAATCTGTTTCTCTTGTTTAATCACATTTTTTTTTCTTTTCTACAAATTCAGAGAAAAATGGGAGCATTTGCAGCAAAACGACGGTGTACTATACTAACACTGACCGAGTATATTACTTCAGAGAGTTCATATCATACGATTTTTGCTCTAAACACATGATTGACTGCCAACCAAAATAAAATAGACATATAAGAGAGTCCCATGGAGCAATTTTTAGGAGGATACATTTGAAACCAAGGCGTTTCGAAAACTTTTGTGATGAGAAAAGTGGATTCAGGACACGAAAAAGTTTGTTTCGCAGAACTCTACTGTATGATCATGTAGATTATAGTGCGCAAGAAATTTTTGGAACAACATTTTCGGACGGAATACTAACAATTTCCTCGAAAGTTCCCCTTTGAGATTCACTTCGGCATCTACGTAGATACGATATTTCAATATATTGAACGTATTTATTTCATAAAATTTTTATTTCCAGCGACCTTGTACACCTACTTCAACCCGTGAACAAATAAATATAATTGATCAAGTAAAAAATAAATATAAAACAAATTCTGGTATTAAGCGTACGGTGAACGAGGAAAAAAGTTTCCCAATTGAACAGAGTTACATTAACTTGGCTATAGTAGAAACCAAGGAACAGCATGAAAAAGAGAAGAAGCTAAAGGAACAAGATCAAAAGGCGAAAGAACCAGAAACCAAGGAACAGCATGAAAAAGAGAAGAAGCTAAAGGAACAAGATCAAAAGGCGAAAGAACCAGAAAAACAACAGGACTTTAGTCTAGAAAAGCAGCACGATGAAATACTCAGGACTTACGAAGAGATTTATGGCGTTAAGACCTCCATTGATGTTGAGAACATTTTTCAACAATGTAAAGATCAAATAAAAAAGGTATTCGTACTTGGACGGGCTGGAATTGGAAAGTCAACATTTTGCCAGTATGTTACCTACCGATGGGCAAAAGGTGAAATTTGGTCCGAATATGAACTGGTGATTTTGATCCGTTTAAGAAGATTGACAGATAGTCGTTATCCGCCGAGTAAAAAATACTCAGTGAATCATCTTCTGGAGAACGAATATTTCCCATGTGACGAATTATCGCACGCACAAATAAAACATTTTAAACAACTATGTAATAAAGGACAAGTTCTCTGGATATTAGATGGTTATGACGAATTTGCCCAAAATATTCCGGAGCAACTAAAAGATGTGTTCGACCATGTACGTGAGACACAGCATCATATATTAACATCTCGTCCTTATGCTATTAAATCATCATATGACGTGAAATTGGAAATAACAGGATTTACAAACGATAATATTGTCAAGTATGTTGACCAATTCTTCGATCAAACTATGAAGGAAATTAATACTGATTCGTTCGAGGCCCAAAAGCTTCTGAGATTGTTAAAAAGCAATTCTAGCATTTGGGGTGTTGCCCATATTCCAGTGAATTTAGAATTGATATGTAGTCTTTGGAGTAATAATGATTGGACAGAAACAACAGTATTGACAATGACAGTATTATATGATAATATAATAGAATGGCAATGTCGGCGGTACTTAGCAAACAAAAATATAAATCATGAAGATCTAACGAAGTCAGCTGTTTATGATAAATGTAATACGGAGCTTCAATTTTTAGAATACTTGTCTTTCAAAGGAATGGAATGCAACAAAATTATGTTGACACCAGCGTTTCTCATAGAAGCAAAAGACGATCTTAAGAGCTTCGCAATTGACATCCCACAAATATTGAAAATGGGCATTCTTAAATCATACGACGATAAGGCAATTGGAACTCAAAATCAAACAGAAAAACAACATTATTTTGTTCATTTAAGTTTTCAAGAACACTTTGCTGCACGTAACTTACTAAGAATTCTCAAGAGCACTGACAGAGTAAAAGCAATCAATTTTATCAACAGCAACAAATACAACCAACGTTTCCACTTCGTCTTTGTTTTTGCATCAGGCCTTCTAGCTCAGTCTCATTATAAATCATGCATCGAGCCCTTTTGGTCAACCGTTCAAAGTGAGCCCATAGATCTGGTCGGAGTCAAGCATATAAAACTTTTAATAGCATGCGTTGATGAATTCATCGGACAGACCACAGCCCCTCAAAGTACACCGCTACTACAATCAATATCGAAGTGGTTAGCGTTCTGCGCTTCGCATAATGCGACTCCCATTAACAAACATTTGATACAATCACTTCAACAGACTAATCGTATACTCAATACCACAATCATACAAAAAACGTTTCTCCAACTACTCGACACTGAAGACCCAAATGAAGAACGTACCGTATATCTTTTCATCGCCGAACTTCCAATAACCGAGCCCATCCCAAAACTACAATCAAAAATTCTAGCGGCGCTTTATGATATGGGCCTCAATGCTCGAGCAACAGCATCTACAATAATAGGAAACTTCGGTGAAAAAGCAGCAACAAATGGTGTCATCGCTGCTTTGCTCAATGCTATACGCGATGAAAAACATTATGTCCGACAGGAGGCGTGTAGCGCATTGGGAAACTTGCGTGAAAAAGCAGCAACAAATGAGGTGATTGCTGCTTTAGTCAATGCTATGAGCGATTACGTTTATCGTGTCCGATGGAGGGCGTGTGAAGCATTGGGAAACTTGCGTGAAAAAGCAGCAACGAATGAGGTGATCGCTGCTTTGCTCAGTGCTATGCGCGATGAAGAAAGTTATGTCCGAGAGGAGGCGTGTGAAGCATTGGGAAAGTTGGGTGAAAAAGCAGTAACCAATGAGGTGATCGCTGCTTTGATCAATGCAACACGCGTTGAAGAGTATAGTGTCCGACGGAAAGCGTGGGAAGCATTGGGAAAGTTGGGTGAAAAAGGAGTAACAAATGAGATGATCGCTGGTCTGGTGAACGAACTTGCTGGCAGGATAGATTATGGTCACGATACGTTTCTAGACAAGTGTTTGGTGCGAGCAATGTGTTCATTTGACGGAATGAAACAACTTAACTCTGGAATAGTGAAAAAACTATGTAGTTATATTCGAAATTGTACGATGATTGATTTGACAGTGATACCTTCGGAACATATGATCAAGGTGTTTTTTGATAGTGGGAATGCTAGCTGGCTGGGTTTGGTTGTATATATTGCATTATCGCAAGGAATCGCTGTAACTGTTGAGGGAAGTTGCATTTGGATTTATGATGGGAGGGGGCCGTTCGAGTGTAATGGGGATCGTCCCGAATTGTTGGCAAGTTTGATAGAGGCGTTTAGAAATCAAAAGAGTGAAATCGAAAGCGGATGATCATGTATGTAAAGAACCGATAACTAATCTGTGCATTTATCGAAAACGAACGAGATGCTGTCCTACGATCGTCTAATTGTTTTTTTTTGGGTGATGTTTTGATGAGACGGGCGGTCACGATTGTGGTTCATTGCTTATTGTTAGTTTTTTTCAAATTTTCACCTGTTGAAATCGGTTAATAAACAAGAATTATTTGATGACGGTTGTGACTGTAAAATTGTGTTATTTAGAGTCTGAAAGTTGAGTGAAGACGGTATCTATTCAGCGTGTTTTTGCTACTGTCTTTAAGACAGCATTATAAATTAGTTTTCTTAATCTTATACGGTATTGTATGTTGACGATATTGTAATTAGAACTTGTATTAACAGGCATTATAATCGAAAGAATGAAGCGATGAAAGTATAAAAATGTGTACTGCAATGTCTAAAAGCAAGTGAAATATATAGACGACCGTTGAACAATGCTGCGATTGTGTTCTTTGTTCTTTTGCATTTACTATCTGTTCTACATTAGAGAATGTTCGTCCACGAAATAACTTATTGGGGAAAATTATTAGCTAATCAACGAAATTCTAATGAACAATAGAAAAGAAAAGAAAAGGAAATGAATATTATTTCACAACAGCAAATTATAATTTTCGACATTTTTTTTCAATATTTTTTCCTTCGGCATTTATTTTTCAATATTCCGCTTTCGACATTTTATTTTTCGAGGTTTTTTCTTTCGACGTTTTCAATACATGCCGGAATAACACATAATGGTGTTTATCGGAGCATACGTCGATTGCGTGATACTGGGTCAATACAAGATCGTCCTCGAACTGGCCGATCTCGCACGTGTAGAACCAAAGAACGCATCAAAAGAATAAGAGAAAAAAATCCGACGAAATCCTGAAAGGTCTGCAAGAAAGTAAGCAATGGGAGAAGATATCGATAATCGACCAATTCGACGAATCTTGCAAATTGATCTCGGTCTTAAACCTTACAGAAAACGTAAACTACATGGACTATCAGCGAAGGAAACGGTGGCTAGGCTTAAAAGATGTAAAGCATTGTTGTTCCGGCACAGTTCCGATGATATTCGAAAAATCGCATTTTCGGATGAGAAATTATTCGTCGTCCAACAGAAATACAATCGTCAAAATGGTCGAATCTACGCATTATCAATCTAAGATATTCCTGAAAATATAAGAACCGTGCAGCGGTTTCAGCACTCGGGATCCACCATGGTATGGGGTGCTGTATCCTACAACGGTAAAATCACATTGAAATTCATTGAAGAGGGTGTTAAAATCAATACAAAACATTATCAAAATGAAATGTTGCGATCCACATTAATGCCCAACATCAGTACGTTGTATTCAGATAATCAATGGATATTCCAGCAAGATTCAGCTCCTGCTCATAAAGCAAAGTCAACACAGCAATGGTTAGTCGACAATTGTCCAGATTTTATCAGTTCCGAAGAATGACCAGCGTCCTCGCCTGATCTTAACCCGTTGGATTATTCAATAAGGGGAACGTTAGAAGCGATCGTCAACGCAAAACCCCATCACAGTTTGGAACCTTTAAACCGAATGTTGGTTCGAGAATGGAATCGGTTGCCGATGGACATAGTGCGTGCCGCCATCGACACCTAGCGAAGACGATTAGCATTAGTTGTGAAGCGCAAGGAAGGTCGTTTTGAGTGATCTTTTCGTTACTATATTCTATGTACATCAGACATGTATCATACAAAGTTTCGTCTATTTTTTCTGCATACTTGTGAAATCAAACTATTTAGATCTTGTATCAGAACTTTCGCCTGGCCCTGTAATCAACAACGCAATCACTGCATTTTCAACAGTGTAGTCACATGAGGTATTATGATCAGTAGTAAGCAATTCTGATGATGAATAGATTTGGTGCGTTATGGGGATTTCCAGGAATGTTTTTTTTTTCTATTTTACTGGGACTGGATCATAATTGGCATAATGGTTTATTTTGCATTTTCCTGCAACGCATAAAGATTTTCAAGAGCCTAATATAGATTTTGGTAGTGGAAAGACAGATAAATAGGACACACTCAACCTACCGAAAGTGTAATATCCGGTAACAGAATACTTGCCACGCACAGTACCTGGAATGTGGACACTCAACGCGAGAGCGCTGCCCTATGATTCTCTTAGGGGCACCCATATTGAGTGTGATCGGTGTGCTCCATTCATGAAACCCACTTTATATGATGTGATACGTCCGTCTAACCCACATGCGCGCCATTCCACGCACCCGTGCTTGGTTTTTTTCCAGAGGGGGTATTCGTTTTTGGTACTGTGAGCGAGTTAACTAGAATACATGAGATTTGTGGAAATAATTTTTCTAGTTTTCGAAAGTTATCTGAATTCCAGTAGTGTTTTACATTACAATAGATTTATTTTTAGGTTTTTGGTATTAATTCGGCTATGAGAGTCGTTTTCGATTAAAAAAATTTTCTTTTATGACAGTCAAAAGTTATTTTCAGAAATTTTGTTTTTGGGAAAGTTCATGCATTTTTCCAAAATGTTTTTAACGCATCGTATGGATATGAGCAACGACATGTTCCTTGGCATGAGCAACAGCCTTGATTAGCTGTTTCATTTGATTGACAAATATTGTACTGCTCATTTCTAGTTGTTAACGTTGCCGCTTTAGGACAAGCCTATAAACAAAAGAATTCCAATAGTTCTATTTGAAGGTATCTTTTTCTCGGAAAAGAATTTACTATATTTTCAGTAACACCTGCATTATGAGCCTCGCGTAAAAATGTTTCTGGATCCAACAGTGATGATCAAGGGGGCAAAAGCGCGACTTCATCTACTTCAAAAACATTTTGAAGTACGATGGAAGTACAAGGGAGTACAAGTGAAGTACAATGTACTACCTTGGATTATGAATAACCCCTCGTATCAGTATCATGGTTTTCATTAAGTATGTTTTTGATTCCGAACTATGATATATAATATATTCTATAAGAGTTTTCGATCGATATTCTTCAATCAACCTAAAAATGTTTGTATTTTTCATTCCGCTAATCGAACGGATTATTTCATCTTATTTAACTGCCAAAAGATAATAAGGATGTCATATTGTCTTAGTCTAAACAATATTCTCTGTTGTACAATTTTTTGCCAATGAAATTTTTCAGCTATTATATTTTGTATATTCGATCAATCGGGAGAAAATATTTTTATTTAAGACTTTGCAAAGAAAAGTTTAGTTATCAGAATAAAATTAATCAACAAATCTGATTTAAACGGTAAAAAATGACATCGATGTAAGTCAAATACTTAGAATTAATATTATCAATTAATTGATAATGCTTGTTCTATTTCGTAAACCTAAAACTAAAGCGCATCATGTATTTCATTCAAAGATGACCATGTTAGTGTTTGACCAAATTACCAATACAGAGTATTATATCTTACATCATATCATTATATGACAACAGAAAAATACTTCTGTTGTATGCATGAGAATATTTTCAATGACTTCCCAGGGCGAACATTACAGTGGCCGTAAACAGCCGTGCACGATACCGCGAACGGCCGTAACCGTCAGAGTTACGACCGTATACGGGCCGTAAATTACCCGTTTGGTATGCCTCGTATTACGGCCGTAACCCACCGTGACGTAAACAGCCCCAGGTCAATGATTCCGGAGGACGGATACTGTAGGAACCGGCCGGAAAGATGCGGAAAAATCACCGTATCTGGCCGGAAAGCACGGGAAAGCACTGGAAACTGGAAGCAGTATTCCAGTTGGAAGTTACCGNCGTTTCCCGCCGTACGTCCACGACCTGGGATTGGATGGATTTCATTCCACTAAGAGCTAATCTATTTTTCAATCATAGATATTAATCAAGCATAAACATTTTATGACAAACCCAACACAATAATGATTCTCCCGATATTGTTATTAACTATCGTTGATTTTTCTTTCCTGTCCACGTCTTCTTATTCCAATCGTTTTTCCCTGTGCTCATATATAGATACAGATCTTATTCTCTCTTGTACAAGAGTGTGTTATATGTGTAGGAGAGACATTTTGGAGACATGAAGTAATTTAGTATAACAGTATTGGAAGTGATGGTAAGCTAATACTCCAATATTTTTTTACACTGATCAATCAAAATTGAATGGGAAAACAATGAAAAGTATACACTTTTTTTACGATTATTTTTTGAATGAAGCAAAGCCAAAAACATAAGAAAATTGTCATTATTGAAAAAATCATGTCGATTATTTTTTAGTAGAATCCCTTAGTATATCATTGAAATTTTCATTATTGAAATCTATCAAAATTATTCCAAAACTCATTGTTTAAATAGTCATCTAAAAAACGATTATTTTCATCGCTTTTTGACACCAATCTAGTGAAAAATTAAAAGATTATAATTAGTTTGAAATGTTTTTGATTATATATATGTAATGAAACTATTGAAGAAGTTTTTCATATGGCCATTATAAATGATCCAAATTACAGAAAAACAAGTGGAACTTATGATGGTCTATTTTGCAAGGTCAATCGCTAAAACTTATCTTAAAGAGTACTAGAGGAGATTTTATTTTCTTTAAAAATAATTCATTATCGACGATGTGAACTATTCAAGTATTCTGGTCGTTGAAAATTTAGATAGACTGTCAATTTCAGTTCCATATATATTTAATTTTAATTTTATCTGTCGTGCGTAGCGTACACACGTCTTCACGATGAGATTTTACCAACTGATGAAAATCTTTCACGTTCATATTTTGTCAATAATCGTGATTCAACGAGAGTCGGAAATCTTTAAAGAAATTGATCCCGTATTACCATCTTCTTGGGTCGCGAATATTTTATATTCGTTGTAGAAAGCTTATGGCCTTGAGTTGTAAGATTTGACCATGCCGAATAGTCAAACATGGGAATGCTTAATTAATGTATTTCATTGATCATTGAGTAGTGAAATGCGGTTCCACTATAAAATCCTGTCATTAAGCATTTCTACTCAGCTGATTTCTACAGATAAGAAGCGTTATATATACATATGGATATGTTGTTACATTTGAATATTAGAATATTATTTCATTCTCATTTTCTATTTTTGTCCTCAAATTTTAAATAGATCTTTCCTTTGTATTGTAAAATTTTTTAGAAAATTCTCTTAATATTATTTTATATACTAACTCGTTTGCCTTCCGACCAAGTAGTGAAATAGAAAGGAACCAAAATAATCAATACCAAAAGAGTCTTCAAGTTGCTTCGAAATTCATTTCATCAAAATGTTTGTTACTGAACATACTAACATACTAGTATTGAAATATTTTTAAAGGCGATTTACCATTAAAAATGATTCAATTTTGCAATTCAATTGCGATAAGTTAGGTATCCATACTATCTGTCTCAAACATGAAATATTGATATTTCATCTGGCTGATATCTACAGTAAATTTTTATTTTTCTCATGGAATCTTCGTTGCCATTGAAATACGAACTTGTCAAATTTTAATATTGATGGTAATTTTTCGTTTTCTGTAATATTGAATAAGAGAATGTATATATAATAAATCTAAAAACCAAAGAAATTCTAAAAGACATCATAGATAGATAGGGTGCTTTTAATAAAAACGTCTAATGCTTATGACAAGCCTGTGGTACGTATTTAAGAGAATTTATTGACTTTTCCATACGTATTTTCGTATGGATTATAAAGATAAAAATGTTCAGTCGAAGTTAGTGAATCTTTTTTCGTATTTACTTAATCATTTGAACTTAACTCATTTTTATTACTTTATACTGATCTGCTTTAATGCGATGCACAGCGCTGCATTAATGTTGAGTACGAGCTATTCCGCTTTTAATGCATGACGATTATATATGCATAGGAATTAATACACCGATAAAGTTAAGTACAATTGTTTTGATTTTATGTGACAAAAACGATACGAACCAAAAATACTTCTGATTACAAGGAAAAATAATATTTTAATTTATAACAATGAATAAAGATAGTCACTAATCAATTTATTTGAACGTTGGTTTCAAAATTTTAAAAAAGAATTCATTCAATTTGTTCTAAAGCTTCATTTATTGATGCTTTTTCTGCGTGACAATTCATGTTAAAGTAAAAATTGCTTTGAAGAATCATTTTTTTTACCAATTTTCACCGTTTTCTTGTCCTTCATTTTATTATCGTTATGATTTTATTTCACTTTTTTATTTGCCGTCTGTTTCATGACAGCTATTACATTGAAGAAAAGCAGTATGCATAATTTATTAAAATAAACTTGATACCAAATGCTTAAACTATTGCGATTATTAGAAATCCTATCCAAACCCCTTTTATTGATCTAAAGTTTCACGGTAAATAGTTATTCTTGAGATTTCTCTATAGTATGATTGCATATAATTCAGAAGCAACACTCATAGACAAGATCAAACTCTTCGAGAACGTCTGATATTGTTCTTCTAGTTGACTTCTTAATTCTTTATGAATATTTCTTCGATAGTATTACTCTCCATATGTCGCATACATGCCATAAAAAATAGGTTTCCGAACAAACTGTAATATCTATGAACTATTGCCTTGGATTGTGTTACAACGTAGGTTTTCTCGTAATTTTAACTTATTTTCTTTAAGTTTAACATCAGTCATCATCTCTAGAGAGAGTAAAATCAACAGTACAATATGATCTGCAATGGTAAACACAACACCATCTATTCTATTGTCATCAATCGTATGTAAAGTCCGATTAGACTATCTGACACAGAGAAGCTATCCAGAACGATGAAAACAATATTCATCATTTTAATTACAATGCAATAATTAGTTGATCCGTTTAATCAATGACTACAGCTGATGGGAATTATTGAAAGTGTAGCTGATTCGGCTTAGAATATTCATATAAATGGACTGCGTACAGCTGTTCATTCAATGGTTTGCATCAATTAAATAGATTGTAAGTAATCGTTTCATTCGTTTTTTCTTTATTAAAACGTAATGTTGTTGATTGACTGATTTTCAAACAAACAGACCAACAACGATCGTACAGAATATAAATAGTACGAATTTACTATTGTTGTAGGCAGATTAATATGAAAAAGAATTCGTTTTAATTTGAAGTATCTAATGAATTATTAATTTAACGAATTTCTTGGTTGAAAGATCATCGCACGGAATACAAGCATCCGTATAGTCACAAGAAAGTGTATAAAGCAGGTAAATGTTCGAAAGTCGTGACTACGTAATCTTCGAATAACTTTGTAATGCATGATATGTTTCATCCGATTAATATCCAAATGATTTACTTTGTTGCATTGCTTCTTAAGCTTAGTAAAACGGCGTGACTTTTGTTTTTAGCTTTTCTCTTCATTTTATTACTAAATGCACATTTTCAGGCATAACTCTTCAATACCATTCCAGTGTGCCAATCTTTTAATCAACGAATAGTATGAGAAATAAAGCAAATATGATAGCAATGATCTACTTTTTCTTTCTATTATTTTACAAAACATATACATATAGACAAAAAGTACAGCAGAAAACAAAGACAAGCGAGAGCTAAGCGTTAAATGTGCAAAAGAGAATAGATAACAACTAAGATGCACGGATACAGAGAACACCAGTTACAAAATCTGCAAGCACATTTATACTATACCACTATTCCGACTTTGATTTACGAGATGTAATATTTCCATTTGTCATTCGGCGCCACAAGCTGTTTGTTGCCTGTGATAGCAAACCATTAAATGTCCAACCATCACACAGGTTAGCATCTGTCGAGAGTAAATTATCTTCACTGCTGCTGACGTGATCAGCAAGTTCTCGATCAGTTATATGCACTGAAATATAAATACTTTCTGTCTTCCCAATAAGATTAATAGAAATATGAAAAATAAGATATTAACATGAGTGAAAGTTTGTCTATTGTACACCGTCAGACTAATTTCCATTTTTCTTAGACTTTTCTCTTAGTTTTTTCACTGCAATCCTCAAAGTAGCAAATCAATCATTTCTACTGCATATGACATAAAATATACTATGTAAAATACTTTATTTATTACAAAGTACATATCTTGTCTGACATAACTTCTAGGTCGTGACAAGCAATATCTTGCGAGAAAGTTTTTCCCCATCGAAAATGTTTAACAAAGAAACATTATTATAAGAATGATATTTAGCATCTTCAGAAAGTTTGTATATCGTAAGCGGGCATTTTTGCTGAAACTCTGCGTTGGTGTTTCTTTAGAAAAACTTGTTGCTGCAAAATATTTTATTACTAAAACAGGGAATGAAATTTAATTAATGTGAGATATAAATCATGTAAACTTTAAGTAAATGTTGTTTTATTCTACTAATAATCAACAAGATTCAAATAAATTGAAAAAATATTATGTGCATTTCAACCAGCAAAGCGTACTATGACTATATATAAAATAAGCAAACGAGTAGATGATAAATAAACTTACATGAGACTCGAAGCACCATTGCAATTGGAAATGAGTTTCATACTAATATCAAACATTGCTTGTCCCTAAAAACTCCATATATTTTTCAAATTAATCTTTAATTCGATTCGACCTATTCATTATGTACTTTATATATATTCATATGTGGGATATTTTCGTACGAAAATCTTTCTTACATTTCGATAGTGAAGAAAAACAGAAAAAAATCGATTCTTTTCTTGAAAAGCGTAATCCTTCAAGGGAAATAAAATACTGTTCTTTACTTACTATTAGATTGGGATCTGTTCATACATTTATTAAATTTCGATACCACCTGACGATTGTTAAATATTGTTCTCGTTCTACTTTCGTCAGGAGGATCCATTAACATATTCTGACCAGTAACATCATCATCATGCGTTTGAGTAGCTGAATATGAAATAATAAAAGAATAAATATAGACATAGAAGAGTTGCTTTTTTAGTAAAAAAACAGTACACTTACTATCACGACGCATGATGAGTTTCAATATGATTGGTTCTTCAAGAGAGGTTCCATCTGGAACAAGGCTACATGGCTCTAAATACTGTCCACGAAAAAAAGCTTGATATTTATAACGATTTTCTTTAAATATCATTGTCTTTATTTCGTCAATTCTCGTTTTATGTGGTTCTTAGACTAGATACATTTTATCATATCCTTCTGGTTGAACACATACTTTTAGCTTCACAGTTTGTGCAATGGTTGTGGTTGGAAACATCTGAAATATGTGGCAATATAACGTCTATGCAGAGTGATAATGACAATCAAATAGTTGACATGAAAGTGAGAGTACTTCATGAATAATACTTGCAACGATAAATATGGTCCTTGCTGGTTGATTTATTAAGACAATCTGGATAGAGGCGGAGTAGCTTAGTGCCACTCTAGGCAATGACGTTTATTCGCTTCTTTACATATCCAGAGTGTAACAACTTCATACATAACACACGTATATATAGGAGAGAGAGATATAAGAGAGACAGGAGAGACATATATTAGAATAATGGAAAGAGAATAGAACGAGGAGGAAGGAGAGTCATCCAAGCGTACCATCAATATCGGCACAATACTTATTCTCTATTATTTGTAGGAATTCACAATTCATTTATATGGATCTCTACCACAAGACAAGGTATCAATAGATGGCGCTATCCGCTAATCATGCGAGTAGCTGTCTAATTCGAGTTCGAATACATGTGGAGAAAAGAAAAACTAATAGAGAAATCTAGGAATATATTTAGTTTTAGTTTAATTTTTCGATATATGCGACATATTAACATATATATACCCCATCCTCACACTCACACCCTCAAAATGAAATAAAATTAGACCTGTTTTCATCACAAAATAAAAAAAATGAATTGAATTTATATTTTATCATGATTTTTTGTATTCATTATATTATTTGCATGTATATACCTATCTGATTGATGAAAAGCGTTACAATACAAATGAAAATAGCTGTTGTATATTATTGGCTAACTCATACATAAAGGAAGTCCAATGAAAAAAACGATAATCGATAGAAAAATAAATAAATATTTGTGAGGTCGTGAGCAATCAGGTCTTATAAGTTGTTGATTCACTTAAGAAGATTCAATTGAAATAGTTGTATATACATTACTTGCTTTTTTAATATTCGATTGATCATTCGTAGTAGCAACAGATCACGTAAACAAGAAGATTATCTCTAAGTCTTGACTATTGAGCTGAATGTCGTGCTTGAAAAGAAATTCGCAATGTTTTCTTTATTACAACTTTTTGATATCACAAATAAGTTAAAGCTGTACTCTCTGTATTTTTGTTGCTTAAGGATATATTATTTTTTAACCAGAATTTTGCCCTGAAGGAACATATACATAAACAAAGAAGTTTAAAATAAAGCTGTGTTGTTCATCGATATGCCTGAAAGTCGCTAGTATATTCTAAAATTTTCACTTAAAATAGTTGATTATATATTTAGATGTGAAATATTTAAGAAAAGATGGTTATAACACTTGGTTAAAACTCGATTGTGTTTGGAACATTTAATTTCTTATGAAGGAAGCGATTGCTACAGTATGAGATTTCTTCTAGTATTATCTAGGGAGTATGAGACCTATAATACATCAGCAAAAATCTTTGATTTAATTTTTTTCATCAACTTTCTACTCTATCTAGAACCTTGAGTACTATACTTTTAATTCTAGAATAAGAGCTGAATGGTACAAACCATTTTAGGTTTCTTCAAGTATAAATGAGTTCTATTCACACGAAATATGAAAGTAAAATAACGATAGCCATTGAATATGATCCCTCCTCAGAGGTTTTTTCGGGCGTTGCTATTCTTTGAAAATTCACCTGGTAATATAATGGATCGGCAAGTTTAATTGAGGTTGTCTGAGAGAATTTTAAAGAAAGTAAAAAAGCGACATTCACTCACTTAGTATTTAGCGTCAAATAACTGTCTTGCTTTTTGTTTCTTCCTAATCTTACAGGTAATTTTATCTTTCTGCTGAAATTTATACACCAGTACAAATATTCGTTCCCTTCAATACTGCTTATAAAGCATGATAAAAAGCGTTAGAATGATTTTCAAACATAGAAATAAGATTTTGCCTTCTAAAGATATAGTTTTTTATGCCTTTTTCCAAACAGATTTGAAAATTTTTAATGGCTGATTCACAAGCCCTAAATTGGTTTAAAATAGAACTACTTTTAACTCGGTCGTGTCTTACATTGCGGAAAATATTCAAAGATCGATGGTTTCTGTTTACTGGTCAACAGTGGCAGAATACTACGACAGATGGACAAGCTTTTATTACGGGTATCGGCCAAAAAATTTATAAAAATTGTGGTAACATTCAAAAAATTACGCTAACAACAGGTGATACAAACCAATGGGATATAACAACATTAGTTCTCGTTCTTCGTGAAACTAAACCTATACGACCACTTAATAAAATGAAAAAAGAAAAAATCGTCAAAGAGAACATTGATTTATTGACATTAACAAATATTCGAAACAATAATGCTCATCATGCGTCAAAATGTATTTCAGACGCTGAATTCGAAATCATTTGGTCACAGTTGACACCAATATTAATATCTTTCGGTGATGATGCCGATGAAATTGAGGCATTGAAATTAAATACAAATGATACGAAGCAGAAGGAGTCAATTAATAATGAGAGCACGGATGAAGCTAAACGTTTGAAAGATCTCGGTAACGAGGCCTTTAAACAAAAACGTTTCGATGAGGCTTTAAAATGGTTTTCACAGGCACTTGTTCTCGCTGGTTTGAATGATTTTGATCGGTCGATTCTCTATTCAAATCGAGCTGCTACATATCTCGAGAAACCTGAACAGACAGAGTTCAATTCGTCCAATGACTCCAGGTATCTTGCCCTGCAAGATGCTGAGCATGCACGTGATCTTCGGCCAACTTGGCCAAAAGCTCATTGTCGTGTTGGCCAAGCGTATATGGCCCTTGGTGAGTTCGAAAAAGCAGTTCATTCGTATAATAAAGCTCTTGCCCTTGATCCGACTAACATTGAAATGCAAAATACTCGTGATTTTGCTCTCGAAAGAAAACATTACTATGGTCGACAAGAGCATCTTGACATACGAAGTATACCAAGAACGACCCGCGAACAATTAACTGAATTGTCAAAAACAACCGGTCTTACTACTGAGCAACAAGAAAAAGTGATTGACATGATAAGAAAACATGATCCAGGCAAAGATGCTGTTTTCACTGGTCATCAATATCGGGATGGTGATGATAATGTGAAACAGAACTATGAATTGGCTGCAAAATTTTATTCAAAAGCGGTCGCTCTCGGTAGTGCTGAGGGCATGTACAACCTTGCTCTGCTTCATCAAAGGGGATTAGGCGTTAAAAAAGATATGCGAATGGCCATTCAACTACTTGAACAAGCGGCTTCTCAAAGCCCTATAATGTCAGATAAATTTCCTGTTCCTAATGTTGGTGTTGCAGAAGCTGAACATTCTCTTGGACCACATTACGAAACGGGTGTAGGCGTTAAAATGAATTACCATAAGGCATCTCAATGGTATCAACGTGCTTCCGATCATGGTAGTTCAACAGCAGCCAACAGCTTAGGACTTATGTACGAGGAGGGTAGAGGCGTTTCAAAAGATTTGGTTAAATCAGAGCAGCTTCTGCGTTTATCTGCAGTCCGTGGTGACCCAAATGCCATGATGAATTTAGCTTTATTGCTCTTTAAAAAAAATGATCTACAGGATGCAGAACGATGGTGTCAACGTGCAAGCGACAACAATAATATGGTTGCTAAAACTCTCTTGAAACAATATCAAGATGCAGCCGAAAAGGAACGTGAGCACTTCAAGAAATTAAATGTTGACAAATGGGAAAAAGAGAACGGATTGGCTACGAGTACTTTGAGTTATAATGAACGAATCAAACGCAAAGTGTTAGCAGACGAACCCCATGCTGCGAAAGCATACAGCGTTGTAAATGACTTCGCCAAAGTCATCCAGTCGTTAAAACCCGTACCACAGCCAATGGGAGCAAAGAGAAGAGAATTTAGTTACGCTATGCTCAACCAATATTCGCTGAAAGGATCTGTTTTTGCTCAACGGCTGTTAGAAGCACAAACTTATTTTGTAAGAGCAATGCTAATTTTAGCAAAAGACGACATTGCGGACAATGAAAGAGATGTTCACTTCGTCAAAGAGCTTTCCGCAAGTATTAGAATTGAACATATTGTTATTCAACTGCCAGAGGATCTACATAAAGAAGCAAAACTGGCTGTGGATCGTGTACTCATTCGATGTAATTCAAAGCAATCTGAACTCGATGAAAACGCTCGTGTATGTTACGGATATTTGCATATGAATTCATTAGAATCTACAATTGCGTTTTTAACTGTTTGCATCCAAATGTATCCGAAGTCACATTTCTTCTTGGAACTTCGTGGTAGTCTATATGGCTTTCTTGGCAAATTTGATCAAGGCTTAGCTGATGTTAATGCTGCGCTTCAATTGGTTCCAAACGATGTAATGTTATTGTATGATCGCGCCGCTATGCTGAGACTCGTTAAGCATTTTGATCTGAATGAAACTATCGCAGCATATAAAAAATTTTTCGAATACTCACCAATCGATCATCGCAAGGTACCTGAAGCGTATTATGCAGTTGCAACTTGCTATTTTGTCGATAAAGCACTCGAAAATAATTTTCAGTTATTAGAAGAATATTACGACAAAGGTATCGAGGCAGAAAAGAAACAATTACCATGTTTCTTACCATATGAATCGAATAATAAATTAATGATATCAAATTTAATCTCAGTGGAATCGAAATCGAAAAATATTGATACACTGCCATTAACTGAACCAGTGATTGATACACAAAAACCGCAATCACGTCTCACCGATCCACGACGCACTGATATGATTTATTCCCATCGGGAATCTATTGCTCAAAATCGTAAAATTTTATTAGGTAAAAATATTGTTACCCATACAGTTAAACCTCGTCTACATCAAAACTCACCTGCATCATTTATTGGACTGAAAGGCATTACTCTACGTGAAATGAATCCGTTGAAAGATCATGTTTATCAAGGTTATGTTTTATCAGTTATTATTTTCGAGCAGTCACCAATAGTTGAACCATCGATATGGTTGTTGATAGAAGATGAGAACGGTGATTTAGAACGACTTTCTTTTTATAATACTCCCCCATCAGAAGGCTGGCAATTAATTAAACATACCTATACTTACGGTGCACAACTTAGTATTTTAAATCCATATATGCGTATGGCAGCTGATCAAAAACCGGCTATTCGAATTGATGATGTTTCATCAATTATTCTACATGGAGATATTCATAATGTGAAAGACATGTGCCGGTGTTGCGGCCAAGCAAATGCATCACGCGTTTGTGGAAAATGTAAATCAGCTCACTATTGTTCAAAGGAATGTCAAACACTTGACTGGAAGCAATATGGTCATAAATTGATTTGTAGCTGAACTATTTAGAATTTCAATTTGTGAGAAGTGAACTTTATTTTAAAAAAATTCATATTAATATACATCGAAAATAAATCGAAAGAACGAAAAGTCATAGTAAAATCTAAATTAGACAAGGGACAAAAATCATCATGTTGTATTACGAAGTCAAGGTACTCCTATAAGTAATACTCATACTCACCGTAACGTTTTTTTCTCATCAATCTATTTAACTTCGATTCTATTTAAGCCGAGCGTTAGTTTATCCTTTGGATTGAAGTTAGAACTTTAAATCATTTAAAGTCAATGCTTTGAGATGTTGACCATCAGCACTCAAAATTTCATATCGCTTGCCAGAGGATGATCGAATACTGTAGCTCAATTCAAATGAAAACAAATGTTCTTTGTCGAATGCTCACGTGTGAGAATACAACTCACAATCATTATCATCATCACAGTGATTAACGTTGCAGTCGAGTGATGCAGCTAACTTATTACCATAATACATAGATATATGGTTTGTTGATCCGCATCTTGTTGACGTGACGGTGGAAGAAGTACTGTATCCAAAACATGAATAATGCCGTTGGTAGCAAGAACATCAGCGATGATAATGATAGCATCATTGATTTTGAGATTGTTACCACTGAGAGTAATCGATGTTGTATTTCCTTCTAACGTAGTAAGATTGAATGGTGGCTTCGTGACAAGAAGTCTAGTTGAAGTATATTCTCGACCACCGATGACATGATAAGTAAGAACTGTGATAAATAATAGTCTGTTTTCAGGTTTGAGTAAATTATCAAGTGTACCTGATGGAAGTTTGTTAAAAGCTGCATCGATAGGAGCAAATACTGTGAATGGGCCAGGTCAGTTAAGTGTTTTGACCAGATTAACAACGGTCAAAGCTTTTACCAGAGTTTTAAAGTTGCCATTGCTAATGGCAGTTTGTACGATGTTAACAAGTTATGCTGAGGAAATGAAAAGGGGGAAATTAATTAATATAATCATAAGAAAAAACAACTTACCGTTAACAACAAACATTTGAACAGATAAAAAAGCAAGAACGACAACTGCTATAATGGTTCGAATGCGTGAATATTAGAAAGAAAAGTGATCTGGTTCTCCATTAAAATCTATGCGGTTTTTATAGGAGTGGTTTACATAATTTCAATTGGGGTTATAATCACCGTTTTTCATTGCAGTTACATAATCAAGTTTCTTTTTGCATATAGAAAAGAATGTTGAATGCCCAAGCAAATGCTATCGAACCATTCTTATGTTAAACATGATTAAAGTACTTTTGGTAAGCCGATGCACAGTTTATCAGTGTTTTATTTTTTAAATCTATATATATATATATCACTATTTATTTTAGCCTTATTTTTATCCTATGACAGTCTCGTAAAAGAGCGGTTACACAATCAAACGTCAACCTAATATACTTTGAGAGTTCGACCCTTGTCAGCATAGCTTTGAATATAATCAATAATAAGTCTGCTGTGATAAACGAAACAAGCATTGTCATTTTGACAAGCGAAGTAAGAGCTATCAATTGATCGTCGCGGAAAGAGGTGAACTGGTGATTTAAATTTTATTATGACTATTAAATCATTTTTATATTTTATTGCAGAGCTGCAGGAATCTGATGTTTTGCAGACAGTGATCATTTTTATTTTTCTAAAATATTGGCCATTTTTTTAAAAGCTTATAAAAATCATTGCAAACACGAAGGTTTTCCTTGACTTCACTTCGTGATCCAATACCTAATCGTTTGTCTCAATATGATCGAACAATTAGTTGTATAATCAAACTTAGATCATATTCATAACTATATTCTATGAGTTCATTCGATATTTTCTCAAGCTCAGCATAAATTTCATATGATCAAACATGAAATTGATCAATTCGTTCAGCTAGTCCAAATAATATATTGCCAATATTTTTATCTTAAATTAATATTTTTCAGTTGATTTTACCGCTAAATTTCTATTTTAGACTTGCTAATTGAAATAACCCCTGTTTCTGTACTTATGAAGTAGTACATTACTAATATCGTCATATTCGCCATGGAGTACAAATGAAATCATATGTTTCTGAATAGTCGTGTTTTTAATTTTTCAATTGAAATTGGTGTATCTTTCGATTTAAAATGAAACATGTATACTATTCGCAAAAATCGACATGAAAACCATTGATATGTTCAATTTTGTTACACGATTAACTGATAACGACCTTACCGAATGCAAACAATGATTAGAGTTTTTCCTGTAACATATTGATAATTGAATTCTACATTCGATTTATTTATAGAAAATTTATTTTTGATCGAATCAATTAAATATTTCATCGACAACGAGTACTAATCAGGTAAATCCAACCATTGAACAAACAAGAACTACATTTCTCTCTCTCTATAGTTGATAATCAATTCTACAAAGGCTTCCGAAATACTAGCGAGTTAATCGCATTGATAAAGATAATAGCGCACTCACAAAAGATATATAACGAATGAATTGATGAGAAAAATTCAAATTAATCACGCTTAGTTATTCATTTCCTGTATTTGAAGATTATCTTGTCACAACACAGATAGATAAAAAGAGCAATGTACCGCCACACATCTTGTGATCGATTCACTTTTTATTTACATAATACAACATGGGAAAAAAAAGAGCAATAGGTGAGAAAACTATCGCTTGCTGTTGTTGTTTTTCAATGGCGAACAGAAAATTGTTTAAATATCCACGATACGTGACCACTTTGAAGGGTGTGCTTAAGTTGATTGTTAATCACTGTTCACATTTTCTAAAAAACAAAAAATATAATTCTTCGATAGAAAAAAGGAAAAGATCAACAATAAGCCGATTTTCCTTAGACACTCGATTTATTGCTTTAAGCTCTAAATCTTCTATCAGACAGAAATAATTACCTTTTCGGAATAGACACCGGGGGAAAACGTTTCTTTTATAATAAGCAAAAAATAAACGCATATGACTAGATATTAATTTGATTTAAGACATTCTAATAAATATAATACAATATCCATATATCCCAGATAAACAGCTATGTGCAACGGAAGCCAACCATTGCGATTCATCGTTAAAATATCACAATGGCCCAAGTTAACAAAAATTTTCAATAGATCAAGACGATTGTACAGGCAACACAAATGAACTAACGATTGACCGTTATATTCCAAATAATTAAGATTAATATTAATACGAGAAGATTTTAATAGAAGCATTTTAATATCATAAATGTTTCCATCGTGAAGGATAAAATAAAATAAACGATGAGCGAATTGATGATGATCGAGAATCATATTCCCTATGAAATGAAACGTCAAGCAAGCGAATAGATGCATTATTATAGAGACGCAGGAAAAATAAGGAAAGAAAAAGAAAGGGAAAGGAAACGAATGAGAAATTTTTTCGTTCAATCAATGTCATCATTCTAATTGTCAGTTAGGTGAGAACGAGAGAAAAAGAGATCAAATAATGTTCGGACACGCAGCATGATTCGTTTGATGAAAACATTTGTATATTGAGTTTAAAAACACGAAATGAACACTAATGGAAAAAACCTGCCTAATCCAATAATATTCTAATGATCAGTAAAAAAGAAATACATTCAGCACAGTTGAGTACTAATACGATCCGAATATATTTTTTGTGTACATTTCATGTTGACCGTGAGATCCGCCTTGTCACCTCCATGTAATTTAACACCTTTCATTTTGTACAGTGAGATATGCGTTTCAATTTCTCATTCTCATGCTTTCACTGTTCGCATCATGATGATTGCAATCGTATTTTATTTCTCATAAAACAAATATTTCTTTCTTGTAACACTACGTAAAAAGAAAAACGCACAATTATCAGTAAATAAATATTTATCCATTTTCAAGGGTGTTGTTTTCTAATAATCATTAGATTTATCATTCAATAAAAGAAAAACTCTTAATTGCCTAACACTGATCTTTCTCTCTCCCAAGATGTACTATTCATATATTGATAAAATTTACTTTTGTTTTGATACGACAAGTAATTCAATTATATTTGAGTTTATTTAGAATGAAAGAAAAACAAAATAAAAATATCACAAAAAAGCCAAGTTCTTATATTTGATTATGTTTCTTCAAGTTCTCCTGTATAGATGAATTCATGTACGATGTTTGAATAAATCCACTGTCTAATTCTTGATCATCACTATCGGCGTGTTCGTACCTTAAACGATCAAGTTGATTATCTGATTTCGATGTTATAACATTTTCAGTAGTTGTACGTAAATCTCGTCTTGAACGTCTCAACGATGTTTGCGATAGCGTTCGTCGTAACGATGTCCAAGACATGTTTCGTCGCCACGTCCATGTTTCATCATATTCTCGTATTTTATATTGTAAACCATTCAGTAATGCCATAACAAGAATGAGTAAAATAATAAATACGCCAAGAATAATACCAATGATAAGGCCAATATTATCAAATAAACGCGAACGAATAATAAACGGCGATCGAAATAATGAATAATTAAATGAGCATGAAAGATAATTTTTATCGTACAATTGATGTATTAAAAAATTATCAATGTCCAATGAATTTGATATCATTGAATGTGGCGTGGTATTATTACGTAGATCCGTTAAAGATTCAAGTGTTGAATGGCATCCGATTTCTTTTCGTTCAAAATCGCATTCATCCATTTTCTGAGCTGTTTCATGTCCGGACATTGAACGTATGCAGGGAATTATTTGTCCATCTAGTTTGCCATGTTTATTAGCAGCAAGTAATGGACAATTACATATTGTTGTATTCGAATTCGAAAATAACCACGGTGGAAAACGTGGAGCTTCATAGATAAGGCACGAATTATTTGAAATATAATTAAAATAAAACTGAGCTAATGATTGAATATTACTAAAACAAAATAAGAAAACAATAGCCAAGTCAATCGCTCAATTGCTTTTGAGGAAAAAAATTTCTTTTTTTTTCTAAATCCAAAGTGAGCGTTAACCAAATCAGATGAATATTTTTCATTCTTACTTTTCAATGAAAAGTTTATAACGTCACAATAAAACTCGAGAATTCAGAAATATAATTTTGGAGTACTCAATGCTCATGAATGATAATAAGATCTCAGCATGAGATATTCTCAATACTGAATTTTATGCACCTACACTTTAAAAAATAATTAGTCGCATTTTTACAAAAAACAAGAAGCATAAGGGTCATTTTTTCAAACGTAACGAGACTTTGTTTTCTGCTTAATATAGCTTCTCATCTATCAAATGTCACCATATTTTGACAAAGCCACATCCGGCAACAGTGCTCATTATCGCAAGAGCTCCTTGCCCTATGTGCCCGAAGAAAAGTTAACACGCCAAAGCGAAAGTGTTTTTTTTTTAAAGAATCGATTGAATAAACATATATAGTTTTAGATTACCAATAATTTTTCCAGGGATCATTTTTTCTCTTCGACCATTGCAGAGAAAGACTCGTAATCCTAACTAGCGGCATTTTCCGGTGAACATTTCCGGCTCGTACACTAACAAGAGAATCAAAAACTTTTATGGTATTAAATAGCTCATGCGTTAGAATATCTGTAGCCTTTTTCTTGTTCTTGTCAAGGAATTAAAAAGTAGATTTTCAATTAATGACCGTTTGAATTCTCACAATGATAAGTCATCTGTCGAGACAACGGAAGTCAAAACTGAAACATTAGTCACTGTCTGGGGGAAATTGACGTTTTCTTTTTCTTTTAAATTTCCTAAGTATTTCACTTCACCGAGTCATTTCTATTGTTAAATTTTACTTACAGGAAATTTTTCTCAACAGCTTGAAACCATTTAACATAAAAGACATAATCAAAATGAATGGTCATCTTTGTTTTAAGAAGATTGAAATTTAATAATGATAAGTCAACTAATGTTATATCTTTCAAGTAAATTTTAAAGGCTAAATAATTATTTTGAAGAGAATTTTGTTCAAATTTAACTACTGTTGTCGATGAAAAATTTAATAGGATTAAACCTGAATTTATCGATGGAAATGATTCTTTTTCAAAATTTATAATTGGATTTGGATCGTTTATTGGATTATCCGAAAGAATAGTTAGTTGATTTTCTGTATGATTCAATGATAAATTTGAAAATGCATTCGTAAAAAACGATAGACCACGAAGATTATTTAATGTAAACAGAATTCTTATATTTCGACTCTCGTGTATTTGATGTATATGTTCAAATGTGTACGATTGAAAACATAAACATGTTGCTAGTGTGTGTATTGTAAAATTAAATACTGAATCCGTATCTAAAGACATATTTTGAAATGCATATGAATCCATAGTTAAACGTGTTAAAAATAATGTATAGAAACGAAATGAACTTGATGAATGTAATTGTAACGATTTAAATGAATACCGTTTTAAATTTATATGTGATATAAGTTCAAAATGAAATGATACAACTTGATTAGAATTAATATTTAATGAGGAAAATGAATGTGGCTCAAAGAGGATTGTATCTGTACGTGATATTATAAAATCAATCGATGTCGATAGATCATTTTGATCGAAAATGTTATTTTGAAAGATAATTTGAGTTACAGACGATATGTCAATAATTAAACGTGAATGTTTACTCATTTTAATACCGGATAATGAATTTTTATGAAATGTACAACCATAGAAAAATTTTATAATTAGACGTAACGTTGAATGCGGCTGAAGATCAAGACCATTGAATGTATTTTCCGTTATGTTCAACCATGAATTTGGTGCTGCAAATGTTATTGTTAAAGTTCTATTTGGTTTTCGGACAACAAGCGATTGAAATGCATACGGTTGAAAATTTAGCTTTAGTTGTCCATTCAATATCATATTTGTATCGCGCGAGCCTAAATTAAAATTCGCAAATGATTGTGCTGGAATTTCAGTTAATTGTGTTAATATAATATCACGGTAGGATAAACAATCATAACAATTCAACGGAATATAATCGAATACACGTGGTTCATAATCGTTTTGATAGAATGTTGTTGATTTAGCAACAAAAATTAATGCGGACAGTAGCAAGCAAACGCTACTGTCAAGAATATAAATCATGTCATCGATTCATTGATGAATAATGAGAAATTCTAAATGAAATAGAAATCAATCGTAGTCTCAGTCGTATTAGAACAAAAAAAAACAAATGCGCTTAATCAAGACTGCTACTTCTTTTACATGTTCCATCTTGCCGCTAACTGAAAAGGTTCGATTCATGTCAGATTTCTCAAGTGTAGCACATACTAGTTTTTTTCCTCGCTATTTAGAATTCTGATTAATTCTCTACATAAAATACTGAAACATAGAATACTGAAAATATTGCATGATACTGTCAAAAAGTTCATTCAGTGCCAATAGACTGTGTTTCTCTTCTAACCATCAACACTAAAAATACTTATAAAAAGAAAACGAGAGAGAGAGAGAGAGAAAGAGAGAGAGAAGCTTTTTTCTCCTCTATTCACTTGCTCGATAGCAAAAAATCTTGATAGGTTCTAATTTTTATTGCTCGTACTCCCTTCTTTACGTTCATTATTAATTTCCTGCAGTGAATGTATGTGTGTTAAGCTTTTCTTCGCTGGCTTTCTCTCTTGTCATTCACCTATTCAATTTTTTTCTCTGAAGTCTTAGCATAAAAGAACGAAAAAGGAAAAAAAGAAAAGAAACAGGAAAACAAGAAGAAACTAACCATGATCATCTCGGAAACGCGAATAATAATAAAAAAAGAAGATAACACAAAGAAAATGACTAAATCAAATTAACTTGAATTCCATTGTCTTTTTGCACACACATATATATTGCTGTTTGTATAGTGGTAATAATAAACTAATTGATCAAGCTATGAGATTCTATTCTGTTGTCTCTTTATTCTTATGCATCAAAAAAAAAGAAAACTATAGAGATACTAATCCATATAACTCCCAGACTCATTGATCTCCCAAGCGATTGTTTGTCAAAGAGAGAATGTTTCCAATGATGTAGAAGTGCTCATTAGATTAATATAGAAATACCAAACTAAATAAACATATCTTTCTGTTATTATTGTTCACATTCATAAGGTGCATAATTAGACCTTTTATTTTCGTTGAACCAAATATTAGATAAACAGATACTACTTCTTAATAATGTTTGGTTCATTTCAATCATTGTATTACATGACTGTACAATACACTCGAAATCTTCTTGGGAAGATTTTCTATTGATTATTTTCTTTTTCTTTTTCTTCTTCTTTCTCTTTTTCTGTTACTATTCTCATATGAATCTCATGTTACGTCTAAAATTCAGGTCTTTTTGCTTTATGAGTTTATGATTTATGAAAGAACGAGAAAATTACGATGGCATACTGAGACTAAACTGTAAGAATACACCATTAGCAACTCCTACTCTTTCCTATGTCGCCCAATACTTTTCTGTCTCTAATTGCACAACACGGTCGGGATTCATTTTCCTGCATCATACAAATCTTAAAATTTGCCCTGTATATTTATATTTTTAAATAAAAAAAACAAAAACCTTATCGCCAATTGATCAGTAAATAGAAAGGCAAACGCGGTTTACTCTTAGGAGAAAAAAGTAAGAATGAGTACACGCTCATTCTGAACGATAAACATCTCAAGTCATTGAAAGAAATAGTCACTTATGATTATCATTTTAAAAAGACAATTGAAACACGATAGAATCATTACATTTTAAATTTCTACCAATGAAATATACCTCTATTAAAATAATTAGTTTCACTCACGTAATCATTCTTTCTTTTTGCGCTCATTTAACGAACGGAGAAGAAAAAAATTTGTTTCGTCTGCTTTTCTATCAACTAGAGAAACATGTTCTCATTCATTAGCGAGTGAACAGTGCTTCAGATAAGACACAAACACTTGCCCGCTCGTGCGTCCTTATTCAGTCAGTCAGATAAGGAGAGTGAATAGTAAGATGGTCATTTCTTACTCACAAACAGCAAATAATAGAATGTATGAACTTGCCTCCGAGCTATCCCAATGAACGCATCAAGCCGGAGCTATATGCGCATGCATTAGTATTTACAAGATAAAAGAAAAAAAAACGGGAGAAAGAGAGAGAGAGAGAGAGAGGGAGTATGTCTGCCATGATGTATGTATATATATATACATCTATACAATGCAAGCTGTCGAGCAATTATCCATGAAACACAAATCGTCCATGTTACTAATACTTCTCGTATAATTTTACTGTAAGGCTATAATGACGATGTGTCGAAAGCAAACGAATGATTCATCGAGACAGCTCGCAGTCATTTAGATTTGTATGTTATTATTAGAACGCAGACTAGTGAATTGTTTATAGAAAAACTCAATGCATAATCGTAATCAACGAATGTTAAACATCAAACAACAGAAAGCAACGACATAACGGAAACGATCCGTTTGGATTTTTGCACCTGGATCAATATAAAAAATGACTCATTAAACTAGAATTCTTAGCAAATGTTCTATGTTGAAGTTATCATTTGTTTATTTGTTTTCTTTTCTTCATTCTGGGAAAGCGAAAACGGCTAGTTCAATCATGCGATTAAGTGTTATTTGTATGAGAAAGGATAATATATATGTATATAAAGTGAGAGAATGCTCGTTTGTGGTCTCCTTGGCTTAATACACCTAACATTTATTATCGAGAAAAATTCTCATGAGCAGTTGATTGCAAAGAAAAGATAATGTTCGTTTATTCTATTCTATTTTTTCTCTTTCCTCCCTTTTTAAACGAAAATGTTTTTCTTCTCATTCATAAAAAAATGATCTTTGATTATCATCAATTCGCTCGTCGTATATTTCACACTATTCTTTATAATCAAGATATTTCGAATATTGAAATTCTTCTATTAAAATCGTTCCATCGTCTCAATCTTAATTATTTCGAATACAATGGTCAATCATTACTTCATCTATGTTGTCTTTATAATCGTTTGGATTTACTGAAATTTCTTGTCGAATTTGGCCATTGTGATATATCAATCATGAATCGTGATGGTTGGCTTCCCGTACATATTGCTTCTTATCTCGGATACATGGATATTGTACTATATCTATTAGAATGCCATTAGATTCAACGACGGTAATAGAACCTTGAAGATTGGTCTATGCGGAAGAAAAATATCATACACGATTCACAACTTTCCGCCATTGCGCATTTTAATTTAGATGTCAAGGTTTCACACTTAATAATGCAATAGACGAAAAAGCTATTTTGATCATCCAATGTGGGATTAGTGAAGAACCTTCAGTGGTATCTATGTTCGCACCTTTTCTCATCCAAGCTATGTGGGAAAAAACTTTGCCATTGAACTTTTTCTGTCAGCTAACATATCTATCTGTGTGTATTGATAAATTTTTGTTCATAATGTAAATGATAATGTTAGAAATGAATTTTTGTGAGTGAATATTTTCTCGGTGATGTGTGGGAAATTTGAAGACTTAAATAAATATTTCTACTTGTTCCCATCGTTAATAATTATAGATGTCATTATCGCATTTTTATTCTTGATCTTAAATCTGAATTATTATACTTAATTGACTGTTCATTCAATTGACTCGATTTAAGTCTATTAGAAAAGTATATTCGTCATGACTATGCGCGTGTGAATGTGAACAAGTTATTGTTGATTACACATTTTTACCCATCGGCAATGAAAGCGTTGAGATCAATTGAGTAGAATATGAGAATAGTTTAGATGGATAAAAGAAAGGAAATTGTGCGTGTGTGCGAAAATACTAATTTTGTTGTGTCTTTGTTTTTATTTTTTTAATTTTATATTTAAATCTTTATAAATAGAAAAATGAACAAAAAAACATTTAATAATAATAATAATAATAATAAACTAGTCAACAGATCTCTTCACACTCTCACCGGAAGAATATAAAACTGGAATTTCGGTAAAATATTATGAGTTAAAAATAAACGCCAATCAACAAATTTCTGATGAGAATAATTATGTACAGTTATCGTTGATTGTTCATCGGGATGTTTATCAGTTCTTGAGGATATTTTTATATGAGGTACTGGTGGTCGAATGAATGGTCGATTTGTTGATTTATTATTGTTCATCAATGTTGATGTACGTGGTTGTCCAATAGATAATGATTGATTGATTTGAAAGGATAATTGCTGAGACATCGAACGTAACCATGCTTGTCGTAGTTGTTTGATCCATTCGAGATCAAGTTTAACGGCATTGATTTCAGCTTTTTCTAAACTTAATTTCCAATCGAAATCATTCTAAATTAAAAAGAAAATCTTTTTCTAGAAGCTTTAATCTGTCTTCGGGTTACATGCACAAGTATAGAATGTTGCTTGAAGACAACTTCGTTTAACTATATTCATAGCTATAGCTCCAGATAAAAGGTCGGTCTGACATAGAAAAAAGTTCTGCTGAATGAGGCTAGTCGAAGTCCAATAAACACGATTGTTGACGATCATTTAGATGCACGTATTCACAGTTTGGCAGACACTATATTACAATCACATTTCTACTGTATTATAAACGATCGGATAATCGATTGTTAGACCTTTTGACGACAGTCATCAATTGTGCACATCACAGAAACATACAGTCAAAATGTTGCGCTCATTAAATGTCAATTTATGACAGTAAACAGTTTTTTCTATCTATCATACTAGGGTCGTGCTTTCTGCAATACAATTGGAAGTAATTGTCTATGGCAATGTTTTCTCAATTTGAGTAAACATATCGGCGCATTACATTTTTTTTTCTTAGAAGCAAACAATCAGACTAATTTTTGATTACTAGAGTTTCGATTCTATCAATGAGTAAGTCTATCGAAAGCTGTTGTGTTAAGATATTAAGATTTCAAACGCACTCTAGTGAACGACTCAACTAAAAGGTTTATAGTTGAGATGATTCGTTAGTAAGAGAAAAGAAAACTTCAATAATAATTTTAGTCATGACTTCAAAGGGACTGTCCCCGATTCGGTCCTTTTATTTTTCGGTCCCTATTACTTGATTCTGATTTCGGTCTTTCTTCTGTTCAGCTATATTTCATAAAATAAAAACAAAAGGAGAATATCTATTTATTATCATCCTCATTGCTCATTGGTTAAAAAACTATAGCATAATCCAGCTTAAGCCAAACGATGTGTCAGAGACTATTGCTTAGACACATATTATATTAGAAAAATGCACAGCAAGTTGGAATTCACAACCACTAATCGAAATGCACTTGTACTTAACTATCAAGGCTATCAATATACAATTAAAAGGCAATATTACGGTACCAACGAATGGCGGTACCGACAAAAGCCATGTACAACTTCGTTATCATTATGTCGGGCTAACATATCCATGATTCACGAACCTAGTCATCATACCCAGGTCGAACATTCCGGCCACCAGATCCCGTAGGATACGCCAGGGAATACGCGGGGAAAGTCACCATATCCTGTAGGAAAGCACGGGAAATCGCTGGAACATGGAAGCAGTATTCCGGTCAAAAATACGGCCGGACTTTTCCGGCGGATTCCTGCCAAGTTCCGGTGTTTTCCGGCAGGAATTGATCGGAAATCACCGGAGAAAATGCGAAAAATTTTCAACCGGAATACTGCTTCCACAAAATCAACGGAACTACCCGGAGCCGGCCATTTCCAGGCCGAACTGTTCAACCTGGGTACCTGTATACAATCTTCGCTAAAAAAAGCTCGTTCTTGAGGAAGTAATATTTCGTATGAAAAAAAGAGCAGGCCAAGAAACTTTGCCAATCCCTCAAATATACTCACAAGAAATAATGAAATTTCGTGTCAATAATCATGATATGAACACTGGTACATTTTTTCCATTGTTGGATAGTATTGATTCAAGTTTAGATTGTTACATAAAAATATGAACCACTATAATTGATTATATTAGGACCGAGATGAGAATCAAGTAATAGAGGGACCGAATTGAGGAAGGACTCAAGTGAGAGAACATCGAATGAGACCGAAAAGCAAAAAAGGACCGTTTCTAACCGAATAGGGCCCTTCGAAGACTTCTTTTTAACATTGTCAATATTTACTTGACAGTTCAAGGAAAACTTACATCAATCGAATAGCCTTTGGTTCGTTTATAATCATTAATAAGTCTATCGTAATACGCTTGATAAATAAAATATCTTGATCTATTCCATGGAATTAATTTATCATTGACATGATGTTCAATTGCGTGTAATAGAAAATAATCTTTCGCTATCGTTTCTTCATCTTCTTTTGTATGATACCAATACAATAATTGTGTTTCAATTAGTTTCAATAGAGCACGTTTAAAACAAAAATCAATATTTGATAGATGCATTTGATCATATTTTATTTGATGTAGGGCTTGTTGAAAATGTATTTTTGACATATTTAATAAACCTAATCTTATATAAATTTGTGCAAGTACACAATCACTATAAACAATTAATAGACTCCGTTGATTAGGCCCAGTAAGAAGTTTTTTACGATATTTTGTTATATTTTCAAGAAAATCAATTGTTATGGGCATCAGTTCGTAGCCAAGTTCAATAGCAACATCAATAACTAATATATAATACCATAGTTTTGCATAACAATTCATTGTTTGTTCACTTAAATATTCTAAATGTTGTAGAATCAATTCAATATTTGATATACGCATTTCACCAATAAGAGCTAATGTTAAATGTATACATGTTTCAATAAGAAATATATTTTCATGATAACCCGTTAGTAGACGTTTAGCGAAATAACCTGATAGTATAGCTGATTCAAATGAACCCTGTTTTAATTCAATAATTAATGATAAACTTTTTAATTTGCCTAATTCAAGTTTTTCACGTGGCGTTGTTTGTAACCACCAAAACGTAATCATTCTGTCAATGAGTGTTAGACATTGATTAAAATCCATTTGACAATAAAAATATTCAATAAGTATGACGGTGCATGGAAGTGAAAATGATATTGGATATGTATAATATTCTAAATCAATTAGAGCATTCACTGATTCAATCGATTGATCACGAGAAAGTTGATATTGAAGAAGGTGATACTGACATATTAAATATTCCAGGCGATATTTTTCAACAAAAATATACAATTGATCAGATTGCTAAATATATACGACGAAGAAAAATAAAGAATGTATTATATATCCGGTCAAGATGAGGCTCGGGCTAAGGAAAGTATAGATCGATCGTTCGCTAATCAAGAAAATTGACTATTTCTCTTTTTTTGTGTACTCAAAAAGTGAGTACACTCTAGAATCGGTCAGAGTGTCCTTCCGACCGTAGGCACGATAACTTTTGAAAGCCTCATCCAATTACTATGAAATCTTGTACACAGAATGATCTCATCAATATCTAGGTCGAGTTCGAAAATGAGAAGGATCCGTCAAGAAATGGCCGTTATCGAAAAAATTATCATTTTTGATCAGACCACCCCTGAGGGGGGAGTACAGGGATTTTTCAAAAACAATTTTTCTCAGAATTATTCCCAACATATATAAATCGACTCAGTTTTTAACGCTGATTCCGAATCTGATATTAGTTTTGAACTAAACCGTAGCTTTCTGACGAAACATCGCCTGAAAAACGTCTCAAAATGGACAAAAACTGCATCCAGAAATCAAATTACCTAGTTTCTCATGATAATTTTGGTGTTTAGACATTCTAGAATGACTCATATGTCTCATGCACCTGTTGCAGTACACATAACTCTCGGATGAAATCTGAAGTTTTCACATTTATTTTTAGGTTACTTACTGATGTTTGCGAATTAGAACTTGTATTTGTACAGAAATCTTTTGTGTGTTCATATTGGGCTCGTCTTTCTTTTGCTGATGAACAATCCAACAGATCTGTATTGGATTTTAAATTTTCCCATAGTTGGTCTTGATCAATATTCTTTAGTTCTTTTAGACTTTGGTCACATAATAATTTTGCATCAAATATTGATCTTGTACGTTGTAAAACGCTAGCTTCAAGAAGATTATATGTGTATTTAGTAAGAATATATTGATATTGATAAAAATAATCATCTTTATTAATAATTTCATTCTGAAATTGATCAAAAAATTTTCGTCCATTTTCAATTTCAACTAATAAACGTTGTAATGAATTTAAACTTAATAATAATTGGCAAATTTCTATACGATAATAATTAATTTGATCGAATTGTTTACGTCGTAAATAGTCGCGTTTATCATCGACTAATTTTTCATACATATTGTAGAGATTTGTATGATATTCAACTAATTTAGCATAAATCGTTAAAACATAATCCGCACATTGACATATACGTAAATCATTATAATTTGTGAATTCATTGGCGTATTTATTTAAATTAGGCTCGTCTTGTTCTTTGTGTTTTGTTTCATAAACATATTCGATTAGATTTTTATATTGAACATAGGATTGAAATACATGAAATAGAAGTGATTGATCGTAAAGATTTTGAAACGTTTGTATACGATAAATCTGTTGATTTAAACAAGCAAGATCTTGCAGAACGTGTGCCATGGATTCGGATGAAAACATTGGCTTTTCAAGTAGTTCTTTATCAGTTGGGCAACCTTGGAGTACGCGATTCGGGGAAGGTATTAATGCTTGACGGACTTTTCGCCAATGAGATGCATGTTGTTGTGAACTTTCATTTTTCTAAATTTGATCCGTAAATTTTATAAGAAAAGTCAACAAAACCGAATCGCTTAGTTCTTAGATTGATTCATACTTTTCTCCTCAGCCCCGTAAATTACACATCTTGACAATTTCCTGTCAGAGGTGTCTACTGGTTTAGAAGAACAATTTTCATGTTCATGTTTAAGTTGGAGGTTCTAGCTTTCATCGACAAATAAACTCACGAGAAAAAAAATCAAAAGTCCCGTGTTAGCACTATGCACGGAAATTCGTTTATAAAAATCTTCCGTATTCAAAATATTTCTACTCGAGAAATTCGATTATAAATCTTACAATTTTACCTGCGAGAGACTATTTAATGTTGCAGGTTTCTGAATATCCGGTATCGGAGCGTCATTCAGACTCTTGGCTGATTGCCTTTTAAAATCGATAGCTGCTACGGATGACTTTGATTGTGCTGGTGTAACTTGACAGAAAATGCATCGAAAGAATGATCTAAAGCGATGAATTTTCTTGCTTTTCATTTTGTGTGTTTGTTGTACGATTGCTTCATTTTCATTCGATTTATTTGTCATTATCGAACCGTTCATTGTTTTCAATAGGGAAACTTTCGATAACGATGTATGCATTCGACGTTGTTTCGATAATTTAAAAATAGTAAAAATATGGCTCGAAGGTGCCGATGTCAATGATGATGATCGTTGAATGTCGATTTCCATCGATGTTGGGATAGATTCAGATTGATTGTTTTTAAATGGATAAAAACTAACTAAAGTTGAATTTGAATCCTCTAACGTATGATGTATTGAATGGTTCATTTTAGTTTCAATATCATCTTCAGCCAGCATCAAAAATGGAGATTGAGAACGTCTCCCATGTTGAAAGCCAAATCCACTTACATCATAACTATTACGACGTTTTTCCTGAGTTTTGTTAGAACTATAATATAAATTTACAGAAACAAAAACTTGTTTTAAAATACAACTTAGAACAGTGTTGCATTTGTAACCGTCCTGCTATTTTCTATTTAAAATTATTGTAATGCGATCATGGTTCTACCAGTTAAGGTAACACGTAAAACAGTGAAACATGAAGCTCTGTCTTAAAATTTGAATATCTTCTCAAATCAGAAATAGACTGATCGCCAATGGTATGATTATAGCCTCAAGAGAAAAGCAATTAGATAGTCGGAAAATGTTCCACGATGAGTAAAAATCCAACCATATGAAAACTATATCAAAATTTAGAAAAATTAGCTGCCAATCCGGAGCGATGCCAAAAATTCTTTTTTTCTATTCACTCGTATAGATATAATCGATTTTGAATATTCAAAACTCCTGTCAATTTATTGAAGTACCTTTTATTATCATTAATATTCAGATATCCAGCTAGTGTCGTGCTCGATCCTGCTTCCATATTGACCGATGTATTCGATCTTGGCTTTCCTGGCGCATTCAATGAACGCAATTTAATTGATTGCTTAATTGCATGATCGATTTCTCTTAATGCTACCATTTTGACAATATCAACAAATGCATGCTGATTGCTGGTTTTAATCGTTCTCGTAAGACCATCTTGTTTCTGTACAAAAAATGGTATATCATTTCGTGATCCACATGTTAGACAAATAATTCGACATTGTTTTTCTAAATAATCAATAGCATTTCGTATAATCGTACGTTTTAAACTATCGGTTAGCGAATTATATATTCCGTCCCGTATTGATACATGTGTAAAAGCCATGAGACGACACTGCGATGGAAAACCAGCTGGATTTTGTAGACAAAAACATTTTATTGTGTGTGTCTTGCGGCTCTGTTGCTGTTGATAGGCACATTCAATAACGGATCGTTGCATCATATCTAATATACATTCGTTAATATTAATTAGTTTTTTAGATTGTGGATCAACTAATTGCCAGAGAAATGTCCGAGAAAATGTATTACCAATAACAGCAGCTATTTTAACAAGTAAACTTTCGCCTTCGGACAGGCGATCTATGCGACACATGATGTAATTTTGAAAATTTTGTTGACAATGAGCAATAAAATCGTTCGCTGTCGGATCGCGCAAAAGACAAACACGTGAAAAAATTGGCTCAAGTTGATATTGCTCGTCAGTTACAATTTGTTTTCGACGAGAAAATAAACTTTTAGATAAACTATTTTGCATGGAAGAATTAACAATAAGTTTATCGGCATCACCTTCGATTAAATTTGATTCTTCATCTTCGGCATCAGTATTATTTGTAATATAGATTTTATCTTTACTTAACAGATCGAATAGAATTTGCTCACAAAACCCGGGAATACCTAAATTAGAGAAAAAACAATTAATCATGTATCGATGGTTTACAGCAAAATTAGTTGGATTCGAATTTTTGAGAAATAGAACGCGATGATCAGATCATTCTATGGGCGAAACAGCATATGAATAATAGGAGATTACGGAAAGTTTTTCAAAAGCCTTCCGTACCTTTTAGTTTTAGGAAGTGTAAAAGACGAAAATAAAAGTAAATAAAATCTATTTCCTTTACTTCTTCTCGAATTGGCGGAAAAGGCAGAAAAGAAAAACACCGAAACTGGTAATTGCAGAAGATGAAAACCTCGAATGGAAAATGTTGAAATGAAAAAGTATAATTAATAAAAGCGTCGAAGAAAAACTGCTAGAGGAAAACGTAGAATGAAAAAGGTGTCTATAGATAACGAAATTTTTTTGAGTTGGCATTGGTTGTTAGTGGGATAAGTTAAATTCGCTGTCCTCCTCGTCTATAGTCTATACTTGTTCATTGTTAGCGTATACCATATACGTATATATAAATCAATCTGGCGAAAACAACGAACAAATAATTTTCTCTTCAATCGGTGGCAATGGACAGTGAAATATTATTCTTAACGACTAATAAAGGTGAACCATTACTAGTGTTTAACCAATATATGTTCACGTGCAATAAAAAATCTTCATCAAAAAAGTATTGGGCTTGTACAGAATATGGATGCACCGTATATGTGCACACCAATTTAGAAAATAAATTTTTCTTTTTCTTTAAAATTATCAAAAAACTCAATTTTCGGCATTTTCCTTTTCTGTTTTGTCCACCAAATTCCTTCTTCTAGTCTGATATGAGGTCATGTAGTCTATTGGAAAACTTCTCTTTATTAGTCCCAATAAAAGATCGTTTTCCGATATAAGAATCAGACGCGATACGATTCTTACCATTGCAACTTTCATTTAATACTTTGACAATTTTCGTTGGAACTTTATGTACAGACAATATCTGACATGCTACAAATACAAGAGAGATTAAATAATGCAAAAGCAATACCGCTATCAATTTCTTTTACCGAGTGTAGCAAGATAACGTAGTTCGAGTCCAGGTAATCTTCGGAGATAAACACGTGAATCTGTACTAATTGATTGTAATGTATTTGACGTTGATCGACTATTATGATTGTTATGTGGAGGTTTCATTGAAAGAATTAATAAACATTTACTATGACTACCTAACGTAAGCAAATGTTTTAATGAGCTTTCATCAGCAAAATGAATATCATCAATAATAAATAAAATTTTTGATGCTGTTGGAATATGATAAGTAACGGCAGTTGACACTGAACCTGTCGAAAGTCTTAGCTGTGAATACGATGAACTAAAATGTAATAGAAATAAAGTCATTCTCTATTCCTATGTATTTTATTTAAAATCAACAGAACCAACACTGAAGAGAAGTTCCTTAAAGAAATGACGGATTCGGCGTCAAATGGGGCCTCGATCTCCATTCTTATTTATACATTTTCAACGATATAAAATCAACTCCGTGGTTTGAATAGATTCTATTCATAGACTATATTTTGTTTTTGACATACTGTAGCCCATTGACTGTATTTGTATAGGTGTCGTTGGTATTCGCTGATGGTTCGATAAGTTGATTTAAGATATGTAATAATAATTCATTAATATTTGTTTCATAAGTTCGAACAAAATTTTTTTCATTGTTATTTTCTGTTTCAATGGGACTTCGACGAAATCGAACATCAAGTAAATCGTTTAATAAAAATAAATTTCGTCTTAAATATAGATCATTCGATTTATTTAGATCGAATAATTTCAATAGATATTGTTCTCGTTCGTGTTGTGTTTTATCGTCATTATGAAATTGTAATAATTGTCGAAGTAACGAACGAAGTAAACAAAATTCATTGAAACGTTGTTCTAATTGACAACTATATTTAATGACGCGTATGATTAATTTCTTTGTCGTTGAATAGTCATTAGCACAAGGATACGATGCCGATGAACGATTGGTTTGATTGTCGTTTGTTGTTACTGGTATAACGTTAGGAATTGTTGAATCATGAGAAATATAATTATTTTCATAACAAGATACAGGCATACTATTATTCGAATTATTCGAATTTTCAAACGAATCAGTAATAAATTGTAATAAACGACTTCGACCGATTTTATCATCACCTGTAGAAAGAAATTCGAAAATTAATTGTCGAAAGTGAAAACTAATTTGAATTCATATCTCGTATCAGAGAATATTAATTTCGCAATATGCAAAAAGTGTCAGCAATATGTCGTGTCGAAGGATTAGAAATATACAATTAGGTAATTAGACACTCTTAATATTTTATTCTACGACAAGTACTAATTTTTTCCTAGAACAATAATCTCTATAGGTTTCAAAGGAATAGCCATCTGAACCAGAAGTGGCATTTGTGGTAATTGAACAAGTGCGATTCGAATATTTCGAAGCCTAGCTGGGTCACGGTTTCGATTGTTTTGAACAATCGGAGGGACTTAAAATTTGCCAGAAAGTATCTCGCCTTATTTTTCGGCAGAAACTGAACGATAAATGTTAAACTCGCAAATTTTGTTGACAAAATATTTTTTTCTTCGATTTTCTGTCAGAAATTATTATAAAGCTTGCAAAAATTTGACAGAAACTATTAGAAAATTTCGCAGAAAATCTGATAGATCTTCAATTTGGATGGGGGGGGGCGGCTATCCGCTCCCACTCAAATTGGCAAGCCTGAACTGTGCTCAAAACTAAAATTTCTAGTCCATAACAATCGTTATTTCCCTTACACCTCGATTTCAAAAAAAAACCTTTATATCCGCAAAATTAACATTTCTATCATCGACTATTAAAACTTAATTTCTCATGGACTGCAAAAATAAATATCTATCCAAATACAAAAAAATCTTTTTGTTGACTAACCTTCAAAAATAATAGCTGCAAGATCTCGTCGTCTATTTAACGGTTCTTCTAAAGACATAATTTGGGTTGCTACAATCATTAATTCAATTCTACGTCCTAATAATGGATAATTTTCATTTCTTATATCATCATCTAAACTTTTATTTTGTTGTATCGTTTGGCTATTTTTTATTTGTGCATTATCTAGATAATCGCCATATTGCCAAATAATCCCAACATTATTCATTCCCTAGAATCGAATCGAAAGTTTTTCAATTCATTTTCTTTATTCTAATTTTACTTTTAATATTTTATCGGGTAGTATTTGAAAACATCGACTATTCAAATGTGAATTATAGTATGTTTCTTGATCACAAGATATTATATTTGGATAATTACACATTAAACGTGCAGCCATATTTACTTTCCGGCCAATAACAGTATATTCACAGCGTGCTACATGGCCGACAACACCACAATATGTAAGACCTGTTGCCACCTAACTTAACGAGAGTAGTTTTCAAAAAAATTTCTGTTCTCCTTCGTTTTGTCTTTATTTCGATTTACTTACGCCGATCGAACATTTATCAATAAATTTACATTGTTTGTGCATGGTTGAATGTATCATTTGAGCACATTTTAGTGCATTTGCTGTATCATCGCCTTGTTTATAACCTGGCAAACCAAAAACACATAAAAATGACCAACCTTTATCGAACAACAATGCTTTTGTTAATACGCCGCCCATCATTTTTGTCAATTCATAAATTTGTATGAAAACTTTTTGAACATTTTGACAAAGATTATTATTTGTACATCGTTCATTGGATATATCAAGATTAATAAATGTTATTGTTACACGACGTAATTCAGATAAATATTCTAATGATTGTTGACGTTCAATATGTTGATAGACACAACGAAGTAAAAATGATTTCATTAAACTATCGATTTTATTGTAAAGTTCTTCATCGATCGTATCACTAACGGGAGAAGATGTTCGATGATTTTCAATTTTATCTTGTTTAGATATTTCTTGATTTGAAATATTCTATTTAAAAATAAAAATAAAATAGTTTTCTCAATCCAACAAGACTTTATCGGCGAGATTAATTAACAGAATTGTTCAGAATTCAGTTTGGTTTCAATTTTTTTCTTGAGGATGCTACAATTATGTCTAATATGGTACGAGTTCAAGGACTTTGTTTTACCGAAAATGGAAAATTTTCATGTTCAGTACAGCCTTGAGACTGAGTCAAAATTTTCCCATCTACCAAATAATTATATTCCTATAATTGTTTGTTTTTGTTTGGTTCGTGAACTTTAATAGACGTCAAACAAGTAGAATTATAAAAGATTGGAAAATACTTATTTCTGATTGAATATAACAATCGAAATCTAATACGATACACAATTTAATGTAATTTCTGATACAGCAACGACGTGAAAAGTAATTGAATTGATTGTTGAAAAATAGTAGAATAATCTTTTATGTCATTAGTAATTTTCTTTAAGCACTCAGGATATTAGGATACGCGAGTTCTGCTAGGAGTCAGTGGTGCGCATCAATATAGAATAAATCTACTCAGCGAAACTGATGCCATTAGAATAGGTCGGTTTACTGCTTAATTTTTCATTATTTCATAAAATTTCTTTGACTGAAATGTCAATTATTTGTCATAGACATTTTCCTTAAAATGTTTTGATGGATAACGGTTTGAATCATTCATCCACAATTAATTCTCTCAGAAATTCGTTGCCATCAATTCTGTTGTTTCTGTTCTCGATTAGTTGCTGCTAATTAGCAACTAATGGAAACTGACTGATGTTGATGAAAAAAACATGATAATATCTCTCGAGGAAAGCTCGCTAATGTTGTCGGAATGATTGAAAATAATGAGACATCTTTAGAGTATTGTACGTAACCACCGAAAAAAGATAAAATATTTAGACAATCAATGCCAATGAAATATCATTTTTCAAAGGAGACACAGAGAGGTAACATTAATTTCATCCATGTTCTACTGCGAGTAAAAATGGCTACTCCGCTTAATTAACTAGTGATTTCTGCGTTTGGTGGATGCTTAGAAGCGAATGAGAAAAAGTCTTTATCTGTTCTTAACGACATGCACATATTGCTTTGATCAGTATTATTGAAAAACTCAATTGAATTCAAGTGATGATTGTTGATGATTTAACATACTGAAAATTTATCATTCTCGGAAAATATGATGCACGTTTGGCTGCTACAATTTTTCTCCGTCTTAAATAATACCATTTGCAGCAGCGCTTGGCGTAATTGTTTCTGTCATTCCAACAATAGATCTTTCTGGGTCTATTCTAAACATTACTCTTCTTTCGATTGTCAATAGCGATTAAGTACCCGGTCTAAAATAGTAGAGAATTTCGAGCAATTGCTAATTTTTCAAAGATTATTCTTTTCAACGATAAAAGCGCCGAACGATTATTGAATAGTGTCCTATCGTTTGTTGTCGGATTCAATTCTATAGATATTCTTTTTGGCAAAAATTAGATGGTAAATGATCAATAATTTATAGTCCTTCTTCGTTCAATCAACAGTTCTGTGTAATCAATGCGTGTACTTAAGCCTAGTGCTGTAGAATATTCCGATGAATTTAAAACAAATTTTACTTCAAATGGAAACTAAACAATTTTGCAGTATTTTCTCGTTTGTTTTTTTTCAGTGCATATTTTCATCGTTAGTACAGTAATTGTTTTTGTTTTGTGCTAATATCCTATTTGTATGCGCAATCGCCTAGAAAAAATTAATTTCCATAACAAAAACATATGTACATAGGCCGTAAAAATTATTTCTACGACACACACGCTTCAATTTTTTATCCTGATGGTTTTGACTAAGATCAGAGCTCACTAGACCATGATAATGATCACAAGTCTGATGGTATCAGTCTGTTTTTTATGCAGCAGATTTAGGATGATAACATTAGTCTTTTTACCCCAGGGTCAACAAAATGCTTTTATGGCCCTTCTATTAATCTCTACAATTTCGCGGCATTAACATTCCTATTTTGTTATTATTAGATGAAGAAGATCTGCATCTCTATATTGTGTTGTATCGATCTGCTAGAGTAAAGAATCTATTCTTCGACATCGATCGATAGTTGCAATTGTAGACTTCTTAGGAAAAATTCGATTAAAGAAGAATGAAGTGTAATCTTCATAATTCATTTACGATCAATATAACGGAGTTGAATCTTAATTTCCCGTCTTTTCGGCAACTATGAACTTACCAGTTTATCACTTATTTTCGTTAGCTCATGATTATCATCGACTGCTCCACAATATTTAACAGCAATATGTGCTTGTTCCCGATTGATATCATCGTTAATCGATAGATATTCACAATTTAATTTTAGTGATCGCACGTGTTCATACACTGCGTTCGTTATGATGATATCTCCGGGCTCACATAGTTGCTCACAAATATTTACATCTTTCACACAATCACCGGCTAATATGTAATGTTTAAATTCATCTGTGCCTATAAATAGTGCACGTACAGGCCCGTATGCAATTGCTATTTTAAGACGTAATACAACTCCAACATCTGTTTCGTATGAGCCACATTTTTCTTGTAAATATAAGGCACATTTCAATGCTTGTTCTGTCCCATTGAACTCATTCGCCCATACTGCAAGTATAGCGTCACCAGCAAATTTATATATATCACCATTGTATAATAAAATTTGTGAAACAAGTGTATCAAAATAAGAGTTTAATGTATGCGTCAATTGATCAATACCAAGATGCGCATCATTTGAATATTGTTCTGTTAATGATGTAAAACCGGACACATCAAGAAATAGTAATGTTATTTTATTATATTTATGTTCACTGGGTATTAAAATATTTCCTTTTTGATCGATTAAATCATTTAAATTATTCAGAACAATATCTGGAATGTGTGCTTGAACTTGTTGTCCAATGGGAAATGTTTCATCATCATCATTATCAACATCATCATCGTCGTCGTCGTCGTTGTCGTCGAGAATTTCTTCGTTCGTTGTTGAACCTATTTGTAGTGTTGCAACAACCATTTTAACTGTATTCGTCGCTAATGACGGTAAACATCGAGCACCAATTCGACGTAATGTTTGTTTTCTTCGAGTTTTTTTAATCAAAGCTTTCGTTTTTGGATGAATAATTTCAGTCGGTTGATATGTAAGATATGATTTTGAATTATCCATAGTCTTCACACGATCTTAGACTCTGAAATTAAAAGAATCTTTTTAATTATCACTAAGAACTAGTCGTTTATCTTTTATCTTTTCAACTTGATGAAATGATAAGAATTGACAGTAACAACAATGAAGTGCTAATGAAAAAAATAATATATATGTATATAACGGTAGCAAACTACTGGCCCCCATGATACAACTTCATTGATAGTAAAGAACTTGTCTGTGTGCACTTCTCTCTCTCTCTCTCACTCTGTATGTATATATAAATAAATGCATAGATATGTCTTGCGATTTATTTATTGCTATTATTTGATTCTCATATTGGTGCTATCATTGATGACATATCTATTTATCCTATTTTGTTTTGCTTCTTTCTTATTCTTTTTCTCTTATGTGCGTTATTATGCAGTATCTACGTTTGTGTATTTTTAGTGTAAACCGCTCTAATCTAATCTATTTAATAGAAAATAACAAAGAAATAATAGAAATATATAATATATATATAAACTTTCATAAATATAAACATTTTCGCGTTAGTTCTACTGAATTTTTATTTGTTTTGGAGATAATTCTGACATAAATGCTTCATGTTCTTAGTACTCTGTTTACTCCGAAGAAGAAAGATAGGTCCATGACAAGCCTTGCATTTTGCATCCCTGCTGAGACACACTGAATTTATTATTTTCGCTTTATCCTAACCAACGTTGTTAGCAATTGACATTGGCGGTAATAACAACGATATTTATTCTTTCTACTATCCCAAGAAAAGGCGTTATATGAACGACCGTCTATAAGGTAATCTGTCATGCTAGAAAACGTGGACAATTAGTGCAAAGAATAAAAACGCGATAGACATTTTCTAATGAATAAAATTACTCGTTAGATGGTATGACGGATTACGGTGAAAATGAATGTAATAATTAGTCGTTTAGAATTGTGTAATCTGTCGTTTTCCAGGGTCATTAGCATCGAACTGAACAAAGCGTATATAAGATGTAAATCATAAATATGATTACAGGTACAAATTCATAGAACAATATAAGACGAAGAAAAAAGGATCAAACATGACAAACTCTTACAAATACCAATATTATTTGATCTATTTGTTCGCTAATCAGAATTGGCGCTTACATGTAAACAAGTTCTAGACAAATAATTATCACCGTATCATAATAATAACAAGGGAAGAAAAAAAAGTCGATATAGATATATGTAAAAGAAAAAAGGAATGATGTATAGTGATCAAATTGAATGTCGACGCACAAGCTTTTATCAAATGATGGAGTGCGATGAGACAGGACGAGGCGCCTATACAATACCATTTGCAAGAGTCTCTTGACAAAGGCTATCCACCAATGCTCTTTTGTTTTATGCCGACGATCATCATCATCAGTCATTTACAGACTAAGAGAGAAAGAAAAACCCAACAGAGGCAATAGAAAAATAAGCGCCTAATATATATATATATATATATATATATCCTTTTTTTCTCTTTCTCGCTCTCTGTTATTCTATTTTTGTTGATCAGTTATATTCATGGAATCTACATACTATAGAAATTGATTGGCAAAAACAAATCAAAAGAACTTGTAAATCGATAACAACTCCCATCAAATGTATTTCTCTTGTGATACGCAACAAAAAAAAAAGAAAGACATAAATTATGAAATATCTATTCGTTACACGTGAGAAATAAAAAAAAAAGAACAGTCTTACTTTGTTTCAAACAGTGCTTTAATTGTATTTTTCATCGCGTTGACATATTTGTTAGAGTCTTTTTAAAAGATAATGGCATACAATAAAATAATTCATATTTAACACTTGTTTTTTATTATGAATAAATGAGATGCGAACCACCATTGGCTATTAATTTCCTTAAAGAGGTTTTCCCTTCAGCTTTACATAATATTCATCAGACAAAAGTCACGATCAGACAGGCTTTAATGTAAAACTCATGTTATTCAATCATACATATTTGCCATATGTTTGCATATCTTTACTTAACAAGTATGCTTTCGCTAATCGTATAAAATAATCATAACTGTCATGTTTTATAGCCTGCAGTAGCAATGATGAGCATCATCTTCTCTCTTGTTTTACTTTTGAAATAGAATAATAAAAGAAACTATCTATGTTTATTGACAAGATTTATAAAATAAATATTAGAATAAAATGAAAGTCATCATGCACGCCTGTTGAATTTCTATCATTTATTGGAGACCTAATGTTTTAAATATGTTGTCTATAACAACTATAGAAGAAATATTCCTACAAGCATGGAGCAGAAAAAACATTGCATAGGTTTCTTTTGTTGTATTACTCTTTCAATATGGTTATTACAGCAAATGGTTTCCGTTATTACCAGTTATCCGCGTATATTAGATTATGCTCAGTTTCATTTATGATAACTTTCGTGAGTTTCTGATAATTTAAATATAGTTCGATATGAAGTGGTCCGATTTTATCAAGCATTTAGATATTTTCTTAAATACAAAAAAATGAGGAAACATCGGATTCGCATCCGATTGTTGTGTGTACTGCAAAAACTGAGTCGATTTATGTATGTTGTGAATAATTCTAAGAAAGTAATTTTTTTTTGAAAAAATCCGTGTACCCCCCCCCCCGGGCGGGGGGGGTCTGGTTAATAATGACAATTTTTTCCATAGCTCAGTCATTTCTTGACGGATTCTTCTCATCTTCGAACTCGACTGAAATATTGATGAGATCATCCTGCGTACAAAATTTCATGACAATTGGATGAGGCTTTCAAAGGTTATCGTGTTAACGGCCGGATACACTGACCGAATCTAGAGTGTACTCACTTTTTTTGAGTACACAAAAAGGAAATCTCATGCTTATTTCAATATAGCTAAGATGAGACTTAGAGAAATGTATCATTCATTAACAGCAATTAATTTCACTTAAATCAAGAATAGAAAAAAAGGGGAAAAATTTAGTGTAGCTCCGAAATTTAACTGATTGCGCATTGAATACTATCATTATCGAATTAAGCGAAATGGAGACTTTTCAAGAAAAAGATAGAATAGAACTGAACTGAATTTTTTTCTCTCAAATTCGATTGATAATGACCTCGTCATTTAGTTTTTTTGTTGCGATCGAATATCGACGGAATGATATAAAATATGATAGCGAACAAAAAGTGCGTTATCTCTAACATTCCGGTTGACCCAGTTCACATTGAATCATTAAAGATAGACCGCGAAGTTTCCCGAATCAAATCTTCAAATCATATCCATATTTGTGGATAGTATAATATTTAACAAAATACTGGTGACCAAGTATAAATTTCAACTTAGCGATCTTTTAAATATGATATATTTCGTGCATTGTATGAGCGAGTGATGACGGAGTGTAGAAACGAGCTAATACTATTAAGTGTAATCTCTGAAACGCATGTGAAGCTGTCTATTGAATGAGATGGCAGAATTGTTTTTTCTCAATTTTTTGAAAACGATTAAAAAAGTTATTTATGAAGGTTAAGTGATGAGGAATAACGTCTTTTGGAAGACCAAATGGAGCTATTCTACGAGTTTGCACTTCCAAGGAAAACATGTTCACTTGGTTCAATCTCTAAATTCGAAAAAAGAAAGGGGGAAAAGCTGATTCCGTGATTCCGTGATCCTATGCGATTCTGTTGATTCCATTGATTCCATGTGATTCCGTGTGATTCCGTGTGATTCCATTGATTCCATTGATTCCATGTGATCCCATTGATTCCGTGTGATTCTGTGTGATTCCGATGATTCTATCACCATAGAATCAGCTTTTTCCCCCTTGAAAAAAAGCCTGAATGAAACTCATGATTGAGATTTTATGATGGTTTTACTGTAAAATTAGTGGTGTTCAGATTTCCGAAAAAAAGAAATTTGGAACCTGATATCTCCGAAATTTCTGTTATTAGAAAAAATTCAATAATTTCCGTAGTTTTCTTGTTGCGGAAATCGGAACATACCTCCTACTAGGGATAGTTCGTGATTACCCATGTAAAAAAAATAAACCTAAAAATTTTGATTAATTTTACGCTTATAATCGACTTTTTCTCGTGTTTGATTTGGGATCAATGTTTTTTCATCGATAATCATCGTTTTTTTACTAGAATTGAATAAAATCTATTAATACGGACAGGGGTGTCCCGACCATTCCAACTGTTGGGGAGATATAAAAATTTTCTCCTTCAAAATACTAGGGTCACGGGTGTCGCGAGAAAGCAAAACTTGGGGGGGGGGGGGCGGTNGGGGGTAGCTTATAAAATTCTGCTTTCCAAAAATGTTGAGGGGGAATAACCAGTGCTACCAGATCTTCCACAATTTTGAAAACTCATGCATTTTCACAATTTCACCTCATTTTTTCTGAACTTTTCCGAATTTTTTGGGAGTTTTTCTGGATTTTCTGAGGATTTTGAGATTTGAATTCTGAAATTTTGAGTTCAACATTTGCCAATACTGAGAATAACTTATAAAATCACGCTTAAGATAGTACAAGTTTTATTTTTTAAAACATAATACAAAACAATTTTTCGAACATTGGGGTGTGTTACACCTCCGTGGGGGGGGGGGGGGGGGGGGGGNGGGGGGGTAAACCCCCCGCCCCCCCCCCCCCCCCCCCCAGTCGAGTCACCCCTGAATACGAAGTATACTCGCTTGCTTGTGATTATTGATTAATCAGTTAGAATCAATTTTCAGGAATAATCGATTTTCATCGGTAACTGATGATTTTTTCAAGATTAAAATTAAATGATACCGATTATAATCTACCAAAATCGATTAGCTTTCGAAATCAACTCTAATGATTAAAATTAGTATGACCTAAAATAAAATGATAGCGATTATATTCTAATAGAATCTTTTAAGCTTTGGATTAGATTATAATTATATGCTGAGAATCTTCTGAAACCAACTAATACTGATTATATAATCTACCATAATCGATAACATTCTGGATTCTCTGAAGATGTAAATATCCCTTATCGTTGTGCACATCAGTAGGCAATTTAAGATACGCTATGAGAGCAATAGAATACAAGTGAAGAGAAATGAATAATAAGTTATTCAGTGGAATGTACGGAAAATCTTTTTTAGGCTAGTGGCTATCTTTCATGTATTTTTTATAAAAAAAAACGAACAAAAAAGATTAATTAGTCTTCTATAAAAAAAAATGCACATGTCTTCATAATTTAAAAAATCTCAATCACTCAGTAACAAAACGTATTAGTCAAGATTTGTGATATTTCTTTTCTCAATCAAACTGAAGCCTGCAATTTAATGTAGAAAGAAGTTTCATCTAAATTTTAGAAAAGGAAATTAGAAAGAGTTTTCATTTATTCATTTAAACAAATATTCAATCCCAGCATATAAGAAAAATAACCGAAATGAAAGGTCCTTTTTCTTTTTTAAAGTCATCATTAATCAAAATAGTTGAATAGCTCATCAGAAAAGAATAGAGGACTAAATGGATAAGTCATTAAAACACATTTTCTCTAAGCTCGATTCGAGTATATCGTTCCTTGTGACATTCTAAGCCATAAGTGTTTTGGTAAATGACTTGCGAAGAAACGAGTATCAGTACCACAATGAGTACTCGTACTTTAGCTACTAAGTAAATCTCCAAAGAAAAATACTAATGAGTATCTCGTCAGATTAATCTCAAAGTGTACATACACACGAAACGCCTCCAATATTCGTCCATGAATCTGAATATTCATCTGGCAAGCCGTACTCGCTAGATTAGTATTACATTACATTGACACAAAAGTGTTGAAATAATCCTTTGAATTTTTGTATAAATCCCCAGTATTCAGAAAGTCGCCTGATCTTAATTATTTTCTCCATTGACTTATTTATGATTCAGTTTGCAATCGAGCTTGGATGTCACATTAGTATTTATAAACTATCAATTTTGTGAAACACGATCTGAAAGGAGTGTTGAAGTATATAGGGTAGAAATTTGGACCCACCCCCCGTCCCCACAGGCCGTTACAGAGAAATTAATTAATCAGTTAATTGGTTAACCAATTAATTATTAATTAATTATTAAATTTCTCTGTAACGGTCTGTGATGGTTTCTAGAGACTTCATACATCATAATACAGACTGTAACAGAGAAGCTCCACAGACCATCAGTAACCGTGATAGTCGAATTTCAGAAAAGAAGTTTCATCGTGTTTCACATTTTAATCCCACGTGGATTGCGCTAACAGCTTTTTCTCTACGGAGTCAATTCTTTGGGCAATAGAGAACATTTCACTTATGGAGCAACCAAAGTTTCCTCTCTAAATTTGTTAAACCATTAACATATTGCCGAAAGAAACATAGTATCTGCTTAATTAAATTTTTTCCATATTTGTATTTTAAATATTATTATATGACTGGGTTTTGTTATAGCTTTTACAGTGCATATTAGTTGAAAATATTTGTCACCGCAAATTGCTGACCTCCATTCGTATTATATGATGAACGTTCCATGCCCAGATCTATATCCTTCGTGTATTTATTTTTGTGTCAGCTTTTTATGATCACGCTGCTCTTCATTTAAAACAATGCAACATTTCTTCATTTCTACTTTAACACAGGTAACACAGACAAACATACGGGTTAGTATAATAGCCGTAGGAACATGCTTCGATAAATGAGTATAAGTCTATATATAACAGAAACACATACACAAAGACTCGTAAACATATATGTGTAGGGGTTGAGGCATATTTATTTAGAAGTTAGATATTGAGGGGGCGAGAAAACAACTAGATAAGAACATGTAGTATATTGTAACAAGTTCGAGATAGATATGCAGGTAGGAAATAGACAGATATAAGGAGTTTCTGGATAAGTACACTGAACAAAAAGGTACGATAGGGAACTTTAAGGGTTTCCGTGGTGCTTAGCTATGCTTTAAAAAGTTTCGCTCGCACATACGAAACTTTAAACGAGTTTACTATCATGTAGAGTTTCGTAAAGAAACCTTGTCAAGGTTTAGTATTCAGGGACGTTTCGTGATAAATTTTTTCCAGTATTGAAAATTGAAAAGGTTTCGTAAAATACTCCTCTAATTTCATTTCAAAACATGAGCGTTGGAGTAGATATACCTGCTCAAATTTGTTTTCTCATCGAGTTTAATGGAAATCAAACACTAACTGTTCCGCTACTAATCATGTTCTGAATCGAGTAAAACATTCTTAATGTGCACTAATCAAAACAAATCTAAAATGTTGAACTGCCGAAGATTATAAAAAAAGAAGTGCTGCATTTCAATTTCAAATCGCAATAAAAAACCAATTACATACGTTCTCTGTTGACTGCCTCAAGTACATTCGCTTAAGTGAAGCGGTTACTTAAAGGTACGGAAATAACTTTGCGGTTGATTGCGACTAAAATGGTGAGTTATGAGCCATATATGCATAATGAGATTAGTCTATAGAGATTAGATCAGATTAAGGTTGAGGAAATCAGATAGAAGGTTATTTTAAGATCAAGGGGGTAAATTAAGTACTCTCTAAAGGCAATTCGTTTCGTAGAAAACCAAAACGCACTCGGATAACCATTTGGGATTTCAGAAACTCTCAGAGTATATACTCGGAAGCTAATACTGCCAGAATCTTTAGTCGAAATCTTATGAGGTATGTGGAAATATCATTTCAGTTTTCGAAATGTTTCGCGACGAACCGTAGACTTTCCAGGTATACTCAATCTCAAAATGTACAATAACGAATTAAAATCCGATCTCAAGTTTTTATTTGTTACAACAAAAAGCCTCTAGATCTTTTGATTCTGTTAGAATATCTCGGAAAATGAAAGAAATCAAAGTCCTCAAACATCTCAGAGAGTTTTTTGTAGTACTCCGATGTTCTTTTCCCATCTTTATCATTGCTCAGTTCGAGATGTATTTAGTGAACTAAAACTGCCAACAATATCCAGTATAACCTATTGCATCAATAATTATTTACTCTATGAATCATTTTATTTTCCAAAGCTGAAACCATTTTAATACTATTGAAAAAGCCTCATGCCACCTATTTGTTCTTGAACTATTCTCGACTTAGAATACAATTCGATATCATCAAAATAGTAAGTAAGAATTCAATAATAACAATCTGTTTTATCCATCGTCTTTTGTTTTAGGTTCTTATCGATACGATCGAAATAGTCAGTCAGGGGATAGACAGATAATGTGATACATTAAGGTTGATGGTTTAAGTTAGAGAAACGAATTAAGATTAAGGAGATAGATTAAGTTTAAGGGGATAAACGTATATAGAGAAGGGGATACGTTAAGGGAAATATATGTATTAAATTGATATGTAAATAAGATGGATTTCGATTGTATGAATCTGCTAGAGATTACATATAAGACGCTGCATCAAATAGAATAAAGAGATAGTGAAAGGCATAAGTTTGTCGGTACTGATTCTGCAAGCGTAGATCGATCGCATTAGAATCGTGACATAATTGCAACAACGAAATCTTTTTGGATGTAAATTAAAGACGGCTTGATCTTTAGCCATATTTTTACGAAACTCAAAAATCGTGCAGGTTTCGATGAAAATCTCGAAATCGTTTTTAAGTTCCATATGGTACCTTTTTTCGATATTTAGGCGGTTAGAAATAGACAGAGAGTTAGCTGACGATATAGAATCAAGACAGATAGATTTTAGTGGTTAGGCACAGATATAGGTGGTGTGACTGATTTAAATCGATTTCAAGCAAATCTTAATCGATGAAAATCAAATTTAACCATTTTTAATCGGTTAACTGTTGTGTTTAAATACTTTTCTAATTATAATCGATTCTTTCTGATTATTAAAGGATTTGGAATCAATTATAATCTGATTATTTGCCCTTTTTTACATGGATATACATCAGTAAATACTAAAGTGAATAAAAAATTTTCCAATTATCTTGATTTATTTCAATGAAAATAAAGAGAGAGAAACTTGATTATATATACAATTCTATCTGATTGAGAATCGTTGAACACGATGGTTTTGATTATCTACTACATAAAGATTGTTATGCCGATCAAACGATAAAGCCCACGGCCAATGAAACTGATTTGTTTCTGATCCACGACCATTTTTACCTACGATTATAATACCCTGTTTTGCTCCTTTAGGCCAACACATAATTCGTTCATTCCCAGTGTCTGCCACAAAGAGGGTACCCAACGTATTAACGAATATTCCTTGTGGATATGTCAACTGTGTCAGATCATCACCTTGTCCTTGACCACCAGCGACGACAATCCCTTCTTTTCCGCCTTTATTCCATTTCATCACACGATGATTTTTGTTGTCTGATACATAGAGACTTTGTTGTTCATCGACAAAGAGGTACATCGGCTCGTTGAGTTGATTTAGACCAGCACCTTGACCATTTCCACCAGCAACGATAGTTCCATTCTTGTCTCCCATTTTATACCGTCTGACTTCATGTTTACTTATATCTGAGATATAGAGATATCTCTTATCATTCATAGCTATCCCACAACAATGAATATTATCTACGAGAACTTCTCCTTGAGTTGCGCCACTACGGCAAGGCCATCGTAAGACTCGTCGATTCCCTCGATCAGAAATAATTAGACTATCAGTATTTTTATCAATCAAAACATCGCTAGGATGACACAACGGACCCAAGCCATTATCTTCAGTTTTGTCATCAGCTACGACTCGCCCATTCGTATCATTCAGCTTCCATCGAATGATACGATTATTCCAGAAATCAGCAATGAATATTGTTTGATTGTCAGCAACGAAGAGGCCACACGGATTACAGAGTTGATTGGTGCCGTTACCTTTCCCATTGCCTCCAGCAACAGTCTCACCCGCCTGTTGCCATCGCAGATTTTCACGCCGATTGGGAAAATCTTGAAAAAAAAATGATACTCTCTGTGGCTTCATTTTAAAAGGCGAATTTATAGGAATATTTCAAATGATTATTCTTCTCTATTTCAAGTCAAGAACAGAAAAAGATTTTTCTCTACGAAAGAAAATCATGAGATCTTTCGTTTTAATTACTGACTAGGAATTTTCTTGAAACTTCGAACAAGAGAATCTTTGACAAATCTCTTTTAAAAACTAAAAACACGATTGCATATTAAATCAACTGAAATATAGAATCCGAAGTTTTTGAAATGGTTTTTCAGGTGTTTCCTATGGTGTCCGGACTTTCGATTCAATGTAAAATGAAAATGAGGGTGAAAATAAGCTAATTTTATGAGAAAAAAAATTCATTTTCTGGCCGAAATTCACGTAACCCCTTGACAATAAGAAATATAAAATTCTTTATACCTGATCTTATTGATGGCATTTTATTTGAGTCATTATTGATTGGTTTTGGTTGTGTCGCTTGAGAAAATGAATGCGACTTGCCAGTGTCAAGCAGAGTATTCAGTGTTTCCAATTTGGAATAGGGTGGTCTAACCAGTACAATTGGTGGTTTAATTTCTTTTAAGTGAATAATATGAAGGTCAGGTGCAGGATTTAAATGACCCATCACTTCAAAATATGAGCCTGGCATGAGAATAATTTCTTTCTCGGCATTTTTGTAGTAGGAATGTTTTTCCGTAGCTTTTCCATTCATGCATTCAATTGAAAACAGAGTACGTATTCCTTGTTGACCCAAAAATTGATCTGATCTGAGTACTTCACAATCAGTTGTGCAAGAACTTACTCCCCACCAAGCAAGTCGTGTTCCTTTCTGATATCTAGAACTCAAGTCAACATCGCGAATACCACGCCATATTGCTCCACAATATGATGGTAATTTGTGCAGAGCAGTAAGAAATAATTTCAGAAATGAGAACCATGGCTTCAGTTCTCCACGATTTTCAGAACGTAGCGATTGGTTAAGTAATAGATATAAACTTGGTCCACCACCAAATTGCATTGTATATAGTTGTATAGCAGCTGATTCGTCTTGAGTTAATCCATCAACTGGATTTTGACAATTATGTAATGCAACAAAGACTTGGTCTTGAATACCATGAAAAAAACTGGAAATGGGTTCAATGGCTTCCGTAAGGGAAACAAGTTGTACATCTTGATGGCCGTTTATCGGTGATAAAAGATGATCTACAGGCTCTTGGTAAAGATCTGTAAAACGAGATGCACTCCCAAAATATGTCGTTCGTGCCATTTAATTTGCAAAAAACTAATAACCAATAAATGTCTGAAATCTAGAACAAGCAAACGAATCGATCGAATAACTGTTTCACTATTTTCACTTCAAGAAAAATAGAAAAATTATGATGAGCAAATAAGTAGAAAAAATTAAACCGTTTAGTTTAATATTTGAATCTAAATAGCGTGTTCTCGCATGAGAAAGCTAACCATAGATATGGACAGACAAAAAAAAGACATAATATTTCCAGAGGACAATCAAAAGATTGAAGGCATTGCCGATCTGGAATCATAACAGAATTGATCAATCTCACACATTCTCTACTAAATAGTTGAGCACCCTTAGATTGTACCCAGGTCGAGCAATCACATTGCAAGATCTTGTGTCAGATTTTTCGACCTGGGTAGTCTGTTTTTCTGTCAAAATAAAAATCTGACCTTACGGAAAGCAATTTTCGATTTGTAGGATAGAATGAATCTTACATGGTCCTATTAGTCTCACGATGATCAAGAACATTAAGAAGAACGCATTAATAAAACTCGAATATTTGTGCATATCGAGTTGTACCTAACCTAACCTGAGACGAATCACAGTCTTCGTTCGTAATAAAAAACAATGATTTGCTTTACTGGAAGTATCTTTTAGAATTTACCCTCGAACAGCTATAATTCTTGTCCGATATTCGATGAAATTCTTCCTACTTTAGACATTAGTATACAATTATTTACTCACGAGAATTTAATGAACGAAATCTAATTGACGACGAATATTTTCTTATCGCGCAATTCTAATTGTATGATTCAGTCGAGCACCTGAAAAAGGTTAAATATTTAGGTACTCATCTCGATGCGAAATTGTCCTTTACGACACACATCAACTATATCAAAGATAAAATACGTAAGAATGTGAATGTGCTCAAACGACTGACATCTAGTCGAATGACGAGTGAGAAAGTCAACTATAGACTTTTCAATGCTTACATTAGACCGTACTACCAGTCGCTTTTTAACATTTATCCGATTTTGACCGCAAATAAACAAAAACAACTCGAAGCAATGAATCGTCAAATTTTTCGTAAAATCCATCAGTGGTCTGATGCAACAAACATCGAAATTGAGAGTCTACCAAAATATAAATCGTTCAAGGCACTTGCAGATACTCATTGGGATAAACTGACATCAGCAATACTCAGAACAAATCCTCGTGTTCTAGAAGATTTCTTACAACACAAACTATCAATCGTTTACTTACAAGAATATTTCACAAATCCTTCACTCGCAAAAGAAAGAAAATCAATATTTGGTAGAGGAAGAACACGTAACAACATCAAAAGCCTACTAAATGATGGAATACTATCTCTATTTGACCATGTAGTATGTTTCTAAGCCTTGAGATTCTCCTGGTTAAACATGTGTTGTATCTCCCTATTCTTTTTTCCCTAAACGCTTATAGTGTCTTTCTCTTTTCTTTTTTCTCTCGCCTTGTGTCTAGTGTACTCGATCTTTGTTTTTCTTCTCAACTATTTGGTTTTTTTTTACGCTACAGGGGCGATGTTCGCTCATAGCAGGTGTAAACCACTCATGTGGTACTCACCAAAATAAAGCATCATAAAAAAACAAAAAAATTGTATGATTCAGTGATTATTTCATAGTTGTTTACCTATCCAATCCATCATCGATCGTATTCATTTCTTACTAGTTGCTGTTTTTTTATGACAACCTTTATGATAATGAGTGCACACAAATGTACAAACAACACAACGTGCGCACATAAAGATATGCTTCACTGATTTTCAGTCAGTGAATCTTATCAACAAGATAAACATAAAACATACCAATGAATATAGAGAACAATTAAATATTCTTTTATTTTCAGACTCGTGACGGTATCTATTCATGCTTAGACTGGCAAAAAGAAAACCCGCAAGCAAATAATCTTGACGTTGATTCTCATCGTTATTTCATCTCGACTATTTGAAATGGATAAATATTTGTTTATAATTCAGAAGACAAAGTTTGCTAATAAATCGTTGCTGTTGTTTTTCCATACTGATTGGCATATCATCGAAGAAACCCAACATTAAGAGAGAAAAATAGATTAGACTACTTTATTTCGTATTCTTACCTGCTTTTCACGGTGTTTATCTTTGCTCCAAGGATTTTTTTTCTCATATGAGGAAAAAATGGCACAATAATTGGAAAAAAAAACAGATACTGTATATAGCATTGATGAGAAAAGGACTACAGGTTAAAAAAAACTGCATTATGAGGTGACACACTATAACGTCATAACGTGTTGACAAGTATTTTACTTATCTACACTCACATATTTTCCCCGGATTGAATGTGATTCAGGATGCCGTTTAACAAAACCAAGAAAAAAATCTTCTTAATAGATTACAATGAAGAAATGTACATGAACACAACAATTAATTTGAGTCTTTCCATGTTATTGTAATGTAAACGCTCATTCACATGCTTTTTGTTAGATCGAAGATTTTTGTTGTATGCCTAATAGTTTGTTGGTCATTTTTTTACTGTATGAAATTATACACTTGGTCAAGATCATATCAAAACATGGAGACTTTAATTTTGAAGTCTCTTTCTGATTTTTCACATCTTTGCTGTTAATATCGAGTTTACACTGGAAAACAAGTTTAATAGGCATACCTAGTGACATCTTTATTAAGATGATATTCAATCGATGTATAAGTATTCTTAATCTATTACACTTTATTTTAGTTCTTTTCTTCGTTAAATACTGTGAAACAAAAGTAAAAACAATTGTGTCACCAATGAATAAAGACGAGTCAAACCAACTGCTACGTGGTTGAAGAACGAAACGAAGTATGTTATAGCGAGTATTGAAATTTGCTCTACACATGTTGTTACATTATCATATCAGCAAATAGATAAATAGATGCATCATCACTTCTATATATACATTTATCTCGTACTATTAGCGATAAATAATAGTGCGATAACTGCCACGACTGTGGCTGATTCCGAGCCTATGATTTTCAATGAAGATGTCATCGATGAATTCATCGAAAATGAAATTCAGCAAGGTTTTCCTGGTGCAGCTCTTATCGTAACTCGCTTTGGACAAGTATTAAAACAAAGTGTTTACGGTTATAAATTAAAATATGACGAAAACGCGACAATTATAAAAGAACCACAACTCGTAACATTGGACACCATGTTTGACTTGGCATCGTTAACTAAAATGTATGCAACTAATTATGCGCTTATGCATCTAGTTGAACAAGGAGCATTGAATGTTGATGATCCAGTTAAAAAATATATACCTCAATATTCTGGATGTAATCCTAAAAATGAATGCCGCGAGGCAAGATTAATAAAAGATTTATTAACACACACCGCCGGATACGCTCCAAGTGTTGGGTTTTACAATCCAGCAAGTGTTCCACCAGATTTATTCTCACAAGAGAAGAATAAAACAGAAGAAATTATCGAAACGAAACTGGAATTTCAACGGCCGAGAGGTGGTGATCAAATACCTCTGTATTCTGATATTGATTATATGCTTTTGGGTCTCGTGGTGGAACATATCAGTGGAATGTCCATTGACCAATATGTAGCGAATAATATTTATCAGAAACTAGATCTAAAGCATACATTATTTAATCCTCTCAACACTAACAATAACTATCAAAAGTCGGATTTTGCTGCCACTGAATTAAATGGAAATACACGTAATCATACAATTAGTTTCCCAAATGTACGTACGCATGTATTACAAGGTGAGGTTCATGATGAAAAATCATTTTATTCCATGCATGGCTTATCGGGACATGCTGGTCTATTTTCAAATTTATATGATATGTCGATTCTAACTCAAATTATGTTAAACGATGGCACCTACGGAAATGTTAAATTTTGGAGTAAAAATATACAAGACTTATTTTTAACACCGTATCCATATGATCCAACGTTCGGATTAGGATGGCGTCTAAATCGAAACAAATCTTTATCATGGTTCGGTCTTCATGCATCCGATGATGCATACGGTCATACAGGTTGGACAGGAACATGCACTGTTATTGATCCGAAATACTCAATGGCAATTACTTTATTAACCAACAAACGACATACGCCATGTATCAATGGAACTTTCGATGGCGAAAAATACGAAACAGGAAAATATGGTAAAATAATGACATTAGTCTATGAATCGATGTTGTTACACAAAGATTCACCGGAGAAACTCTGAACATCTATTGTGAACGGTCGAAATCAGAAAAGGAATTTGTAATTTTTGCTTTAAATATTCTAAAAATTGTGCAAAAAACGTTTATTGAATATATAGCAGGTTCAGAAATATATGTAATCCATTATTTCGGCAGCTTTCACTGAAAACAATTAGAAAGTTTTTCCTCTAGTAAATATTTTTTCGAAAGAAAAACACCTGGAAACTTTCTAAAAGAGCAACCAATTGATTCCTTTTCAGTCTGTGCTGAACAAATTCCGCGTCACAATAATCTCTCGTACGGATTCCAAGATCAAGCTTCTACTGTCTCATTCCTAGTATTGATGATATTGTCCTTCAATAATAATTTTAAAATAGTACGGATATGTTTGTTTCGTCTTGATTAAATATTTGCTCGGCAGAAGTTATGATCAGACATCAAAGTAAAATTCATGCTCTACAATCATACAGTTTTGTGTGTAATTTCCGCTTTCCCGAGCGTGTCTTTCTCACAATATGCAAAATAAATATGACTGCTAAAAGCAAATAAAACTAAAACTCGATTATTACGGTTTGATAAGGTTTATATTTAATTAATAAAAATTTAGAATAAAATGAAACAATAAATTCATCACATCCAACTGTTGTAGTTTGATCGATTGGTGAAGATTCAAAATCAATATGTAACAAATAATTCAATCTTTCGAATTTGTACGTTTCGTAGGTAATTTTTGACGTGTATATTTAACATATTTGTTAATTACAGGCGGAACATATCTACACAGAAAATAAGAAAATCCATTAGATTTCTTTCTTTGACAAATGATTTTTACCTATGATTACTCTCAATACTTGTAGTATCTGTTTCTTCAGCTTGTTCTCGTAAATGCTTTTCGCTATTGCCATTCGATATGCTTAAATCTTTAATTGAATCGATATCTTTATGTTTCGGACTATTTTCAGTTTCGTCTGTAAAAAACTTATATTTCAAATGACTATGTTCATCGCAAATTGATAAATCATCATCATCACTATCGTCAGGTGCAACAAATACAACTGTCATGGTAATATCACCTTTCTATAAAAAACAAAAAAAAAGAAAATAGATTTTAATTCAACATAAATACATACAATAGATGAAAGAATATGAACAGCATCAACATGTTTTATATCACGTAGATCATATTTATTCACAGTTAATATAGAATCCCCGACGAAAATTTGTCCCGATCGCCATACTAGCCCGCCTTCATGAATTTCTGATATAAGAATAGGTAAACCATGTTCTTTACCGCCTGTGATCGATATGCCTAGTGCTTCGTTTGCATCTTTATGAAGTTCAACTGTACGTAATTCGCCGACGCCGTGCCGTTTTTTCACTGTACTAATATCCTATATAAAAATTAACATTTGATAAGAGAAATAGGAGAATAAATAAATTTTACATTAGTCGGCGGTAAAGTTAGTGGCTTATTGACTTTTTCTCGTCCACGACATGCCCGTATAACAGTTTTATGACGCTGCAAATGAATTTCAGCTTCAAGTTGATTCCATAAATTTTCATGATTAGGTCCACGCAAGTCACGACCGAGTAGTTGGATCTGTTGAATTCTATTCAATAAATAAACCAAAAAGAAATTTCGTACAGATTTTAATAGTATCTCAAGCAATGAGTTCAAATTAAAATCTTACCTTCCAGCTAATTCTTTATCAAGATATTTAGCTGCTAAACGTGATCCATATATTTCTGATTGAAGATTAATAATATGTGTCTTAAGTTGTTGATTTTCTTTTTCAAATTCATGTGCTTTGACATCTGAAATTAAATTTTGCTTAAATGCTTCATGCTGTTTCAATAGTTGTTCATTCTAAATAAGCACACAGGATTTCTCTAAAGAATCAAATCTGAAGAAAAAGAAACATACCAATCGTTTTCGTATATTATCTGCACCTTCGATTTCCCCTTCATTTTTCAATATTTGACATTCCAATTGTGATGTCTGTAATTGAGCCATTGTATTATTAATTTGTTGTTCTAACACTTGTTTATCAGTTTTAATATTGAAAAATTCGGTTCGTACATCGAGCAATTGTGCCTAATTAAAGATCGATCTGTTGTTAAAGATTATCTCGTTTTAAAATACAAACTTCTAGTTTAGCATTGATTTCTGAAATCGTTTGAACTTTATGAGAAAGTTGTGCAAAACATGAACTAAGTATTGTCATTCTGGCTCGTCCATCATCGGTAATTTCCGATTGATCCTCATCGATGTCTCCCAATAATAAATCAAGATCGACAAATGCTTTATCAAATTCTTTTTCGAGAATGTCAAGCCACCGAAACGCATTGGCAGATACAGACATGTCAAACTATTTCTTTTGAATATATCTAAAGGAAAAACAGAACGTTTAATTTTTTCCGCATTGCCATACGAACGATCTCAACCAGTAAAAAATTAATAATATGCTTGTCATTTTTTCTTGGCTATTAGTTTTTAAGAAGAACTACATTATAAAATTTATTGGATAATCTATATAATAAATTATTTAGGAAAAACAATCAAGATTAATATATCGTCCGTATGCGACATCTAGAATTGATTTAAGTCATTCCTATATATCACTCATTGAAGTATTCATCGGGGAAGAACTTGTAAAGAGTAACATTAAAGTAATTCTCTGTGTTACGTATGTATTGACCTTTCATTTCAGTACCAGCTTATGAAGTAAAATCTATAATATTTGCTTATTAAGGTTACCACCTTTACATCGATCGTAAAGTACAAGGAGACTCGATTTTGAATTTTTACGAATAAAAATGCATCGAATGAGAGTCTATTAGAAAATGATTAAGTTTTTAACGAAAAATCTTATCAAGGATATCAGAGCTACTAAAAAGCAAGTCATTTTTACTTTCGTACTATGACTGTGAACCGATGGGAATGGGAATACTCCAGCAAATACACGCTCTGCTGTTTATACACAAAGTTCAAATATTATTTTCATTTTTGTATGCAATGATTCGTATTATGCTGTGACTTCATATAAATAAAATTTTATTTCGATAAGAAAAGTGACAATATATTAAAACAAAACAAAAAACGGTCTACACATAATAAATAAAACTTGAAGTTAGTTTAGTCATAGTCGACTTTATCCTCAAATATTCGATTTTATCATCTTTCCCTAATTCACTGCGATACGAAATCTATAATACATAATGGCTGTTGCCTTGTATGATCATTGATGAAAATCGAATTCTTTTCGAATAATTTAAAGACGATATGAAGAAAATAAACTTCCAAGTGTGCATAAAACATTTAATTAACTAATTATTGCGACTAACATAAAATATCAGAATCTAGTTTTTGAACTGAATGTTTGTAACATTTGAATAAATTCATTATTCGATGGTAAACGACCAGTTTCAAGTTTTGACCATAATGGTACATCATCAATCGATATTTCGAATGCATTTGTTGACATAAGATACGACTCCAATGAATTTGAAATAAAGAAAATCATTAGGCATGCATACATTTTATTTTGTAATGCCCATAGATAAATTTTGGGCGTCGAAATATTGAGAAAAGGAAAAGGATTTTGGCCAAAGAGAAGACATATCAATAAAATTATTTTAATCGTTGATAATACTCGAGCAATTAACGCTCGAAAAGGTGGTGGCGGATAACTTTCACCCATTACTGCGATACTTGGATAATGTTTACGAACAAGTTCGGAATATTGTTTGAAAATATTTTGATAACTTAAAAATACAACAATTGAAAGAAGAATTCCACAATTGAACTATAATACATACCCACAAGTTTGACAATAGCGAAATTTGATCATGGATGCTATTTGCATTTTCATTTTAGGTGTTCGAATCGATGAAATATCGTCATTGGTAGAAGAATCGTCATTTGACAATGAATCTTTTTCTTTCGTTGCAAATTTATTTACATAGGCTCGTTTTAAATCATAAAAAGTTAATAGAACAGCGAGACTTACAATTATTAATGATATTCGATCAAGCATCTGAAGAAGAAGAAAAAAAGAAGATGAAAATCAATTATTATCTTATGACGACAGTAAAAAAACGTCATATGCAGATATAATAATCGATGCATATCGGAGAGCCATTCTTAGTTGTTACTCTTTAAGAACAATTCTGAAAGCATCTATTGATGATTTCGGATTCTTTCTGTGATTAATATTCATCAAAGACTGGTATTATATATGAGATGTGAATCAGTCAGTTTTTTGGAATTCCTATGTCAGACAAAGGGGTCATCCGAACATAAGCTGTATTTCGAGATAAGAATAGCATTCACAATAAACTACGTCTGTGGACATCTATCAATCCATATTTGTGATTATAGTCTAATAAAAGTCAAGTGTTAGATGGCTCTTAGTTGTAGAATCCAATATTGGAGCCGGACTCGATTGAGAAGACACAGTGCATTCCTTAAGACTAAAAATACGGTATTTAGTCAAAGCTTTTCTTCGAGCTCTAAATATCATTTTCTAAGAAAAAACAAATCAGATACTTAAAAATATCAAAGAAATTTATTATATCAGAAACAGAAAGGAAAAAAAAACAGATTTTATTTAAAATGATTGAAATTAATCTTCGAATTTTCAATCGTATCTTTTACAAAAAGCAATTCAATAAATTCATGATAAATCATAGGTCAGATGAAAAGTCAGTGATAGGAATTCACTTTTGACTTGCATCGTCATAGAAAACGATTGAATCATTAATTTATTGATATATGTTTTTAAGAGATCAATCGATTGAGTTAATTCAAAGATCTTACGAGGGAAGACCACCAAGTGTTCAATCGCTTTTTCGTTGAAACTACATGTTTTATGTAGCTCCCAAGAAGTTATGAATACGCTGAAAATATTTTGGGCGGATAGCTTATTGTTACGAAAATAAACCATTCTGATGGCATTGTTTTATGATTGCCGTCCCCCCCCCCTCAGAAACATTAGAAAAATTCATTTTCGAATTTTGATTCGAAATTTTATATAACAATAGAGCTCAACGAGAATAGTGTTTTATGAATGTTTTTTTTCATAAAATCTGCCACTTTATTTGAAGATGTAAAATAAAAATTTCACAATAACTGTGTCTAGTGATAGGAAACGTAGAAAGGTCTGAAATGTTCACAAAAAGTTGCTCTCCTTAGGGCGTCTTTCTATGTAAAGTTTCAAGTTGAAATTCGAAAATCAATTTTTTTTATGTTTCTGAGGAGGACCCCGAGCTCTCACTAAAAACCATACCTTAGAAATGGTCTNATATTTTCAGCGTATTCATACTTCCTTGGGAGCTACATAATGTAAGCAGTTCCAACGCAAAAGCGATTGAACACTTTGTGACCTTCGCTCGTTAGTAAAAAAAACAGATGTCGAAAAATTTGAATTACTCATATTTATTATTTGGAATTAGTATATGTTTGTAGTACTTGAAGAAATTCATCATTTGATGGTAAACGCCCAGTTTCAAGTTTTGACCATAATTGCACATTATCAATCGATATTTCAAATGCACCTGTTGACTTGAGTGTTGATTCAACGAAATTCGAAAGAAAGAAGATCACTATACATGCATGGATTTTGTTTTGTAATGCCCATAGATAAGCTCTTGGTGTTGATATATTTATAAAAGCAAAGATATTTTGATCCAAAGCAATACAAGTGATTAAAGTCAGTTTAATAATTAATAAAATTCGTGCAAATAATGATTTTAACGGCGATGGTGGATGATTTTCTCCGATTACTGTTATATTTGGATAGTGTGTACGAACAACTGCTGAAAATTGTTCAAACACATTTCGATACCTAAATATATATATTTATAAGTAAGATAAACGAGTGAAAGTACTACTACGAATATACATACCCTCAGCTGTTACAAAAACGAAATTTAATAGTTTGATTATTCATGGTCGAAGATAAAGTTTCTTCATCGAAATTTTCACCGTGATCATTTGACATTGATTTGTCACTAGCAGATGACGATAAAGATGTATGCTCTCTTGACGTCATACTCATCGAAGTTGACTTTATGATCGTTTGACAGAATTCCTTTGAGTATTTAGCAAAATAAAACTCACTGAATGCGATGTTCAACGGTATGATTTCAACCAATCATGATACGAATAAAAAAACATGCCATATATATGTAAAGAATATGATTGGTGACCTAGGACATCTGTCGGATGGTTTTTTATAAAAGCATTTTTTTATTCGGTGTTCTTTTTTTTCCAAAAACAATTATACTCTATTCTCTAATTGCTACAATCATAGAAAGAGAAGTCAAAATAATATTTTTCCTCGGTGAACCTTAAGTGAATAGAATTCAACAAATCAAACTAAAATAGAGCTACTCATATGACATGCATTGCATTTTATTTCCTTCAGATGAATTTTATTTTCTTGTAAGTAATAAAAGTAACTAGAAGAATTTTACCATCTGTAAGCAATTTTTCTTGAATACTGCTAATAAATTTAATCTATCTCGTAGGTTACTAAACAGTACAACATAATATTCTTTAACTTTATCGATAAAAAGAAAAACGTATTCAAACCCAAAGAAACACTAGTCAATCTTCAATACTGATTCTACGTGTATGGAATGTTATCTTCGTCGATTACCATTCATTATTAAGATTCTACTTAAAAGTATTTATGTAACTACTCTACAAACTCAGCGATTAAATCGCATCAACAATATTTTATATGCTGATGTAAATGTACTTATTTAAAGTTACATCAAAGAAAACATATGTAAGTGATTTTGAAAAAAGAACAAATATTATTTTTTTTCTAAACAGAAGATTCAGCCCAGCAAAAAAATCTTTGCCACTTAGTTATATCCTTTATTTCACAAACGCGTCTATTTCCTTTTACATTTCGATTTCGTTTATTGAAGTGCGCAAATACGTAAAATTGAAAAAAAACTACCTGCCATAAAAAATCTATCATAATTATCTTCAAACATACTTTTGACACATTCCCACCCATTTTTACTTGTAAAGCTTCAAGGTAATGCCAGATATACCTTTTCAATTTTCTATTATTGATATGAATCCTACGATTGTGAAGAAAAGAAAGGGACCACCATCGAGTAATTTATTCTCTAATTATCGAGGAAGCCGTCCAATGTCAACCAACGGAACATTGCCAATCATTACTGTCCCTTCATTCTGTAATTTTAAAGAAAAATTTCTTCAGATGACAACGAATAAAAAATCAACGATCGTATTTAACAATCCCGTCGAATCTCCAACGACACAAATAAAAACACGAACAGCTAATATTATTAATCGACCAATTGGTTTAACGAAACAGAAATCTTCTCTTAGTTCTTATTCAGCGCCCAATACACGTCCTATAACATCTCATCATTCATTTACTCAATCACAAACAAATTCTCAATTTCTCTACATCGTTAATACACCTAAATCATCTTATCAACCATCTCCAATTCGAATCACGAATCAACATCACAATCTTTCTCCGCCGCCGCCGCTACCGACACCGCCACCACCACCACCACCACCATCACAGCAACAGATTCTTCCGCGTCCACAATATCAATATGGCCATTTTCTTGCTCATCTTCGACGACAGTCATTGGCTCGATTACGTCGTAAACAACAACAAGAACAAGGACTTTCAGATACGATTGAAACAAAAATAACATTAAATCTAAATAGACATCCCTCGACACACTCATTTCAATCCTCATCAAATCAATCGCTAACTTCATTAGCAACAGATTCATCATTAATGCCAACAATATCTATGACAGCATCACGAGCAGGAAGACCTTTATCATCGTATCGTCAATTGCAACGATCCATTAAAACTTTTCGTATGAATTCTGTTCGACGAAATTCATCAATAGATTCAAAACAGATTTTTGATAGTCAACTATCATCATTTCAATCTTCATCATTATTAATAACGCCAAGAAATTCCGTTGTAGACGATAGTAATGCATCGACAATATTAAAACCATCGTATGATCTTCATTTAAGCGATGATATGCTTAACTATTGTTATGTGAGTGGTGATAGTGGAGTTAAATATCAAGGGCAAATGTTTCCGGCTGCGTTTTAAGTACACATCCTATTAGATAAAAAATAAATCCGTTTTTTTTTCTTCGCTAGACGGTAGATACGGTTTGCTAAATAAATCAGCCTCATATGTCTACAATACACATATGTAAATCGAACTTTCAATACAAGTTTTCGTTCTACCTTAATGATTATTCAAAAAAAAAGCCATTCTATGATCTTTTTTGTTTGCTAACTTTTCTATTAAATGACTTTCGACGTCGACTGTTTGATGGAATAATTTTAAATTTTCTTAACATAAACTCATTTTTTTGTTATTGACCTTATATATTGAATATTAATGACCTCTTGAATATTTTTGACATTGATCTACATCATTACTAACAACAATCCGTATCTATTGCGAGTTATGATCGAGTTTATCGCATTGTATTATTTGTTGTTGAGAATAAGATTTCAAACATAGACGAAGGAAAAAAGAACTGTTTCTATCATTTCATAATCTATCCTTGTATATATAGTCGATAATTATTATATAGTGAGACGGCGATAAATTGTCAAACAAGTCTGTCTCAAGGACATCTGTCATGTTGATACGAAAGGAGAGAGAAAATTTAGGAGGAACTTATTTAAAAATCTTTGAAAATACAGAAGATGTTTTCGATGGTGTTCGTTTAGTAGGCGATGATGTCGATGAAGGATTTGGCATTGTTGTCGATGATAATGTTGCTGATGAGTCCACTGATGGCAATGAACCTGTTTTATTTAATGATGAAAGTGATGAACTTTTATTCGATGAACTAATTAACGGTTGAGATTCAGGCTTCATAACTGTAGCTGCTCGTGCTGCCTTATGTGCAAGTTTCGCTGGCATTGGTGGTGGTAGTGGAATAGTGGATCGTGAAATTTTTTCTGTTTCATTCGGTATTGAGAAGTGTACTGATGAATTCGATGATTGAGAAGATGATGGAGACGGAAAATTCGTATTTGAACTGATTTCCGTTGCTATTGACTCTTCGACGATCGTATTTGAAATTAACGTACGCTCACGTTCTTTTCGTACTTCGCGAACAGTACGATGAAATAACTGTTGAACATATTCGTAATCATCAACAGCTGTTGTTTCACAAAAAGCACAACTAAATTTAACTGCTGTTGATTCGCCTTCGGATTTCAGAACGACTCTGAAAACAAAAAGAACATTTATTTTTATGATTTCTGAAATATTATTAAACTCTATTGCCTAGTCCGTTCGAGATCGAGTTTATTTCCAAGTAATATAATAACAAGCTCATTTGTTGATACAGTTAAATTTTTCGAATAGGTACTTATCGCGTCTAAATACGCAAGTGCCATTTCGAAACTATCTTGTTGCGTTATACTATATGTAATGAGTACAGCATCGGCCCATTTTAAATAATAAGGTAAACGTTTATCCTCCTAGAATAGATAAAAATTGATTAACGTGTTTTATTTTCTTTTTTTTATGAATTACTTTTCCATAAGTATCCATGACCTTGACAAGGACTTCTTGTTGATCAACAACATCTGGTTTCCAGTACGTGTCTTCTAAAAATTCAGAGAAAAAAAATTGAGTTTTGTTTTTCTAAAGTAAATTCAATGTTTTTGTTTACCAAGAAATGGATCATATTCGCGTATGAAACGTTTAGTTAAATATTTAACAACTAATGCTGATTTACCAACAGTTTGTTTTCCAAGTAAAACAATATTCACTTCTTCTTTCGGAAGACTTGATGTTGATAGATGACTTTTAAGCGAACTATTTGTTGATTTATATCGACTCATTTTTTTGAATAGGGCGGACCGCCGGCTTCTTGTTATATATCAGTGACAAACAGAACAACGATGGATATACAGAAGAATGTGTCTTTCTTCTATCTCGATTGCTTATGCGTATATAATGGGGGGAAAAAATAGGAAGAAAGATATATAAATTTAGCGGTACCATTACTGCAGATGCTAGTCGTAATATATGTAGAAAGATAGAAGAAGAAGAAAAAAAGAAGATTGATCATTAAGAACAGAAAGAAAAGAACGTATAGAACATTTCATCCAGAATAGATATTGCCATAGAAAATTAGCCGAATAAATGTTTGAACGTGCTGTGAGAACCAAAAAAAACACAAAACACTTTTTTTTATTTAAGCAAAATAATTCGATGGTCTTTTTTTCTAAACAATCTTCTCAGTGTACAATTAGAAAAATCATGTGACCAACATTTATATCCATAGACGCGATTTTCTATCTGATCAATGTCTCGTAAATAATCATACTGAACCCATGCTGATCGGCAATCACACTGTAAATTTACATTTGTTGAACTAATCTCAATAATTGACGATGGGTTTGTTTCAAGAAATGGTTGAAATATATTTTCATCTAAATAAGTCAAATTTGTAAAATATAAACGTAGAAATACTGTTCGACTACGAAAACGGCTCAATGATGTTAATGGAAAACTGTTGGAATTTAAACTTTGTCCACCGATATGAATATATAATATCGGACCAACGATTGATCGATTACGTTGAGCAAATGCATGTTTATTTATATCTGTTAGATTGGGCGAAAATATCCGTAATAATCTTAAATTCGGCACATTGTAGAAAGCATATTGGCCAATCGTTTGAATCGGTTGATTTGTTCGACGATTTTCAAGACCAAACCAAATATTTGTTAAATTCGGATGATTAAATGCATAACTTGGAATGGTTGTTAAACGATCGTTATGCATACTCACACGGCGAAGATTTTGAAATTGTTTTAACATAGAAAATATCGTATTACTATCAGATAAATTTGTGTTCAAAGTTTCGAATACTTCAACATTATCTTTTAGAGAATAAAATGCGTTTTGATCGATCGTTGTTAATAATTTATTGTCTTGAAACATTAACGCTTTAAATGTAATATTATAAAACACATTCTCGTCTATATGTTCGATAGTTGTATTATACAAAAGAAAACTATCGAAATTTGTTTCATTATCATTTAAATAAGAATTAAGATTGAGAAATACGCTCTTTAAATCAAATGATGAATTATGTATATTTTCACATACGATCGATTTCTTTTCAATATATATTGTTTCAGGACTAAAATCGCCATATAACAAATACGTATGTGATGGAATGGTTAAAACACAAGAACATGGTTCTATTATCAAATCAGGCGGACATTCACTATTAATTAAATCGAATTCTTGATTGAAAATAATAATATAAAATATAGAAATGATAATCGTTGTATCGAACATGTTGCTTTGAAAAATGAATGTTAATAAAAAAAAAATAGAAACAAAACGATCAGAATCAGACCCTTGAAAGTAAATATCAAAATAAGACCGTTGTATATTTTTGAATTAAATTGATAGATAGATCAGCTCTTTTAAGTTGTGTTCGTTTGTCTTTGCTCTTTATTTTTTAGTACAAAAAAACAAAAAATTAAGCTCATCGGATTTAAATGACAAGGAATATCAACATTTTATGATCTATTCTAATGTGAATAATATAACATTTTTACATAGATTCTCAGTCTATGTACGCAATTTTTAAATATAAATATTAGTCAATATAAGACTCAAATTGTAAGTCGTTTCAGTCTCATTATTGCTTAAGCTCAATTAGGATTGTGACATTTGTCTTTCAGACATATTGTATTTAGGGCGTGCACAACTATAGAGATTATCGGAACTAAAGCATAGTCCATTGTTTCTTCGTCAAGAGTTTTTCCTTAATAAAGAAAAATTGAAAATCTTGGGTTTTATCAGCAATACTGTAACTTAGTCAAAAACAAAATGATGAACTTACCTTGACAAACGGATGGATTGAAATTTAAAAAACAAGCGAAGGTGAGTTAAACCATAGCTTATGCCTGATTTTTTCACAGGTAGCCGAGTAGACGATTGTCATAAGTTTGATTGAAAGTAGGTAGTTGAGAAAAGAAATAGTAAACAATTTCGAAGGTTGAAATGTCAACAGTAAAAATACCAATGTCGAAAGCAAAAATACCGGAGAAAAAAATGTCAAAAGGTTGTCCGTATAGGTAGGTGTGAAGTTAAGATTCAAGTCTGCACCTACGTAACTACCCACTTAGACGCCTTTGTAAATATCGATTATTATTGAGTTTAGAGAAAACACGAAACTACGGGCTATTTTAAATTTTTTGTTAAAATCATTGTATACGTTATCTTAGAATAAAAATTAACTTCTAAATTTTGACGATTCAAACTAGATTTTATGCCGATAGAGTGTATGAACTTTCAACTGACAAAACACAATCTGTATGAATATCGCATTGAATGTTGGACTGGTGCAATAATGGAATGCAATTTCAAACGCATGCGAGCAAAAATATTTGTACTCAGCTGATGGTGTATAGTACATGAAAGATTATCTTCTGATTTGAATACAAAGAATGCCAATAGACGCTGACAAATGGTTAAACGAATACAAGGAAATACCACGTGAACAACGATGAATTATAACGTTATTGTATGCACTAAACATTTCTTGATAATAAATCATTAAGTCGCGAAATTTCAATCGTATTGTTTTTTGATTTATAGGCAGTAGGTTGGTGTTGGAGCAACTCAAAGCTTTACTTAACGAGTTCCGTAGCGACATTTCATATAAATATTCTATCTTTTTAAAATCAAGCAATACAGATAAATATTCCTTTAGTATATTCTATCTTTTTATTTTTAATTCTACCATGAGCATCAAAAAACACATCAGTCCTATCGATCAGTAGATAGAAGATCATTAAAGTTTTCAATATCGAAAAAATTTTCATCATTTGTGTTTATTTGTTAACACTCACATCAATATCATTTTAAATTTGTTATATGCGAAAATAATGCTTTCTTCTACGAATTTATGATGAACTCATCTGAAACGAACATTCTCAACTAATGAATACACATGTACAAAAGCTCGATATTTATATACCTACGGTTTTTGAACCTTCTTTCTAAACGTTTTATTTAACATTAAAAACTTTTTTAGAATTTCATTTTTGATTAATACTTGAAACTTTTGTTAAAGATATATTATTTATTCAAATTAAATTATTTCTTATAGCGACATCTTTTCGCTGAACTTCAGTGCATTTTATCTCTTTTTTGAGTTAATAAAATTTTGTTCTCTTGTGAACAAAGCGAGAGAAATTTTCATCTTGTACAAAACTTATTGCAAAGAGTATTTGTTTAAAAACCTAAATTTTTAGAGCATAAAATTCTCTGTTTTTGTATCTAAGAGAATAATAAAAGGAAAATCCACTCATTTTAAGTGCAAGAGATCATGGGAAACCGTTCCTAGACGGAACGATGTTGAATCCACAATAAAAACGTTTGCTGTTTCGAACCGCTTTTTATCAACTGAATCGAGTTTTCTTGGAGAATGAAATTCAAGAAAGAAGAAATTAATAAATCTATCACGAAAATATGTTTTCTACAGAGGAGATAAAAAGCTATTTTTAAACTTGATTGAAAGCGAGATCATGATTAATATTACATGTTTTGTTTTTGATATATCGATTTAATATTAAGAAGTGTAAATGTATTGAATTAAATTTAAAAATATTTTCTCTTGTAACTTGCATCCTAAAAAATGACTGCAAACTATACAAAATAATGATAAATAGAAATAACTTCAATCAAAGATTTATCTTTTCGCTTGAAAATCTATATCGATTATTCTCCAGCAATAATAGTACGAAATGGGTTCCATTCAAGATTGTCAGCTTCAAATGTTACACATAGGAATTATTCAAAAGCTATTTTGCAAAGCAATGATTAAAAATTTTACTTTACCTGGTGTTTCTATTGTTGAATTGCGCTTGTTGAAACTTCCAATTAGATAGCTCGCTATTTGAAAGACTTTAAAAAAATATTAATCAATGATTCGTTCAGTTAAGTCTGTGTTATAATTAACATGCATTAAAGATCAAGCTAGAAACAATATTGAGCGTATCTATAACTCTGATCATAGAAAAAAAGAGTTTGTTCAATAATCAAAGTTTCAAACTTAGATCGAATTAGTTATATATTCCTTGAAGCTCCATCTGCTTCTGTTTATTAGATAACCTATACTACTGGTGAATATCCATGACAGAACATGTGTATCATATAGGTCAAACTTTGTGTATATATATTATCTCTAAGAATAGAAAGAATGAGAAAATCATTATTGATGACGATAAGAAAGAATATTTTTCTTGAAAAATAACAAAATATATTGTAATCATGATGTTAAATGGAAAATTCAAGTTAAGAAAATATAATCATCGATGATCTCAAATATCAGTGTATTTGTTTCGTTTCCATGTGGAATAGTTTTCTACTTTAAAATCGATGTAAAGATATTGGCAAGTTACAATCAAAGAATTCACCAAAAAACTACACTAATCCAAATTCAACACTAATATCTTTTAAATTTTCTTGCTAATTCAAAATATATCCGCCGACTTCATGTTACGAGGGTGTGGGTATGGGTGTGTGAACAGAAATACTCATACAGTCGCATCAAAACCCACCCACACCCTCAAGAATGTTTTTCAATATAATCGTGATATTCATCTAAAAGCGATTGCACCAATACGACGAAATTCACCTTGAGTTTTAAACAAAACATTTGCTATTCAATCAAACCATAATAATCTCCTACCCAAAAATTGATTTTAACGTATAGAAAAAACACAACTATTTGATTCGTAATATTTTGTAGGTGGGATATGAATTTCAAATTATTATTGGAAAAACTTTTCAGCGCAGCCCTGCTAGGGCTAAAATGTGGGACTCATATATCTACTTTAGACTCATTAAGCTGATGCAAAAATAGGTTACATGAAAAGTTTTCGTAAAAACTCGTCTTATTTTTAAGATCTGTAATGTTAGCATACACTCGTTGCTAGCGTCTGTAATAGTAAAAAGATCCATGTTAACAGTATTTCGTTCATGTCTTCGCATTTACGCACATAAGAAATTGGAGTTCAACAACTTATAGATGTTACTTCAATAGCTTTTTAAATTCAATTTATTCAAATAGGAAACATTCTTAATTTGTGTCCTCTACAAATTAGATCTCATATTGTTTAAATAATGTTTTTTATTCAAGTTTGTCAAAAACAAAAAAATTTATGAGTTCGTCATAAATTTTTAAGTCTTCAAATTTGACTATTAAATGTAATTATTTAAAAATAGTTAAATTAGTTTCATGATTTGAAGTGGCAGGCAGCCATGTAGGCTACTTTGAAACAATCGATGGCGATAGCTGAGAATTATTCAAACCAGGTTTATTTCTAATTATGACTTTTTTTCTCTGAAATGTTTGTTATAGCAACTTGAACGTCATGTAGAAGCTTGCAGAATTTTGCGTTACATATTGAATAATATTTCAATTAGGGGCGTGACCAGGGGGTCTAGGGGCTCAGCCCCCTAGAGAAAATAAATTTGGGGGGGGGCTAAATTTATTTTCTCTAGGGGGCTGAGCCCCTAGACCCCCTGGTCACGCCCCTAATTTCAAATTTCACTGAGTCCGTTTCTAAAACTGTTCCGTAATTGTTTTGCTTCTCTGATTTTAGCATTTGCATGATGAAATAGATTTCTATCTTTTTAACTTTGGTCTTAAGCAAAAATTCAGCTAAGAAAACAAATGCTGGAGTTCTGTAAGAAATAACGCTTTCTATTTATCAGTATAAAAAAGTCAGATTTCAAATAACTATTTTTAAGTGTTTCAAAGATAGACAATAAAATGACACTTTCTATTATGAAGCATCCATTATTTTTGACAATCAAGAAAATATTACATCTTCGTGGTTGATACTATATCGGTACATATTTACATATTAATCCGTTTGTAATTTTCGATCTCATTCAGATAAAATAAAAATTATATCGGTAGAGAGAACGTAAAAAATCTAAAAGCACAAATTGAAATTATTTCGGTGAAATACGTATATTCAAATCTTCAACAAATTCCAATGAGATAATTCTTTTCTTGTTATCTTTTTTCTGAATGAAACATTCTTTTTCTATTTTCGTTGTTTCATTATCGTCTCTTCTAATTCATCAGCATGCACATAAATACACATTCTATATGTATGAATGAAAACGAAGAAAACGAAAGAACGACGACTGAAAAAGAATAGTCCATTCACCAAAAAGAAACAGACAGAGAAGTTCGCACTTGGAATTCTGTTTAGGAATTTTTTCGGAACTTGATCATAATCAAGACATTCATATTCCTTGCTCAGTTTTTTTGTGCTCTTTCTAACGATATAATTTATATATATATATCTTAATGAGACCGATAATTTATAATTAATTTATATTTCCATTTAATGTTTTCAGCTAATATGACGACTGATTCAACAACAACATGAGAGAAATGGTTCGAAAATGTAAAACACTGTTGCTTTATATTTCCCATCATTGTAAATCATCTTTTTTAGATACAATTTGATCGCATATTGGAGGTAGTATTACATAATATAAATGCTGACGACAATATGGCAGAGACACAAAAGCAAGAACATGTTATGAAACGTGAAATGACATCGAATTGTATTAATGAACAAGTGGGAAAAGTTTACCAGTGTATATATAAAAACAAAAGTGAGTAAAATAGAAGTACTTTATTACTATTAGCACCCGATTATTTTAATGCACTTGATAATGATAACGACATTGATAATGAACAACTCGCATCACAAGTAAAACATTATATTTATATTTATCATAATTGTTCGTATGGTTTCTTTTGATTTTTTCCCCACTGCAATGATTTCAACAGTATAAAATGATGATACGATAATTTGGCAATTACAAAAGCCATTAGGTCAATTATTCATATGAAAGAAAACCTCGTTTAAATACGCTCTGAGTTTTGTAATTGACATTTTCTGAATTATTAATTTCCGTTTTATAGAATAATCTTGCGCGTATTGGATTTAACATTTTTATTCTTTTGGTTGCATGTTTTTTACTCACACTATTGATAGAAAAAATACATACGATGCAACCACATGAAGAAAAAAGCTAGTCCATAAACACTTTTACAGAAAAATTCACAAATCAAGCTTTCTAAGATGAAGTAAACAAACATAATATGAAATTTACACGATTTACTACCACATGAATATATATATATCTTTCACAACTTTTGTTCATTGTCAACAAAAAAATAACGATCCTATATTGTGGTAGTCAAGTAGATTTTTGTCATTTTTTGCATAATGGTGGTGAGTTGGAATCATCTTGATTTTCAACTTGACTTTGTAGATGAGTAACTTTTTTTTCAGAATCTTTCAAGCGTAATGCAAGTCTTTCCATATCCAATGATAATTTTTGGACCAAAGCCTCCAGTTTTATAATTTGAGCGTCACGTTCAGTAAGCAATTCTTCATAATTGCGTATTTTCGAGCGCAACACTTCAATGTTATTATCATTGTCGCTGGGTATTTTATTCTAAAGGAGAAATTAAAATCAGTCACTGATTGTTTGTAGTAGGCTTCCTTCATCATGAATAATTTGTAGTACATTAGACGACATTGTATGATTAATGTGACGGCTTCTTTAATCTAAAAGTTTGAGGATAATTCATAAACTATACCTTGTCAAAGCACATAGTTCAATCAATCACAAGTATAATGAAAGTATTGTTTTTTTGTAAAATATATATAAGAGGATTTCTTTGTCTTTGTCATCCATTATACAATGTCAGAAGCATCCCTATTCGCCGTTCAAAAACGTTCATATCGAGGTCGTCCGTGTTGAATATTTTATTGAGCGTCGTGTGTGGTGTTGTGCAACATCCAATATCATCTTTTAATAGGTCACACTAGTTTACACACTGTAAAAAAAAGAGTAGTCATTCCCCTTAGATCGGTCGTGTATTAGTATTGTCAGCATTGCAAATATATGCTGAAGCTGAAAATCGTAAGTACTTTTTAATAATAGATGTCTTAGGATAACTTGCACGAAAATGTTGACACTCTTGTTCTGACTTTCTATCCGCAAGAAATTTCTCTTTTTTCTAAAAGGCAGGCAAGTTAAAATTGTAAAAAAATTGTTCGTTTTCTTTTTCAAACAGGTTTAGATTGGGCCCCGGATAAATAAAAGACTCTCGCATACTTAACCATTGGATCACTCATAATAAATAGAGTAGATGTGGACAAAAAAAAAAGAAGTCTATGGATACAAACATTTTTACTAAATATAATCAAGTGAGATTTCTTATTTCAAATTATTATGGTCGTCCATAGACGCTTAATCAACGCAACACACTTTTCGAATAGTTTGTCTATAGGATTTTCTTAATTCTATTCTAAATTGACTCATTTAGTTGTTTAAGATTTGGTTAACATACATATGTATATGCACCAAAAAATGATACAAAAAAACCGATTTTGTCGGCACAATCTTTATTCGAATGAATAACAATTTGGGATAAGTCATATAATTCATACCATTAAAGGATATGGAATAAAATTTGCATATGCTTTATCATCCGGTCATGATATAATTTATTCATCAGACAAAGATTTGACGGCAGTAAAAAGAAAATTTGATCAAGAATTTATTTTAAATGATTTAGCAATAAATTTCAAATAATTTCTTAATATAGTTATCAAGTTTTGCATGTGAACATTGGGCATTATTATTTCATGATATTGAATATGAAACGTGTCAAAAAGATCACAATATTTTTATTTCATTTGCACATGCCCAAGTTACTTTAGTTAATGAAATCTATGATTATCTTAATAAATCAAATGATGTTCTATTATTTTGTCCAACAGGTACATTGTCTTAAATAATTACAGTATGTACATAGTTTATTCATTTTTAGAATATCGTAGTCGTATGGCAAGACCTTCTCGGGAATGATGTTCGCATTTTCAAACAATTGGTTATGATCTTCATCCAGATATTAATGTCCTTTGAACAGGTGATATTTAGTGGAATTGTACAACTTTTGTTTTTAACATTCGAGATTTATCTCATTGAACGCACAAATGATAAGCAAAATTTTGGAATTTAAGTAACATGCTCTATCAAAAGATCTTTTTAAAGATTTTCAATTAATTTTTATCAAAATTAATCCTAAAAGAAAACTATTCATGAGAGGAATTCTTATCCTTGAGATTGAAATTTACTATTGAAGGTAGAATGTACAGTCTATACAGTCCTAATCGTAGTTGATTGAACCAATATTTCAAAAGTATTTTTGTTAATCCGATCTAAGCATCAAAAAATACTTGAACCCGACAGACTTGTTCACAAAAAACATTTCCCAACTGTTGTCAATCGATGCGAAATAAAGAAACTCTTATTAATACCTTAATAATCGGAACTGTTATATACTAAAATGCACAGCTTTATCATATGCTTACATTGAAGTATTTAGTAGAATAAAAAGATCAAAATTGATTTTGAAATATTTTTGTGTAATCTATAGGTCCAAAAGTAATATCTCGCTTTATAATTATTTCTCATATTTTATCAGTAAATACTGTTTTACAACGACGTTCAGCAATGTGGGATAATTTAAATGCAAATGATTATGATCAACGTCGTTCATAAAATGTATCATCTCGTTTATCTGCAATGTTAGCAAATCCAAATTGTGAACTTGAATTAAATTTTATTCCATATAACACGCTTGGTCAATGGTACAAATCAGTCAGAATCAATAAAAGTCAAGAGCGAATTGATGATGATGGAGATAGTCTTCAAATAACGGAAATCTGTCAAGTTAATAAAACATTAGATGAAGTATGGATTGATTGGTTACGAAAGTTTCATAAACTTAAAACAAATTTTTATTATTATTTATCTAGATTAATGATTCTTCACAAACAATGAGTCCTAAACCAACTGCATCACCATTAACTATAGACGAAGATTCTCAAGAATCAGCACGTGAACGTCAAACGCCAACAGCATCATCATCAAAAATGCATATTATGGAATGTGATGGAGATGGAAATACAAGTGATGTAACATTGGCTAATCTAAGATTACTTGTTGAATTATTTAATTTATTCTATGAGTATGGACTAAATGTTCAACAAATATTAATTGATTTGAGTGATGTCATAATCCCGTTACACCCGGTAACAACTATTTCTTATTGCTACTTTATGTTATCCATATAGGGTGTCCAGATTTGGCGTATCCACTTTTGGGGTAACGACTTATCTGTAATTATGTATTTTAAAAGTTGAGGAATTTGAGTTGTTTTGGTGTAACGACTTTTGGGGTAATGGCTTCATTTGTCTAACGATATAATTAGAGTAACAATGCCATTACCCCAAATGTCATTACAGCAAAACAACTCAAATTCCTCAACTTTTAACATATAGTTCTATGGTTACGGGTAACGAAGCCAGTACCCAAGTGGTAATATTGGAAGAGTTCGTTTGCATATATGTACCACTGAATAGGATCTAGATATAGATACACTGTGTGTTGTACAAGGTTTGGATACTATGACGTCTCTTTCTCATTACCCAGTGTAATGGTATTATGATATATTGGCATCGCAGCTGTCCTCCGAAAAAAGTATAGGAATTTCTATATAGGATAGGTCTAAAATAAATAGGACCACCCTCAACTATATAGGAAAAATATAGGACGCAAATTTGTTCTAAAAAAAGATTTAGACACCGAAAAACCACTGCAACAGCATTGAAGATGGTAATGTGGTGTTTTTGCACGTATATCTAATCAGCTAAATAAAAATAGCATTGAGTTTTGAAAAATAACGGAGCAGCAAGATTTTCTTTAAACATAAAAAAAGATAATTTTTGCTCGATTTATTTTCAACTATTGGACGTATACATGCGATATAGGGTGTGAATGTCTGAACAAAAATACTCACACAGTCACATCAAAATCCACTCACACCCATACCACAATGGTTTCAATGAGCTTTTGTTTTCATATGTATTACATAAAGTACATTTAAACTTTGATATCTTCTTGCCTTGTTTTAACTATTTATTCACGTTACAGCCTTCAGAGTCTGTTTTGCTCAATCAGTGCGGACGAAACTTCATATATTGTGACATTAATATATAAACATGAGCAAAATCAGTAAAATCAAGTTCAAAATTTGAATTTTTAAATAAAAGATGAAATCTAGAACCAGATAGGAATAGTATTGACGAATGTAGAATGTAATTGTTAACAAATGTAGATGAACATGTCTATTATGAGATAATCTTTGATAATACAAAGCAGTATTTTATCCAGGATTTCTGGGCATGTTAGATCTCAGCTTCAGTGCATGGGACCTAGATGGAACTTATGGGGGTCATATTGGAGCTAAATAATGAGATTTTGTGGAAAAGATTTTGTGATTGTAGTTTGCGAAAACAAAATAATTTTGTTGCTTGCCCAACCAGGAAATTATTTTGTTTTCGCAAACTACAATCACAATTTTTTTTCCACAAAACCTCATTATTTAGCTCCAATATGACCCCCATAAGTTCCAACTTGGTCCCATGCACCGAAGCTGAGATCTAACATACCCAGAAATCCTGCATAAAACACTGCTGCAAAGACAATTAATGCAAAGAGTATACTATATACATTATCTAGATGAACCAATTGGAAATAAACTCCATATAATTCCTCGCCGGCAATTGATCGTTAATATCTACTTCTTGTTATGGACGTCAGTGACAATATTTAAGAGACGTGTTGAACGCTTATCAAGAATGTTCGGAATTTTTTCAGAAGAATCTTGAATTTTTTGAAAAAAATAGGAATATAGGAAAAAAAGCTCAAAATAGTCTATAATAGGATCTATTTTTTAAATAAAGGAAATAGAGGATATATAGTACTGCTGCGAATCCAGTGCTTGTGTGACAATGAAATACAAGTTCAAACACGTACTGACGAAAATATTTGTAAACATAAAAATAATATTCATACTAATAAGGAACATATAAAAGTTATATCAGCTCAATTCATTTAAGTATATTTGATTCAGTTAATAACAATAGATCACAAGTTATGGTGTAAAATAGTTTGAAGGATTATCTTCTGTTTTGAATAATAACATTCTTTGTGATTTGGCCTGATGGTTAAACCTATTGTAAATATTCAGACGAAGAATTTTCATAAAAGCTGAAAAATAGTGATTTGGCAAATTCATGGAAATACTTCATGAACAAAGAAGAATCTTTACGCTATTACAATCTATCGCTACTCGATGGAAAGAACAAAAATAAATTCTTATCAAAAACAGTAGTTTTCACCATTAAAGTAAAGACTGATACTGTGTTTTTCTAGATATTTAGTTGATCAAGTAACAAAATTTCAAGAAACATTCGAAAATGTATTCATTTTGATTTATAATTAGTACATTTGTGTTAAAGTAGCTCACAGCTTTACGTCTTATACACACATATGATTTATTTATTTTTTTAACATGGCTAGAATGAATTCCATTAAGAAAATTAGTTACGAGACCCCAAGCGATGCTTCATATAAATATTCTATCCAGTGACGGCGGAGCCATTGAGACAGGTGAGGCTTGAGCCTCACCTAGTTTTCAGTAGATGAGGCTTAGCCTCACCTAGATTTCACAATATGAGACTCAGCCTCATTTGCTTTTGTACTGAATATTGCTATTATCTTGTTCTTGCATCAGAGTAGAAGCAAAGAAAACTAGTTTTCGGTATTTTCCAGTCTTCTTTTTTTATACTGACCATTTTTATTTTTACTGAAGTTCAATAAAAAGAAGACTTATTTACTACTTGATGTTTCTTAAAATTCCACGGTAGCAAAAAAATATGATGAGCCTCACCTAGCTTAATGACGCTCCGCCGCCCCTGATTCTATCTTCTGAAAAGTGAACAATACAAATAATTAGAATCTGTTATGGTGTAATCGATAAACCAAAAAAAATACATTTCTTTACTATATTCAATGTTTTTAATTTAGCAATAATAATTCTTTTTAAATGAGTATAAAAAAACACATCAGTCCTATCGATCAGTAGATAGAAGATCATTAAAGTTTTCAATATCGAAAAAATTTTCATCATTTGTGTTTATTTGTTAGCACTCACATCAACATCATATAAAATCGGATATATGGAAAACTAATATTTTCATCGACGAATTTAAGATCAACTCTTGTTTGAATCGAATATTTTCAACTAATGAATACACATACACAAAAACGATGTACTTGTATACTGACCGTTCTAGAACCTCCTTCGACACATTTTACTAAAGATTTAAAAGTTTATGGAATTTCTATTTTTGATTAATGCTTGAAATTTTCGTTAAAGATAAATTATTTGTTCAAATTAGATAATTTCTCAAAGCGACATCTTTTCTCATGTAGAAAACGCATGTAGTACATTCATTTATTTTTAACCAAAAATTTACTCTCTTCTCGTCATCTTGTGTAACGGGCGGTTGCCTAAGAATAAATTGCAATGACGGTGTTTTTGCGCAAAAGAATAATATTTTTCGTAATAGAAAATTAGAGGAAAATGTACTAATGCTAAGTACAATGGAAAGGCGTTGTAGCTACAATACAATATTTTGCACCCTTGAACTGTTTTCTATCAGCTGACTTATATATTCACTGAAGAAAGAAATTCAGTTTATGCATCTATCACGGAAATAAAAGGCTATTTTTAAATTGATTGAAAACGAGAGAATGATTAATATTAAATTTAATTAGAAATATTTTCTCTTTTACATTGTATCCTAAGAGAAGAATTATAAAAAAGAAATAACTTCAATAAAAAGGATTATTTTTCCTCTTGAAAAATCCAGATGAAGTATTTTCGACCAACAGTACATACGATCTATTCAAAAGACATTTTTGGGAAAAAAAAATCATTATTATTGAAACTTCTAACTAGAGAGCTCGTTATTCGAATCGCTTTAAAAAAAGATTACTAAATTGTTCATTCAATCGAATCTCTCTTGTGATTAATATGCATTAAAGCCTACATCTAGGAACGATATTGAACGTATCTATGACTCGGGCGATAAATCAAGATTCTTGAAAAACTATGTGTTCAATAATGAAAACTTCTCCACGATTATTTTTTACCTTTCTCTTATTTATTCACATTGACTTAACGATAGATTGCTTGAAGCTCTATCTGCTACTTTTTATTAGAGAACCTATACTGGTGAATATCAATGAGAGTACATACATATTATCTCTAAGAATAGAAGCAATGAAAAATCAATATTAATTACGATAAGAGAGAATGTTTTTCTATTTGAAAATCGATGTAAAGATATAGACAAACTTCCAATCGAAACATTCATCGGAGAATAAATGAATCCAAATTCAACAATAAAATCTTTTCAAAATATACCCTTCAACAGTCGAATTCATATTACGAAAACGAAATTCATTAGTAAAAATGAGCAAACTCTTCAGTTTTGAATCTTCCCACACTCTCACTTTTCATCATGGTTTAGCTTCCTTAAGTTTCTCTGTAACTTTAAATTCATGCGTAAAGAGAAAAACATTCTTTCATGATATTGTGGCATTTATTTCAGAAAAAATTAAAATTTAGTAACAACGACCAATGAGACATTGGTTTATTGCAGCCTCGTCTTAAAAACTATGCCGGAATAAATAAACGAATTTAACATACCACTGAAAAGTAGTGATAACATTCAAAAAAAGAATATTAATAAAAATTAATATACATAAAAGAAAAATTTTCCCACGTAGATTGATAATGAAAATACCATATATTTCAAAATAATTTAAATTTATTGATAAGCAGCGTAGGAGACATTAGAGAGACTATTACAAAAAAAAGACATACTCACATTTATTCACGCATTATATCTATATAAAAACTCGATATTAAGTTCTTATTCAATTACATTTCATTTGGTAAATACAATCAAAATGCGTCTTCAAGTTAGTGTGAAATCCTCTTTTTTTTTCTTCTTCTACTGTTCATGTCGATTTTGTTTTCATTAATAGGCTTTGTTTTTCTTGGTTTTCTTGGCCATCATCTATGAAAACCATTGCGAAGAAGGTGAGATCAATTAATTACTTGTTAATCTATTATTTCATTTTGTTTTCTTATATAGCAACTACATTAGCAGCGGCCGAAGAAGGTAAAAATAATTGCTAATATTATTCTAGGATAATAAATCTGTTCATTATGTAGTTGCAGATGATAAAAAAGATGCTGATGTGGCCGCACCTGCGAAATCTGATGTTAAGAAGGAAGACGATGAAGAAAAGTCACAAGATAAGGTCGAAGAAAAAACCGATTCATCAGAAAAGAAACCAATCAAATCCAATAATGGCAAAAAGGCCAAATCTCCCGGAAAAAAGAAACTACGTGTAAGTAGTTTCATTTCATTTATTATGATTAAAGAGAAAAGAAATTTGTTTTTCTAATTACAGGGAAAATCGCCAGATTACCTTGGTCGTATGTATATCTATTTCCCAAATAAAGCTACAACTGGTAAAAAACCAAAACCAACGAAAGTTACGTTTCCCGTTGCTCGTTATGATCGTCGTCGATTTCGTATATATTTATTTTTTTCATTTTTAAACTGTAGGTATAGACGTTTTTTCTTTTTTTCGTAGCTAAATTCGGTCCACTCTATACTTTTCTTCCTTGGTTGCCAATCTATGTTGAACCTCGATCAAAACAAACTATTATCTATTCACCAGTTGGCGGTGGTAAATATTCATCATTTTCTTTTTTTTTTGTTTTACTTAAATTTGAATTATTTAATTTTTTCTTGTAGTTTATATTCTTCCACCAGTAGTTAACTTCTATGGCGATATTTATTCAGTTGCTGAACTTATTGCAAACGGTTATGCAAGTTTAGTTAGTACCGGCGCTCCACCACCACCTTCTGTTGATGTTTCATCGTTGGTACAAACTGGTTCATGTAAATTCCTGTCTATTTTCAGCCAAATTCTTTCATATTCTTGTTTTTCTTTATACAAATAGTCGGCGGCACTAGTGGACCAACTGTAAATCCAAATACTGGTGGATTTACTGGAGCTGTTACAAGTGATATTCGCGGATATCCAGCTACATCTTTTTCATATCCATACGGAGCAAATTATGGTTATCAACAGCAACAGCAAAATGCAGGATACTAGAACATGAATCAGTCATAATGATCAGATGAAAATTATCCGATGAACATTTCATAAGCTGCTTGTTAAACAAGAAGGATATGCATTAGATTTCATACGTATATATTTTAACCTTCACACACGCATGTACTTTGTTCGTTTTTTTTTCTTCTTCTTCTTCTTCTTTTTTCTGCTGCCGAATCAATAAAAAACAGAGAAATATAACTGAAAGAATTTTTTTCTTCTTATTTTACATAACATTAAAAGCATCAAGGTATATTCGAAGAGAGAACGAAAGAACTAATACGTACTTTTTAAAGCAGTTTGTTTTTTAGCGCCGTAAAAAAAGTGATTTTGCCGTGTGCGTCACAAAAAATAGTAAATTTGTAAAATGGCTTCAATTATGTTGCTTGGTCGGAGAGTAAACATGTTCATGAGTGAATCACTTACAGACGTCGACTTTGCATGTATTTTTTTTTGAGTGCTCAATAACATGAAAAGTATCTGAACTTATTTCAATTGAGCACAAGGTCGCAGCCTACGTTTAAAAAGTCAATGTTAGGAATCGAATGTGTGACATTTAAGAGAGTGAATGATCTCAATAATAGTAAATCATAAGGAGCTTTTTAATGCTTAATGGTGTGTTCAAGCGTTAGTAGAGACGAAAGAATAAGAGTTTTGATATTGCATAGAAAACGAGCGAGGAGGAAATTTGAAATCTGTAGAGCAAAATTATTATATCGAGATTTTTCTCTGTCAAGCGACCTTGAGAGAAATGCTGGAGTTATGCCATAGAAGTAAAATAGCGTAACTGTAATAAGTCAGACGCATGCAACATAAGTAAGAATATGTTCTTGTAAGACAAAAACTTTCATTTAATCATATTCTGATCTCATAATGAGAGCAATTTATCAATGTATAAATAACAAAAAGTTTAACACGTGAGTATATTTTATTAACATATGACAAAACAAGTTTGGTGTGCGATGTTAATATTTGTTTTATGTAAATTGACTCGAAATATTTGTCATCAGTTGTATCTCATGTTTCTGATTATAATTGAATCCTGTCAATAATCAGAGGTTGAGTAGATTGAAACTCAATTTCATAGATTATAATTCAATAATAAAGTTATTCACTGTGACCAGTAGAGATTAAATATTCATAAAAAAATAGTAATTTTAAATATTTCTCATTTTAGTTTAGAGTAAAAAATGGACATGATTTTAGCAGCAGACGAAAATATTTTTTCATCACAAATTCAATCGATAATAATTCATTTATTATCAACAATATTTAGCGCACTGGTTATATCAGTTGGACTTGTAGTTTCAACTGAGATTTCGGGCTATAATTTAGAAACAATGTATTATCCCGTTAATAAAGTGACTTGTACATGCGATTGTTGGGATGGATATTTTCGAGGTAAATTTCCACGTGGTCATTATAAAATATTTTATTTTAATTATGAACAATCAATTATTATTCTATTATGCATTCTTCTTTTCTATGGTGAACTTCTACGAAAATTTTTATTTAAAATAATATTTAATAGAGAATTAATTTTATTATTGTTGATTCCATCTGTTTATTCGAATTTCTATGGCATATGGTCAATTATTAATTATATCAACGATCAAGATTACGACCGAATGTTAAAATCTCAAAGTTATTTTTCGCTAACAGAACTTATTGCTACATTTATATTTTATCAATGTTTAACGATGAAAAGTAGAATACCATCCTGGTTGATTTATTTCCTATGTACAATATCTTGTCTACATATTTTTCTTGCTTTCGGTGAACTCAATCTTGATCAAATGGGAAGAAATTTTGCGCTTGTTTTATCTGATATCATAAGTCTGATTTGGATTATAATAATGCTTATTAAAAATCCTCGATTAAAACCAAATTTAAGAACAACATCCATATGGTTATTTGTTGCTTTATGTTTGTGGCTATTCTATCATTTTGTTTGCCAATTTCGGGAAGAAAACGGAAATTACTTGTAAATTTTAATTGCACACCGAATAAATAGAATAATGAAAAAACAAATATTTACGATTCTACATGGGAAGATTTTCTGCGATGCATTGAAGATAAAGTTGTCCGGGAACATATTTTTATAGTCACAACCTTGGCGTAGTTTGATTCATAGTCTCATCCGATAAATTTCTCACTTACAAAAAAAGTAACTTTCAGTCAGGTTAGAAAAAGCCTTGAAGCTGTGTTAGAAACATAGTGAAATATCAAAAACGAATTTTCTGGTTTATTGAATACCTTGAGAAAAAAATTCTGTGATTTGGCTGCCTGAAAAATACTAAAGAATTCAGTGAAATGACTTCTAGTGCATTGAGACGACCTCTAGCAGGTTTTTACTAGTCTCATCAGAGGTTTCTGTTTTAAGCCTATTATCATATGGAACTCCGGATGTTGTGTTTTGATCAGTGCAATTGATTTGGTCTTTTCTCTAAATACCTTTGATCTTCTGCAAGCGAAGGCTCGGAATCGTTTTTTTGTTTAACAAACTTTCATGAAAATATATCGGTATTTGTTGAAACATATTCTAAATTTCAACCTCATGTCAAATGAAATCTTTAGACATGCACAGCGACGTTTTATTGTTTCATTAAATAATGCAATATGAAATCGAAAAGGAAATTAGTGTTTTTCTTTTATCAAGATTTTTTTTCTTGCTGAAACAAAGATTTAAAACTCCTGTTGACCGAATATTGATTGTTCGCACAATGGGCACATCGCATGTGATGCATTAACCACAAACTACAGGAGAGCTAACTTGATCTTCTGACGGAGCACCGGATCCTCAATTTTCCTACTAAATAGAACACTTCGGAATGGAGTTTATTTTAATAATTACAAGTGATATGGCCATTATGGAAAAGAAAAAAATAGGGTTCTCATAGTCAGAATATTATCTCATTTTAAATCCGATACAATGGCTGATGTGTAATATTACATTAAGTAAAAGAGAATTACTTCTCTATTCGCAATAAGGTTGTAAAACTATAACATTCTTGTCAGTAGCAAATAAATAAATAAATAAATAAATCATAAATCCTTTGATTCGTGGGCAAATTATTCTTTACAAATGTCATCAACTTGCGATGCAACATTTTTAAGGATTTCTTTTATTCGTCAGTAGAAAAAAAAACGGGAGTACTTGAAACGAAAGAAATAACGAAATTCTCTTATGAAACTGTTTGTTTCGTTTATTTTTCGACGTCGTCGTATTCATTTTTGAGACAGTAGAAGACAAGTATTTTATTTCGTTTATTTGTAGAATAATCTGACTTGAAGAGCTCAATCAATCGATTGTTTTAACAAAACATGTGCATAGCAGAATTTCACGTTCGATAAAAAATAATCTCATTTTTTCTTATCAAAGCAGTTGAAAATCAGATTTCTTTATTAATTTTTTGATCCAGTAACCTTGAGTAGTAGAAGTAGTTTTCACAGAAGAAACAATAATATTTTCGTTACTCTATTTCTTAGATTGACATATGACGATGGAGTCGATTTATATATCTTATCAACAAAATGTATTGAACGTATTTCGCAAATATCTATAGAAATAATTAGTTACCGCTTAGATTTCCTATGGGAAACTTTACTATGTATATTATAGCCAAGGGAAGCCATCCATAAAAGACGCTCAGAAATTTCGTTCGCTTTAAAAATCATTTTTTAGAAGCCTAAACGTTGAAATAATTGAATACGAAGTAACGCACGTGGGTAGTCGAGCATGAACTCTGTTAGACTTTCGAGAACTGACAGCATTCAAAACTTTCCCTTTCACTATTTTCTGTCCTCTAGAATGCGAAATATTTATAAGAACAAACTTTAAAAAAACATTTCTTTACTAGACGTCGAGCAGAGTTTCGAAAATTCGATTTTTAGCAGGCCGTTCTTTATGGATGGTCTCAACTTGTATGTTAAATGGATTTAATCCAAATTTCGTTTTCTTTAAGTATATTTGATCGTTTTTTTTTTGTATGCCTTCTTTACATATTTAGATAATAAATATGGTACGTATATGTTTGACAATATTATATGCACTTTATTATTGAGTGATACTCATCTATATATGAAACGTATATCCAATATGCATGATAAGGTAAACTGAGCTTATAGAGATTTATCCGTTCACAAGCAATTTAAAATTTCGTTTCTCTTTTAGTGATTTTTAGGTTCTTTTTTCTAGCCTTTATTGGTTGTTCGTCGTATTAATATTTTTTGATACTTAGACGATAGCATTTGCTGATAAATAAGCATTTAAGAATAACTATGATAGAAATCGGTTCGAAAGACAAAAAGTGCATATTATATGTCTTTCTTTATTAATCTTATCCGGATCATCAACGTCATTAAATAGGCCCTTGAGAGTTCTTGAAAGAAGAAGAAAAAGAAAAAAAAAATCTCTAATCCGAAATAGAATATCTATTAACAATTCAGTTGAAGCGATGAATTAATATCGATTGATAAATTTTATTGCGTAAATTGTACCCTATTCTGTTTTCTGTTAATTGTTTCTTAGCCATAACACCTGTCCCATGACCGTATGCACTCACAATCATGCATCATTATTTTTCTTTTGCTTATATATTTAATAGAAATTATGACGACTGACATAAGAAAAAAGGTATTGACTAATTGGCATACGTGGTGGTATTGCATCTGGCTATATTCCCTTGTTTTTCTCCTTTTATTTCGTTTCTTGTGTGCGAGCGAGCGAACGAGAGAGGGAGAGCGAGATTTGATCTAATTATATAACTTCTTTTAGATGCTCTGATTTAATTAAAATTCAAATGGCAACAAATATTATTATTATTAATAGCCCATCAGATGATGAAGATTCGAAATCTGAAATCGAACAGCGTCGGCTATTACGTCCGCCATCACCATCAGATATACCACAGAAAACTTTCAAACCACTTCCACAGACTATAATTAGATCGATTGAAAACAATCGAAAACAACGTTTTCCTCATTCGCGTTCGACTTCAGATTTTTATACTATTCAACAGTCATCAATCGATACAACTGATGATGATATCGATGATAATTATGAAACAACAACAACGACGACGACAACAAATTCAAGTCGAAAACGTTTATTAGCTTTAACTCGTATTAAACGATCGCCATCAGATGTTCGTGTTACTTTATTTCCTAATGAAAATGTAACAAAAAGATCGGCTGTAGTAAAAAGTTCAAATGAAATTCATAGTTCCGATCAATCGCTGGATGACATTAAATCTCCCAAACAAAAAAGCACGGAACATCGACTCAATCGTCGAATTCATACATCATTGTCTTCGGCGACATTACGTTCAATACGTCGAAATCTATCGGCACAAAGTCTCGTTCAACGTTCAAATCGTCGACAGACATATTATCTATCAAGAAATTCAAAATGGCATTTTGTTCGCAATCATTTACATGATGTTGCTATGATGAGTCAACCCTACGCACGTATGAAAGCAATTGAGCGTAATCTACGTTGGATGCATCTACGTGAAGAAATATGTAAGCAAGTACTGGACATGCGTGAAATATCAATACTTCGCCAACAAGATGATGGAATAGTGAAAAAACACCCTAAGACTGGTTTTGATTTAAAATCTATCTCTCCGAATGAAGTTGTGTATGTTGAACACGATGGTCAAATTCATTCGATGGGCATACGCGATCTTGTTGTAGGTCGTTTTATTCGGGACAAACAGATGACATTAGATGCATGGGCTCAATTAGATGCAAGAAGAAAAATTCAAGTCCAACAAGATATATTAAAACAGCAAGAAGGAAGAGCTCGTTTGAAAAGGCATATCGCGTTCTCATTTTGTTTATGTAATTTATCGTTTATTATTCTTATGTTTGCTGCTATGTTCGTTTTTGCTACAACGGTTATAGTTGAATTGAGATCGAAAGAATTCCTTTGACCGAAAAAGAAAATCAATCTCAAATTCTGAGAAAATAATTCTATTCAATTATTTCGTTGAGCTATGTGTAGAAGTTAAAGAAATTAATTTCTTATGAAATATTGCATGTTAACAAAAAAAAGACCACGTTGTTTTATTCTATTTCAATGACAAAAAGAAAGAAGCCGGAAAAACTAATTATTTCTTAATGCGTATATTGACACAAATATTTAGTATTGTAAAAAACATACAAGTTTCTTAAATTTTAATATATGTCAGATTTTTCTAATTAATAAAATCACATCTATTAGTATATTTATTCGAATATTTGACGAGTAGTTGAATAATCCAATTGTAAGCAAAGGTCTACACTTAATTTCACACGACATTCTTGTGTTTATTGTTTTCGTTTCGTGCACGCTTCTATCTACATCTAGAGTAGAGAAACTATACAATGTCTAGCAGATGTTTTATTTGTGTTGGGCTATCACAAATACAGCTGACACTTCCGTCTCTAAATTCAACAACAAGAACAATCTTTTCTTTGTTTTCTCTCTTACCGTTTACCAACATATTGATTCCTCAGTCTGTCTGTCATTCTTCTTGTTCTTTTTTCTTGTTCTTCTTCTCACCATCACCATCACCACTATCGACACCGACATATACAATAAAGTATTCGTTTCTTTTCAACTACCCCACACGCAGGCACGCGCACTCTTCCTTATTGTTTCACTAAGGCGGACCGTTTTTAAACTTGCAAGTGAAGAGTGCTTGTCTTCATTTTTAACAAGCCGATTGGCATCAATCAGTAGATTAAGCTTATGAATCATTCTACTCTCTAGTGGGTGTGTGCGTGTCTGCTTTACATTGATGAAAAACATACCGAGAAAAAATCTAAAATAGTCGATGTTCGCCGACGTCACCGACGATTCATAATCTTAATAGCTACCTTACTTTTTTCTCTCTTCTTTCATACTGATCGCGCTCGTTTTGTGTGTGTGCGTGTGCATACTTGAAATATGGTGAGTTGTTGATTGTTGAAAACTTTTGCTTATCAACTTCGTAAATCTATGTCTTTTGTATACAGCGTTTACGTGATCTATTCCGTGGCCCATCGACCAACGAACGAAAACTGACTTCGCCCATCTTACCCGTATTTGATTTAAATACATTTCTAAATGCTGTGCACGATCGAGATATGGATACTTTGCATAAATATCTTGCTGCCGGTTAATATTTACGGAACATGAATAATAGACTTATTGAATAGGAGTTCTTATTTTTTTAGGTTTTCCACCTGATCAACCCGATGCGACAACAAAAACAACTGCATTACATATTGCTACCGAATCAGGTAATATACGTGCTGTACATATGTTATTACAAGCTGGTGCGCAAGCCAATATATGCGATTCAAGTTTGTCAACACCGCTTCATATAGCTGCATACATGGGTTATGACGAAGTGAGGGATTTATTGATTCAACTTTTTTTTTTCTAAAGAACAGAAATATTAGTATCATCATTGCTAGATAAATAGATTGTACAGATACTTTTGGCGTATGGCGCTGATATGTATAGACGAGATAATACCGGCCGGAATTCATTTCATTTAGCCGTTTCTACTGGGAATAATCGTTTAGTTCAATGTTTTCTTTCGGCTATTGACAACGAACAAAATATACTACATGCACCAGATGAGTAAGTGTCCTTGCACATTGTTTCGTTTCAAAACCAATAAAAATAAAACTAATCTCTTCAGCGAAAATTGGACACCATTAATGTGCGCTTGTGCTAGTAATCATCTGTCTACGTGTGCATTTCTCTTACAGCATGGCGCCAATATATGTCCGATTAATGATCGAGGCATGACAGCCGTTCATATTGCTGCGTTTATTGGTTCATTACCTATAATTTATGAACTTCTTAATTCATCTATGGACGATGAACTTATTTTAAAAGCACTTAATCAAGGCGACAATCGAAATCAAACGCCATTGTTCTATGCTTGCAATGAGGGTCATCTCGATATTGCATTAAGTTTACTCTATGCCGGTGCGAATATTTATCATTTAGATAATGACAATCAAACGTGTTTACATGCAATGCTATCATCGAGTATTATTCTAAAACGTCATATACGTTTATTTTATCGTTTAATTGAATTCGTTGATTTTCGTCATTGTCACGATCATCTTAGTCGTACATTACTTGACCTCGCTTATATAAATCAATTACAAACAATTATATCTATATTAAAATTACTTAACTATAAACGTAATTACACAATTATTTCGAGTAATAATCATGACGAAAGTTTCTTACCGAAAATACTTTCACTTCGTCAAATTTGTATACTTTCATTTAAACGATCAATTATTTATAATCGAAATAAAAAACAATTATCACAACATGATCTATTAGACAATGCTTTACAACAATGTTTTCAAATAAGCTCAAATGAAAATATGGGATCAAATGAACTATTATATAGAAAATCATTTGATGATATTTCAATATCAAGTAGTAAAAAGAATTTTAAATCAAGTAAAAAATCCCGAAAACCAACTAATGATCTTGAACAGCAAGCACAGCATATGCAATCGAGTTGGTCGATTTTTACGAATAAATTTAAACATCAAAGATCAACAAGTTCACAACAAGACCCATTGATTCTATCGACAAGTTCATCACCATCACCCTCTTTGACAAATAATGATCATCCAATGAAAAATTTAGCTTTGACAATATTAAAATCTTCAACAAAACTCGATAGTTTACTTGACTTTCCTTCGTTAAAAAATAACTCATTACTTGATGAAGATATAAAAACAGCAATAATCACATATAATCTTGAAGGAAATGATTCATCGAATGAGATATAATTTTATTTATTTATTTTATTAATAATAAAATATGAAAAAAATAATTAGCATAAATTCCAGTGTAATTAGTAGTGAGGGTGCAACCATAAAGAACGTCTTGAAGTCATCACGCTCATAGCATTGCCATTAGACATGAATCAAGAATGACAATTCAACAAGGGGGAAAAGGCGGATTTGAGAATTTTAGGATTTTAGGATTTTCAAAATCCGAAAATCCAAACCGTAAATCATGAAATTTCCATCTGAATTTTTTCCATATGTAGGTCTCATGATCCTTAGAACATTCTAAAATTTTCAGCGCAAACGGATGTTTCCTTCTCAAGATAGTGAATGCGCAAGAAATGCTCATTTCACGGCAAGGTCAGAAAATCCAGTTTTTTTTTGAAAACTCAAGATTTTAAGAAGAAAACATTTGTTCGAGTTGAAACTTTTAGGATCTTCTATGGGCCATGAAACCTATATATGCGAAGAATTTCAGGTCGAAACTACGTCATTAATAGGTGGGGAGATGCTTTTCAATTTTGGGATTTTTCGGATTTAAAATTCCAAAAAATCCGCCGTTTTCCTCTTGCAATTCAATCTTTGGCATTCTGGTAGAAACAACAAGAAATGTGTTGAACTGTAGGATAGACAGTTTTTTACAAAATAAGACATCGACAAGATTGGTGTCACATATGATTCAGTTTTGGTCTAGGTTCTCCGTAAACTTGCAATAAAGATTAGCTATAAGTGAAACCTTATTTTATAGGGAACTGTTTCCTCTGGAATTGTGAGTGCATTCTACTTATAGAAGTATAGAGAAAAAACGGATTTCCCTGCACATTCCTGATGCTCATCGGCAGTTTTCGGTTGAAATTCTATTTCAATTTTTGGCAGCAAAAAAGTAAAGGCAAGCTCAAAATCTCATTTATCGCAGGAGAAAAGGAGTCTCTCTACCACAGAAACGCTCGTAGTGTAACTTCTATAGAAGAAACTTTTCTTGTTTGCTTAAATGGGAAATGAATCGAACAAAATCTAAATATAATTTGAGATAAAGTGATATATGCTCTCCAAGTAGTTACTTTTTCAAGTCGTACTATGAATATTATTCTTATCTGCCAATGATTTTTCAAAGAGTCGACGTTTCTACAACAAGCTTTGTGTATTTATAAAAGTCATCATCATTGAAATAGATTGATATGAACAGTTTTCGAAGCAAATGAAATTCGAACATCGGCAAACAAAAGATCTTTCTGGAGATTTTGTTTCTTTGTATTCATATTGGAGAGTCAAATGTCGGTTTTTATACGTACGTCTTTTATCTATGAGCACTAATTGATTTACTCCATAAGGCATGACTTAGGCTCACATAATTGCACTTCTTTAAATAGTGCCATACAAACAGTTAATGAATCTAAGAGTAATTACTCACATGATTTTAAAGGAGAATTTAAAAAAGATGAAGTTAATATTCAAATGGTCCACTTAACACTTTTTGTTCGGCATTTGTTTTTATGATAAATTCAATGAGTCTTTCTTTAGTAAATTGTTTTGCAGAATGTTTACTTATGTAATATTGACCTAAAATGCCATGTTCGAATATTTGTCATAGAGGAAAAGGAAGAGTCAGAAAGGTCATCTGAGCTCATCCGTAGAGAAAAACAAGATGAAAAATTAGATTTGTTGTGATTAATGCCAAGAAGCATGGCGTATCCAGGTGAATGAATCCGATACCGAATCCGACGAGTCAACAAAGCCCCATGAGAGTCTGGATTGAGGAACTACTAACGGATCCCTAGCGTTGGAATCCGGTGAACATCCGACCAAATCCAACAACCGAATTCAATAGGAATTTTAGAAGTCGGATTCCAACGAGGTCTTAAAGAAATCTATCGGGTTTTCACTGGTTTCTGCAAGAATCGATCGGATTCCAACACTAGGGATCCGTGAGTAGGCCCACAACCCGGATTTGCTTCGAATCCTGCAGGAACCGATCGAAATCCGATCGAGTCCGGTTGGATCCAGGTATCGGATTGTTCGTCCTGGGTAGTGTATTGTCTTCTATCGAAGAGAACGAGCATTCATAACGAATTTATCTTAAAAAAATGCGGAAACATCGGATTTGCATCCGATTATTATAAGTACTGCAAAAACTGAGTCGATTTATATATGTTGTGAATAATATTGAGAAAAAAAATTTTTTTTTTTTGAGAAAATCCCTGTCCCCCCCCCTCAAGGATGGTCTGGTCAATAATGACAATTTTTTCGATAACTCAGCCATTTTTTGACTGATCCCTCTCATCTTCGAACTCGACCGAGATATTGATGAGACAATTCTGTGCACAAAATTTCAGCTCAATCGGATGTAACTGTGAAGAGTTATCGTGCACACGGACGGACGGACACACTGACCGGTTCTAGTGTACTCACCTTTTGAGTACACAAATATAAACTATTGAAGTCTAGTCAAAAAGTTTGAAAATCATCGATTTTAATAAAATTCTAATAGTAAAGTCTCTGCTAACAACCTTTTTTTAATCTGTAAATAATATTTGATGAAAATAATAAAATAACAATCTAAATGAAATGTTTAAGAACAAAAACAAAACATACCAGGAATTAAAGAGACTAGATTCATTATTGTCTGTACTGAAGTTCGAATAGGTGATAATATAAATAATACCTAAATATCAACGTCGTCTATACATATAAGAATTAATTAAAATAAAATTTGAACCTTTTTTCGTAATAAAATAAGTTTAAAAAGTATAAATGTTTTACGTCGATAACGAATAACAAGGTCACGCGCTGAATAATACTGTAAATTGAATTCTGGAGGATTTTTATTTAAATTATCAACAAAATCTTCAAACATTTGTCTTTGATTAAAATTTTTTTCTTCAAAATATGTTTCAGTTAACCTTCCAAGTTCTTCACTAATATTTCCATAAACAGGCTAAAAATTAAGTTGATTTTCTTTCTTACTCGACGTAAAATAAGACAAACACTTTTTTGAATTTCTTATTATGTCCGCTTCTTTATTGATTACAGTCTGAATTCGAAAGAAAAAAAGAATTAAATATTTAAGGATAAAATAAAATAAAATAAAACTAAACACAAACGTTGGCATCGATTCGTCTATAGGAGGCAATACCAAATAATGTCTTATTTGAATCTTGATCTTGATCAATTGATGGAATATGAAAATAAATTAAATCTTTATTTCTGTTATGCACACCATCGGGTAAAGCTAAACTGCCAATATTCGACCAGCGTTCATCAATGGGTTCGTTTAATAAAGAATAACTAAATTCAATCTTAGATATTTATTCATTTTTTTAAATTAGTTTCAAATTCTATTCAATAAAATGCCTGATGACTTTTTTTTATGATGAAATTCAAATATAATTAAATGAACAACCAGCGATTCTTCACAGGAGAGATTTTCTACGTTCAGCATTTTCTTTTTCTAATAATAAATCGAATTGATTTCCATTTTACTTATGTGCTTTTTATTAGTGTTTTTAATAAATAAAAGAAATCTTTTTTTTTCTCATAGATTAAATAAATCGAAGACGAAGAAAATATCTAAATATAATCCAAGCTTGTCAAACCTTCTGATTTTTAGACTTATCTTATGGTTAAAAAATCTCCTTGTATCAGGAGCTGTCTTTTAAGATTCTCCCCTATTTTTACGATTTGTTTTCATTTTGAAGGTTAATGACATTTTCAGTTACTAACATAAGATAATTTAAGAAGAGAGAAAAGAGAAGTATCACACTGTTTGATGAATGAAGTGGCAAATAACAAATGTTATTTTCATTGATTCAGTAGAGGAACAATCTTTACTATGTGTGGAAAGTTTTGATTCTGTTTCACTAAAACAAAAGTCAAACGGCTGTGAAATGATTAGGAGTTTAGAATACATCTGATTATCTTAGTTTTTTTTTCTTATGCAGCATTTTAACAACAATGTATCCGTGCCAATAGTTTAGCAACAGAAAATATCAATCAGTTTTTTTGGATAAAAGTTGTAATTTTCTTCGAAAAAAGGTAGTCAAAAACGTTCATGATTTCGATGAATATCTTCTGTTTCTTTTCCTCATTTTTCAAAAAAATCTTCCAGTTAACTCCTAGTTTTCGAAATTTGAATTTGGCAATCTAGATATTATCTAAAATAAAATGTTTTATGTTAACTTTATCTTACTATAAAATCATGACAAAAAAACCTAAGTCAATAATCAATAATTTCTATGATCCGTATATAAATACATATTAATAATAAAAATCGATCTATTATTAAATCTATAATGATGATTGATAGAGATTTGTTTTTTGAAATAGAAAATAAAAAATGTAATTCAATAATCAATCCAATAATAAAGGGTGTGGGTGTGGGGCATGCTGTGGGTGCCACTCTTCCTCTTACCCGCACCCACACCCACATCGCTTAAAATTAGGGACTCTCTAAGGATTCATCAGGGGCTCTCGACTGGGGAAAGTATAATTGGTTGAATTGGATTTAATATTAGAAAAATCACATTCAAAACCATTAAGTGGACAGATAACGGAATTTTTTTGTAAGAAGAGGTGTAAAATCGGTGCTAGGTCAATTCGTCGTCGGACAATTCGTTGTATGAACAATTTGTTATCAGACTATTCGTCGCGAATGTAGTGTAAAATATTATAAATGTGTTATGTTCTTTCTGTAATTGGCTTAAGTAAAACTGTGTTTAAATTAACTAATAAGCTTGTCAATTTTGTTAACACTGTTATCCGCATCAAGCAAAAAATCAGTATTCTAATAGCATTTTCGAATAAATATAAAAAAACAATTAATTTGAAAGTTGACTATAAAACAATTCTAAAAAGTGAGGAGAGTCACTTATTTCAATAGTAATATAATAATTTGCTACTGTTTTAAGAACGATGAGTACGATCAAAAAATTCTCAAGCAAGAAAGGAAAATCGATGCTTGGTTATGAAGGTTATATCTATACTTTGGAACGAAAAACTGATGTAAAAATGATTTTTCGATGCCAGAATCGAGATTGCAAAGGTAAATTTAAATTAAAAAAATAATTTTCGCTAATTTTGATCATTGATTAGGTCGTTGTCATACGAGCCCGTCAATGGATACTGTTCTTTCAGAACCAACTGAACATTGTCATGCGCCGAATCTAGGCAAAATTCCAGTTTTAGATATCAAGAACAAAATAAAATCTCGAGCGGCAGACAGCGAAGAACAATCAAGTACTATTCTACATTCTGTATTGAGATCTTTTCCTCTAGATTCAGCTGGCCAACTGCCTAAAACTGACACACTTTTGAGAACAATTCGTCGACAACGTCAAGCAATATCAGTGAATGCCGACAACCGACTTCCTGACCATCTGAAGCAAACAGATCGTGGTGAAAATTTTGTCCTTCACGAAGACAACAAAATGATCATTTTTACTACGACCTCGAATCTTTCAATTTTGGAAGCCTGTAAACATTGGTTTGCGGATGGGACATTCAAAGTAATAGAAATATATTTCTCTATTTTTGCTTATTCAAAATCATATTAGGTGTGTCCGAAAGACTTTTATCAAATGTTCACGTTGCACGGATTGTTCAAATCGCAAGTAATTCCATGAGTATATGGTCTACTCATTGGAAAGAGTACTTCTGATTATGATCAGTTCTTCGAACGTATCATGGAATAAGGCAATTTCAATCCAGATTCAATATTGACTGATTTCGAGGCGGCAACAACCCAGGTCATTATCGATCCGTCGGTTCTTGTCGAGCGGGTTATAATTCCGATGTCACATGGTGATCGGATTCGGTCGGTTAATTTCTGACGAATTCCGATGCTTTTCCTTGTTTTCTTCTGAAATCTGGTTGCTGGATTCTCCGAGAACCGGTCAGATTTATATTGCCGGAAAATATCAGGTTAGATGATACGATTGGGCCGTATCCGACGTGATCCGACAATATCCGGTAACGAAACTTTACCGGAATCCACCGTGCCGCATGACGCTCGATTTCATGGTAGATCCGGCTTAATCAGTATCACCGGAACCAATCGGATCATATCAGAACGGAACGGTCCTACTAACCGGATTAAGCCACTTACTACAACACA